TGAACATTTGCGTTCCACAGCTGGCTTTGAACCCTCTTACCAGAGGCGTAGAATTGCGAGGGTGTTGGGGGGGGCAACGTAGTCGGCCAAAATTATGTCATTTGTCGGCAAATTTGCTTGCTTTTGTGGACCTTGCCCCCTCACTTGGAAAATGAATTTCTGCCACTGCTACTTACTATGGAATGCAATGAATCGTACTGATTATGTACTGAAATTGCAGTCATGAATCAATTGCTATTACATTAATGGACATTATGCATGGTGTCTCTTCTCAGTTACTTAATACAATGCCTGCCAAAAGTACCTGGAACATCCAGCAAATTGTGTTGCATGTTATATCTTTCATTCCTTTTCCGATAAAAATTACTACTTCCACCCCCTTCCCCCTAAAGCAATCTTGATAATTTAGAGAAATATCACAAGAGAAGCGCAAAAAGTGCTTCCCAAATTCCTAACCCATTTAATAGTAAGCCAACATTGTTCCGTGGGGGAGAGAGGGATGATTGATTTTGACTTCAGTGTTCCAAGAACTGACGTCAGTGTTCCAAGACTTTTGGCAGGCATTGTATTCTCTTCTTAGATGTGATAACGGCATTGACTGTCAACATTTCCAAAGATGCATATTGGTTCTTTTAAAACGTGATTTTTTTTCTTATTTCTGTTGCATCAAGCTGATCTATCTCGTCCAATAATTAAGTCAACCGCCAAAAATTATTGTTTTTGTGAACGTCACACACTCACCTGATCTAAATTTTGTCAGTGAAGGACGTCAATGAACTAAAAGTTCTATTGATTCGAACAAATTGAGCCCACAAAAACAAAAGACGTCAGAACCTTGAAGTGAAAATCACCGTCAAAATAGTGAGATATCATCATGAACAAAGGTCAGCATTTGGCAGTCTCTAGATTATGTCAATAGATTTTGAATGCGATTGCCTAAAGTCAGGACGTCAAAAGACTTCGAGATGTTTGACATGTCGTAATTATCTTTTCCCAGCTTCATTTCTTTGGCTGTAATTTCAGTTTCAATGAACTGATCAAATACATTTACAAAGGGATTTAGAACACGTTGAAGTTTTGTAGAATACATGATTTTGTTAGACAATTCTTCCTACGGGTGAAGGAGATGAGGTCAGTGATATCGTAAAGCCTAGGATCCAGTGAAGCCTGGCTTCCATATAACCGTAAGATGCCGTAAGGTGCCGCGGCCATTGCCTGAGTCATTTTTTCCGGCAGGCATCGCATGGTGGATGTGTAATTTATATTCATGTAAAAATATATACAGACCTTAGTAAAACTTTAAACTAGATAGAGAAAGCGCAAATGTAATTGCATTCAGCTTTGCTTTTATAATCTCGGATATGATTTTATGCCTTTCTTGTTGACAGTATCCGCTTTTTGAATAATTTTTAATCAAATATGAAATAATTTTGCTAATTTCTTTTCAGAGGACAAGACCCTATAGCTTAACTAGAGGTAGAATAATTGATTCTATCAAAAATTGATTCCAACGACTATGTTTATTCTCCTTTGAGCCAACAGCAGTTGAAAAAACTGCAGCGACTACAGAAGGCTGTGGCAAGCTTCGTACTTACACGTTATGCCCATAAAAAAGATATCTTGAAACTTGGTTGGCTACCAATTGCAGAAAGACGGGAATTCAACCTATTAAAACTGACCTTCGAGGCAATTCACAACACTAACTGGCCTACAATTAATAAACTCGAGCTGCAAACTTGTAACAGCGTACTGCGAAATAGTAATGAAACTCGTATAAGGCCATCACTAATAGCAGATACTTTTGAAGATGCCGCTGCAAAATGCTTTAATGCCTTACCTGGATCAATAAAATCTCAGTCTAGCTTCACGACATTTTGTTCCAACTTAAAGAAGCATTTATTTGAAAAAGCGAGCAACAAATTGGACTAAAACATTATTTCTTCTTTTTTATAATTATATAACTGTTGTTAACTTTTGAACCTGTAATTTGACTTTGCTTTTAATTTTAGAGTTGAAGAGCCACACTTGTAGTGGATATGCTCGATTGTACCATTATTAGTATTATTATATTATTTTTATACTAAAAACGTTTTTGAGGTTAGCGGAAGCTTTTCTATTACTCGGTATCACCTTTTTAAGACTTGAGCATTATTATAATTTTCCCTTCAGAGAACCAAGGGTGCCTTCTAAAAAGTTAGGAGAGGGGATGTGCTGAAGGTAGCTTCCAAAAGCCACATCCATTACCAAAGCAACATACTTGTACTTGTGTTAAAGATTCTATGTTGTGCATATAAAATCATTCAAAACTATTCGTCGTCTCAAAAAATTGATGGGAAACTTCTCATTCATTGAAAATCTACTCCATAAAGAATGATTGCCGAACAAAAATGTGTTCAATTTTTCAAGGGAGGGGGGAGGGGCAAAAATCCCAGGGAGGGTAAATATATACAAGGAGGATTTGCAGGATATACCCAGCTACATTTTTGAAACAAGCTTGATTACGGAAACAGGCGCTCAGTAGATATGAAAGAGCATCTGGCAACAGGTCGCAAAAAGCGCCGAGGTGGGAAAATCTGTTCAACAGCTGATGGTGCTAAAAAGCTCTCGATGCAAAGTGTTAATTCAGCACCGTGATCGTCTTTCACAATTCTGTGATACTAAATGAGCTTGACACAAATGAGGTGTAAACAGTATGGCCACCAAATGCATCTGCTCTGCAGTAGCTGTAAAATTCGTATAACATTTGTTTCTATAGAGATGCTTGTTTTGTCTGCTTTAGAGGAAGGAGTGCCGCCATAACTGCCCAAAATCGGCAGTGCTTGATTCTGCATTCGCTAAAATTGTTATTCTATTTGCTAAGCTGCAACAAAGTGGAATTTTTCGCATCAATGTTTGTATTTCCCTCTTCTCGTGACTTGTGTTTAGTAACTATTTACATTAGAAGTCATATTTTAACTTTTCTTGCGTAGCAAACCTCATAGACAAAATCCTGCGGGTCCACTCTCGTTGTCAAGTGTAAGCACACGTGTCTTAAATATCTCTGATAAAGAAGATCAATTTTGTCATATAATATCTATGACAAAGAAAATAGAAAAAAGTGTGTATGATATGAGAATCTTAACCAGGGGCGGATCCAGAGCAAATTTGAAGGAGGGGCAGTTGGTAGTGGGGGCGCTGAAAACTTTTCAAAAATTGGTGACGAGAGCACGATGTATACAACAATTTCAGATCCATTTTCAGAATAAACAACATAACTTTGAGGAAATCCTTGAAGCAAATTAACCTATCGATCTCAGAAACTTTTTTACCTGATTCTCATCCTTCAAAAGGGGCGCACAATTTCCAAAAAAGGGGCGCTAGACTTGCTTCAACTTGTCGAGGGAGGGGCAACTGCCCCTAGTTGCCCCCCGTATATCCGCCACTGATCTTAACATAGTTTCTAATTTTTCTTTGTTTGCCTTGCTTCAACTATTTGATTTCAGGAAAAGGGTATAAATTTTGTTTGGTTTCAAAGTAAAGGGGAATCAAATTGGAATCAAATATCAGAGATAAGGGTCAGTTTTTTAGACCCTCAGACACGGTTGCTTACACTTGATAGTGTGAGATGATCCACAGGGAGACAAAATAATTATCTTTTTCCCTTTCAAACCGATCTTGTCACATGTGACATGTAGTGCACTCATTTTTTTAAGAAGAGTCACATGTCAAAATGACTGAGATGGGTGAAAATGAGTAATATCCCACAGTGGCTCATGATGGAAGAAAATTGGAAGTAAAACGTAGATGTTATAATTTTTAAACTGTGGACCGGGCTATGCAGAATTCAGAGAGAAAACATCCATTGTTTATATCAACAAAACTTTAATATATATTCATAACTGAAATCACTTTTACATCACCGCGTGTTCTTATCTCTCTACTCACTACTCCAATCTAATATGATTTATTGCTGACGTGCTGAGTTGTAATTCCCTGCGCACGCCGCTACGCAGTATCATATGACGCAAACCTTACTTTACAACAGTAGACTATTTAACTACCACAGCGGTATTATTCTATCAATAACTTCTAAGAAAGAGAACCTAAGATTCTCTCAAATAGCAACAAATACAGAAAATAAAAATAGATTTTTTATTCAAACAACTGTATCTCATTGTGTAATATAATTCAGTAATAAAAACTCTGTAATAAACACAAACTAGCAAATTACTCTTCGCAGTGCGTATCCTTATGGGAAGATACTTGTTCAAAAAATTTTGATTGGTAAATACAAAAAATGTTGATGTAATCTTTTAGGTGATCTTCAAAACAATCTTGTGTACGAAAGTTACATTGTAGACAATCAGCTGAACATTCAAGTTAAGATTTTCCGACAAAAACCTATAAGCGTTGTTTTTTACATAAATTTTGACATAACATAACTACATTAGAACTGATACAAAAAAAGTTATCTTTTATCATTTATTCTAAGTCAAGTGTCATAATCATACTTCTTGAAGATTTTCTGGTCTTATAATTTAAAATGTGAACTTTAAGTAATTGAAAAAAGTTGAATGGTTCAGAACAAAGGTCGAAATCACTTCATTAACCTTTAAAATCTTTATTCTCAAAATGGCACATTTGGGTAAAGATAGACAATTATTTTATATTTCCGACAAGATCCGCCAAGCAAAGCTTCAGTGCAAATAATTGTGACGGTTGTCACACATTAGAGATAGGGGGGCGGATTAAGAGCATAGCCAAAAAATGATTGAAACCACCCCTATGAATTTTCAATGAAGTCGCTTTTTCTAACAAATTATAAATTAAGGAGATTGGAAGCATTACAGTGCACCGATATAAGAGCAGAACACGGCAACTTAACTTTTAAAAATTGAGAATACTTTTGAGAATATTACAGGATATTGTCCAGAAACTCTAGAAATATGACTGTTCAGCTTCGTCAATGACGACATTCTACCTCTTTTTCGTGATTCCTCGTTTTGAACATTATTTGTGATTTTGTTCATGTCGAACTGTTTTCGCCCACCCTATTTTGTAGTCAATTGTTGCCAAGCTTTCACTCAGAAATACTTAAAATTTTATACAGTAGAGGAATTAGTGGGTGTCACGCTTCTTGAAATTTTTGGGCATAAAGATGAGTGAGGATTACAATCCATTTCTAGATGATTCTGCGACCCCGAATGAAGAGAACTTCACACACTTAACTGCAGCGAAGAATGGACCAGGGAGTCACACATCCGAGAATGGGGTCGTGTCAAAAGACTCCCAAAGCGAGAATGTATATATTTTGCTTCTTTTATCATTGCATGAAATCAAATTTTTTATACAGCTTGATGCAAGATGTTGTAGGGAGGCTTGAAAAAAGCTCCAGTCATTGCAACTTGCAAAAGAGAGAGTCATTTTTGGCTAGGCCAAATCCTTTCTTGATTGCAAAAGGTATCTTGGAGCAATTAAAAGCCAGAAGTTTCCAGCTAATGTTAATTGAGCATTCAGCATTCATTTTTTTTTGTTTTTTAAGCTTATTTTTTCCAAGGGGAATTTGCCTAGCTATGCTGATCATCAAATAAGACGGGATTTGTTTACGTACCTGCAAGGAAAACGGGTAGATAGATCTTCTGAGTTTTTATAGACGTAGTGGCGAAGATAGGTATAGTTAGTTCACTGAACAAAATGTTATGCAATAACAATGACAAACTAGCTACGCATTACCGTTATAAGAAGTGTCTATCTAGGCATATGAATACTCATAGCCAAGTCATAGTCAAGTGAGCTAGCTGTGAGTTCAGTTCAGTTCAGTTCATATAATTTTAAATTCCACTACATACAAATTTTGTCAAAACATTAAAATAAACTATAGGCTACAAGTTACAATACACGTTTAAAGACTAAACAAAACTACAGAAAAATTAGAAAACTTGCATGAAGAGGAATTTTTAAGGAGGAGGTCTCTCAGTAGCAAAGCTAATCCAGGAGAGTCCACCCCCTTATAGGAAAATTTTTATTGAAGAATATAACTAAGAAAGGTTTTGAGGAAAATAGTGTATTTTCTATCTATAATCTGCTACAATAATTATTTGCAAAAAGAAAGACTTTGAGTCTCTGACAAAAGATAAGAACAGATGTGATAAAGTTGAAAGATCTAAGCCCTTCTAAGGAAATGGGCTCTAATATGATCTCACATCAGACTCAACTAACAGTAGATTTTTTCAATCACCATAAAGCTTTTATTTACTCTTTGGTAGTGCTTTTATTTTTATATCACTGTATGATACCATTAAGACAACAGCAGACTATTATTCCAGTGGAAAATATTTTTAATCACACACTCACATAAACTAAGCTCACTAGATTAGTAAACTAAGCTCACTAGAAACTAAGCTCACATAAACTAACCTCACTAGATTTCACTGGGTTGCAAAAGTGTGGAAACGGTAGGTCAAAATGGCAGCTCACTGTGACTACAGGCCTAAACCACCAGGTTTCAAAATCAGAATTATGAGGTGAAGAGGCTTGGAATGATAGGTTATGGTGAGAAAATGCATTTGCCATTCTTTTGAATTTCAGTTAAAATAAAATTTAATGATTTGTTTGCTGTTTTTAGGGGAAAAATTCAGCAAAACTTTGAAGCATTGCTTGAAAACAATTCTTTTAAAGATTCTCTGAGTATTCATGAAATATGACCCGAAGTGTATCTTTTTTTAAAAAATGTGAACAAATAATGTTAAAATTTGAAGCAAACTGCTTGAAGCTTCTTTTTAGTCAAAAAATTTTAACTGAGAAAGTTATTTTAGTAGTGCACTATAATTTTTAAGTTTCAATAATGTAGAGCAAGGTGAGTTGCTCTACACAGTGGCAGCACTCTTTTCTGAAAATATGGTCTACATATTTCTTTTAAAAACAGATTAGAAAGTGCTGGATAGGGGTAGATCAAACTTCCTAAGGAAAGTTAATCTGGTACAAATCACTAAAACGAGGCAAAAGGGGCGTGGTCCCACTGGCCATGCCCATTACCCTCCCACTCTGCAGTAGCTGGCACAGCCACCGGCTCTTCATTGGATGTTAAGAACTTCTTCACCCTAAATTCTGATTTGCTCATATTATCTAAGCACATGAAAATAAAAAAGTTAAGCCAAAACGTTCAACGCTCTATATGCTTTTGAAATTTATGAAATAAAACATATACACCCAAACATTCTATATTAATTAGCAAGCTAACTGTTTTGATCACTAGATGACAGCTTTAGAATTTGTTCACCTGATATCACTTTTAATAACCTTAAGCCTGATATCTCAGCCAAAATTATCTTCTCGGTAATATCTTCGAATTCAGGACAAAGATGCACATATCAAGATTAAAGTTTAATTAAATCATCTAATGCTTCCTAAGTTTCGTCTGTAATTTGAGAAATTTTTTTTATGAATTCCTTGAAAATATTTTCCAGAACTTTTCTGAAGCACTGGTCCAATTTTTCCCTGACATTTTAGCCTCAACACAGGTAGGTAATCTTTCAAATCTATTTGGATTCAAAAGCCATTGAGATTGCGCAAAAATTTTGTGGTGAAAATGATCATTACAAAAACCCCTTAGCGCTGAACTTCACTTCCACACTTTTGTGACCCCAGTCTATTGTAGAAATCTTTGTGAAATTTCTAACATCATTTGATGCACAGAGCCTGCTAGCTTTGATATCTGCCAACTATTTGAAAAAGCAAAAAGCATGGAAATTTTTTTAATGCTGGAAAGACTAAGATCTTTCATAAACCAAATATATAAGAGAGGTGCAGTGCGGTGAATGGCTCGGCCTTGGGTGTTGGCTTGAAAGCACGACCCGATAGCTCAGCGGTAGAGCACTTGATGTACAAAGTCAAGGGTCATGAGTTCAAGCCTCGCTCGGGTCGGTTATTTTCCCGCACTCTCTACTAATTATCTTTAAAAATCCTGTTGCCTGTAAACCAAATGTTCTTTGATAACCAAGTTGCATCAAAGCAGGTTCGCCATGTTACACAAAAAGGGCTTCAGAAAACTTGCATAAGGCTTGTAGGGTAAAAGGTTGAAAAAATGATAGCAAATACAACGCACAGCAAATCTGTGACATTTTCATGCTCTTGGTTCATTTTGGAAGGGTTTCTTAAAATATTCTTATCAATAGATGAGGGAGTTGTTATCCCCAGCTTGACTTTGTTTTTGTCCAAAATGGCTATCAATCATTAAACTGTCCTTGAAAACATCTTTGAGAAAATATTTTCAAGATTCAAATTACTTAATCTCTTTTTTTAGCTCTTGTCTTCTCCATATCAAAATCTACTTAAAAAAGTTGATTGATATTCCCTGTAACCTTTGTATTAAAGAATTTGTGGTAAGAAATTATTACGCAAAGTCTTAGCACCAGGTGCAGTCTGGCCCTGGTGGCAAAGTGATGACTGGCCCTGGTGGCAAAGTGGAAATTGCCACCTGGGTCCTTTGCTTTAAAAAAATGTTGTTGGGGCCTTTTTCACAAAAAGTTTTGAGAATATAAAGGTTGATAACTTTCAATAAATTTCATTCTTTCTTTCACTTAAAATATCTACCAAAGTGCCACAACAAATAGTAAAAGTCAGTAAAATAATAGCAAAACTTAATTATAAATTTAGTGAAATTTAGGGTCACTAGAAGAAAGTGCCCATTGAGCCACCAAACATTACAGTATCGTAACAAAATGACATAAATATTATTACAGTTGTGAAGTTGTGCACCATGTTTAGCCACGGAATAAGCAGTTCAATTCTATTTGTTGGATGATTCAACAAATGATTCATACATCCCTGTCTTTTCCCCTGTCTTGCATCTAATTGTCTTATTTACTTTCTTTTCTTTTGTTATATAGAATACTGGTATTTGAATTGGTCGCCTCTCTGCTTTTTGTGCAACTTCAAATAACAACTGCCTTCTGAAAATCCACATGGTTTAATAGTTTTTGGCGCTTACACTAAAGTTTGAATAAATCTAATAATACAGAAAGACAGTGTGTCTTTAAGTATTCTTAGTTTTTTCAGATCATTTTTAATAAAATTCAACTAAGTTGTCTCCACAAAATTTTATCTTAATTATACTAGTCAATTATTCATAATGCCTCCGAATACTTTGCATATATTTGTCAAAAACCATACTACTCAGTAAATCACTCTAGCTATTCTCCATCTCCTTTCAAGTAATGAGACTTTTCCACAGCTAGGGCAATGAAAATGAATGAAAGAACTGTTAAAAATGCTTATAAATACAGCACATAATAATAAGAAATGCTTGCTTGACACAGCTTGGACACTTAACTGATTTACATAAAGAACAATATGTGCAAAAACTGCAAACTGCAAAACAAATAGTTAAAGAAAAAGTATACAAGTTCTCTAGACCCTCTTGCCATTGCACCATTTTTGTATGACTGCCAATTCAAAACCAGAGTGGAGTCATTTAAAATTCATTCAAAATTCAAAGTGGAGTCATTTGAAAACGGAATTATTTGAAAGGGTTGTTTTATTGTGAACAGAGAAAACAGAAACTTTAATTCTCAGTTTCACAAAGAGCTCTAACAGCTGAGAGCTGAGACAACTGATAAAAGTGGAGTAATGGAAACACCTTCATTTTTGTTTTGACCAAAATCAAGTTTCCAGGAGTAACGGGAAAGGTCCAAGAAAATACTTAATTGGGATGATCTGAGAAGGGAGACATATGAAAACAGAGTAATGGAAACATGGTCTTAAATAGTGATTTATCCCCTCAACTCAGAAATGCTATTAAGATAACTCACAGAAAAGAAGTTTAAAAACTACTTGTAAGAAAATTAACAAGAAATTGGAAGAAACAAAAGATAAAAAAGAATAGTCAGTCAAGGCATACCACTGCGTGTGTGATATAAAGCATGTCTTGGGAGCTGTAGGGCTGTATGTAGATGAACGTGTGAAATCGCATGGCTAATATTACCAGGACTGTCTATTGATACATTATTTTACCTAAAATTATTCTTAAGCATATTAGGCTCAAAAAGACAGATGATTTTTCTTATCCATTCGTAGGAGGATGCAGCAGTTCTGGAACCAGAACAGAAGTACACATCACTAGAGGAGCATGCCTCCTCAATGATGAGATCGGTTTCAATTGAAGAAGATGTGGATGGGTTTGCAGCTTTAATTGGAAGTGATGATTCGCAGAGTGGAAGCTCAAGAGACTTGTTTGTCAAAGTAGATAAGCCTGAAAAGCATGTGGAGGGATATGTCAGCTACAATGTTACTACAAAGGTAAGTGGTAAACTTATCTATTGGTTCAGTCTATGGGTTCAAAGAATTGTTTTCAGTAAAGGAATTTATTGCCTTTTGAAGATATTAACCCTCACAGAATCATTTTAATTGATGTGTTTTATATGACTGTCAAAAAAGCTGATATGAGGAGTCTTTATGTGTTCTTTCATGAATGATATGAAATGCAAAGAGAGGCAGTACACAGTTTTTCTTATTTCTAATTGCAGAGCTATATCTGTTGGGCTTTAAAAGTTTTAGATCTTACTGTAGATATAATTCTAGAATACCAAAGGATGTGCCAATGGATAGAAAATGAAAAACAAATGAGTTTAAGGAAAGGTCAGGAAAAGGCTGTCTATCATATCCTAACAGTACTTAAAACATGGAAATTTACAAAAACAGACATATGCAAGAAAAATTGATTTTTTTCAGTAATACCTGGGTTATGAGAAGATTTATAAAAATTATTATGACAAAAATTGTGATTGTTAAACAGAAGATTTTTTTCCAATTTTATTAAGTACAACAATTTTTGGCTGGTAAAATTTCTTACTATAATTTTTAGCAAAATTACATTTGGACATATTCTTGGCATTTCAGTAAAATATATTTTTGGGCAAATGTTGACCAGCCTTTTTTATGTTCAAAGCAAAACTCTTGAGTAACTTGCAAGTATCATTCTGAGAGAACTGACAATGTGATAATGTTAAGGAACTCTCAGCTCCGAACTGGCTCAAATTCTTAGTTTCTTATAAAGGAAACATCTATTCAAGCTAATCACCTTCTTGAGGCCACAGAGTGAAGTCCCCTGCCAAGAGACTCAAGTTGAACATGAACATGAATTTTGTCCATTTCAAACTTGTTTCTTATCATAAGAAGACAGTGACAGTGATTTTTTGATAGATGATGAGAACGATGAATGCTATTTGTTTTGACTGATATTTCTATTACCTTGGAAGAATAACTGTTTTCAAAATTTTTGCAGACATACCCATGTTTAAACATTGTAACCTTTCTTTTGGCTTTATTTTGTAGTGGGATACAGAACTCAGTCAATTTGCATTAGGCCTGTGCATTTTATGCAAAAGTTTTCTGTATGACATGCTTTGGCCAGCTTAACATTTTACGAATGAATTTTTTGGACTAATCTTTGGCTGAAAGTTTGTCACGCTGAATATTTTTGCACTTAATGTATCTTGAAGAAACTCTTTGTGTTTGTGATAATTATCATTCATATTCAATTTTTCCCTACTGCAATGTCATTAGAATGTAATTTTGCCCAGAGATCTCTAACTAATATTTCTGTTAGTTTTCCTGAAGATAATTCAGAAAAGGAACATTGCCTTCCAGACAACAAGAGGAGAATTTGATCAACCAGAATTCAATGTGCAAAGAAGGTATACAGATTTTCTTTGGTTACGAAACAAGCTGGAAGAAACATGTCCAACACACATCATCCCAGTGAGTTTTTATAAGATAATTGTCTTTAGGCTTTACATTAAGTATATTATATACAGGATTGCAAAATTTTCCCTGTAACTTTTTTCTTGTGAACATGACAGGATTTTTGCTTTGTTTTTGAAAAAACTGAGAGCGAATCTTTATTACTGATTGTTTGGTAACAATTGTGAAGCTATGAAAGCTAACATATTATAATTGATATAGCATTTGGTAGGAATATTTGATTCCTGTCTCTGGAAAAAAACCAACAGTTATTGTGCTGTTTGGTGATAATTGTAGATCCAGATGTAATGGTGCAAAGAAGGTTGCTATGGGCTGTTTTGAGGGACTGTCTCAGGTCAATGCCGCCACCGGCCCCCCCTTCTCTCCCAAAAAAGTTCAAATGACACCTTTTTGGCAGCCATAATTTTAACTTTGGTAGAAATGGTCTGTACTTCAAAACTTTGAAAGTTGACAAAGCAGATAGATTCTTTGTCAGCAATATTTCTTAACCCATTGGCATTTCTGTACAATTTTTGCCATATAACATCCTGAACTAATCATGGAATTTTTTTCTTTAAGAGGCCCCTTACATTTTGACCCCCTGGGGCAATTTCCTCAACCTGCCCCCTCTGTGCAGCCCTTTTTCTCTCTGCCAGGTCATTGACTGTGCCAGCCTATGTGCCATGGTAAATCAGTTTACAGCTACGTGTATTAGCATGCAAGTATTTGAAGCAAATCTGAGTAGATGAAACATCATATCTTTGAGCATCTTGGAATATACAAGATAAAAGGTTTTCAATTGATTTTCTACTCTTCCTGATCCAGCAGCAAGGCAGTCAAGAGGCAGCTTGGGCCCAAGGGTGATTCACAAAACTGGACCCCAAATCTCCTGTGGCCATGCCCTTCAGTCTCCCGGAGAACATGGGAAACGCCCTAAAAGTTTTTAAAGGATTTTTACAAGAATTTACAAAAACATTTTATAAGAATCAAGGGCATGTGGACCTTTCTCTGTGATAAACTTACAGGTGAAGTAGCTGAAATGGTAGCTTTTTTGCATTGTAAATAGAACTTGTCACTTTATTATGGGCCCCATGGGAGCACAGGCCCCATGGGAGTATAGGCCCCAGACTTTTTGCCCCTCCCAACCCCCCTCTCAACGCCCCTGTCCAGCAGACCTAGTTTAATAATAACATGTTTCTGGTCAGAAGCAAGAAAAATTGTGAAAGTATTCTATTTTGCAACAATCACACTCGATATAATTTTTCTTGTTTTTTCTTTTTTATTGAAGGCAAACTCATTTTATTGACTTGCAGCTATTCTTTTCCATGCATTTCTTTTTTCAGAATAGCCCAATGTGTTAATTATCAGTTTGAACTTGTTTGGCTAACAAAAAACACAATATTTCATTACAACTATGCGACAGCAAGATAACAAATCATTCATGTTTTGTTTTTGTTCTTTGCTTTGTCTGCTTTATAAAATTATACACTTACAGCTTTTTGTTATGTCTCAATGCATTAATGGTTATCACTAAGTTAAATCTTTGTTAAAAGGAATGATATATTGTTTTGGTTTGAGTCAAACGTAAGTGATAGTGCTGGTAGGCAACTTATATCAGCTACAGTTTGAATGAATCGTTTCTGTTCATGGAAGAGATTTTGTATTTCTGGTAGCTTGCTTTTGTAGCATGCTTATATAGCATGTCTGGTGGATATTCTTTGTGTCACAGGAGATTATGGGTCCCTGTCTATGTTAAAAATCTAGCCAATCAAATGAAAGCATCTTGCTTAAAACTAATAGGACTGTTTGTTATTGTTCATGGTAGCTTGGGTGGCAAATAGAATTGAATGATTTCCTAAATGCTCCTTATCTGCTATTTGGAGTCTCATTAACTGTAATGAAAACTATTATTTTCATAAAGAGAGTTGTAAACAGTGCTTCCACTATTCAAATTTAAATTTCCTTAAAGCGAGGCTAAAATTTGTCAAAATCCCTTAAAATTCCTTAAACCTGAATTCTATTTTCTGTGAATATTTCCTTGTTAGTTTTACCCCAAAGATTGGTCATGCCATGACTAACAGTTAGTATGTTTCTACAAATTTTGAACGATTAATGAATAAATCATTCATTTTATGCTTTAAATGGCCATTTGAATGCTAAGGTGTTGAAACAGCCAAATATTCATCATAAATTATCAAACTTGAAAAGGGATTTTCTACCCACGTATTTCGAAATTTCCGCTAGTATCTTTTTCTCTTTTCTGTTGCTAAAGCTGCAGTTTTACCGTCAAAAAAATTTTGCTTCATCGTGACGATAGATCAATTCGAAATGAAGTTTAAGTCCAACTGTTTTAGCCCAAAGAAACGATCTGACTTATTCAAAAATGCGGAAAAAGTTATTCAAAAACACATGTTTCCTTTAGAATCGGTGATGGGTCATCATCACCTAAAAGAGCTATAAGAAAATCAACAACCGACAACCTCTTGGGTCGTCATTAAGACAATTCTACCGCAACTTTTTCGTTGCTAACGCATAAGACGCTACATCTTCGCTGTTACATTACACATCTGAAAAAGCAAACATTGAAAATATTTTGAACTTTTGGAAAGAAAGTTAATACTCTAAAAATTGCTTGAATCTTGCAATTCCTTAAAAAATTCCTTAAATCTTGTAATTCCTTAAAAAAATCCTTGATCTAAGGAAAATTCCTTAAAAGTGGAAACACTGGTTGTAAATAGGAAATGAAATTGAATTTTTGGCGAATATTTCAAAATCATTTTCCAATTTTAGTAAATTTATCCTTTAGCCATCTTGTTCGATTTACTGTCGTTTGTCATCAGTGTCATTCATTCCAACAGTGTGTTAGTTATTTTCTGTTTTTTTTCTGCAATTATTGGCCATTGAATTCAGTCAAAAATACTCTAAGCATCAGCCTTCTTGTTGTCAATATTTATAGTTAGCACTTTGCTTTTCTTATTACTCTTTATTGAGATATTTATTTATTTTCTTTTATAGCCCCTGCCTGAGAAATTCACGTTCAGCAAGCACTTTGATCGATTTGACCAAGACTTCTTGAAAACTCGACAAAAAGCCCTGGACAAGTTCCTTAACAGAGTTGCAGACCACCCTGTCATGTCCTTTAATGAAAATCTCAACAAATTCCTCACCGCCAAAGCTTGGGTACGTTTCATTATGAATTTCTTACTAGCTTGATAACTTCTGTTTGTGATTGAATTGAATTGAGTTTAATCTAATTGAATTGAATTGATCTTCTATTTTTTAATTTGCTTTCAGTTTTGCCGCAAATTCAAGCAATGATGTTGTTTACCAGTGATACAAGACTACCTCCCCCCCCCCTAAAATAGACGGACCTGAAATGATCGTCAACCTAATTTTTTTGTCGGTGATGTTAGGGAACGGCCCGGGAGCCTATTAGCAAAGCTCTAAAAATGAAACGAAGGGATAGAATTTGAAAGAGAGGGAGGAAAGATCGAGATTGAAGACAAGACAAGTTTTGAATAGACTGAATGAAGAAAAGTTGTAAGAGTCTTGAAAGCATATTATAGAGCGTTTCAAAGTTTACAAGATCTGAGGAGGGATGATGAGTTGTGGGCAGAGTGAATGAATGCCAAGGCCTTTAAAGATACAAACGATATTCGTACGATTTAAGGCATCCATAATCTTAAAACATATCGTGAGAGATGTTAGCATTTCAAAACAACCACAAATTAATCCTTATTTGTTTAATAAGATCACCCTTGCTTTTGCGAAATTTAGCTATACCGTATCAAGTAACGAGCTTGTCTGCAGAATTCCCTAATTTGGCCCCGATTAGATGTTCCTTTAATTTATTTCTATGCTCCATTTTTCACAATTAAGCCGAAAGAAGACATTATGGCTGTATAATTTAATGTTAACCATAGTAATGAGCTTTTGAGCGACGAGGCATGACTTGGTGATATCTGTGTTTTATTTGCAATTGGTTCTCCTTGTTGAACTGCTTATACTGATTTCGAAATACAAAAATTATATTTGAAGAAATTCAAATTATGAAGTAGAATTTCCTGTAGGGGAATCGAAGGCTAAACTTGGAGTCCGTCGAGCAGCCTGCTATCGTGGCCTTTTCTTTATTCACACACTAAAAATTTATGACCGTATAAACTTTGGTAATTGGGGTTGAAAAAAGGACGTCTGTTGCTCTTTTTGTCTTCAATGGAGGTCAGATGCTTCCACCAAAGATTTTTCATCACAGCTTTGTATACAATGCTTTTGTTATGGAACTTTGCGAGTGTTTTCATGGCCTTCCTGACGGCCCAGCGATCACCATCTTTGCTTGGCTGAAGCTAAAGTATTGTTTGATACCAACAGGAGATGACAACAGCCCGAAAGCAATCGAGCGGCGTGATGACGAAATTTGGTGGAACAATGAAAACAGCTGCCGCTTCATTAATTTTCAAGAACAGAGACCCAGACTTTGAGCACATGTTGCAGTTTGTCAACAGTTACCAAAAGAAAGTGCAAGCATTTGGTTTGTTGTCCGATGAAATCGCAAAGACGAGATTTTGTAAGTATGGGAAACCTGCCTCTATCTCTAAACTTAGACAGTTTGTACGAAGGGAAGACTCGTTAAATATCAGGTGCTAGATAACTGTGCTCAATCTTTATATGGTCAAATGTTGTATCAAATACCCTGACAATGCTTTATGCGAAAGAGGCACAAGTCTCATTTTCAGTTATTTTCGATGATCAATCCCATAGCATAGTGTCTCCTTTTACATAAAGTATTGATGATAGACAATACACCAATTCGACTTACCGCCTCGTTTTGGAAATTTCTCCAAATTTCATTTTAAGAGTTTTTAGGCTTAATTTTTTAGGCTCAGATTTGGTTTATCATCATAGTTTTCTCACTGTTTGTGCTTGTATTTCAGATTTTACGGAAAAATGAAGTTTGAGAACGTGTAAAGGATTTGACCGCAAAAATCATTCTGGGAGAAACTTTACACCCTAGTCGTTAATCACGGTCAAATCCTTCATAAAATTTTTATCTTTATGTCGTCATAAAATCAATATCGTGAGCAATACCAAAATGAAAACTTCCTAGTAGACTAAAATCTTCCCTCTCAATCCGAATCTGAAGTAAAAAATTACTGACTTTGACTAACTTTGTTGAGATATGTAAACAGTTAAGCTCATTGAACTTCATCAATGTCAAGTTGAAGTCAAAACAAATTTTTATATGGAAAATTCTTGAGTGTGCAATTTACTGAGAATGAATGCAAACTGCATGTCAAGTATAGTGTCGCAATATACAGTGATGTTCAATGTCAAGACTGTTTCGAGTGTCAACTCGGAAAAGTCAAAAATGCAAATTATAAAAGTTTCTTAGTTTTTTTTTAATTTGGGTAGGATTGTTCCTTAAATTTCTAAATTTGAGCCTACCGTTTCTTATAACCTGTTTCTTATAAAAAATGAATGTATACCTGTAGCAAGATACCATTTTCTCAGAGTCCAGAAAAGTTGTTAACTTTCCTCTAGACAAAAACATTCCAGAAGGCAAACCTTCCTCACAAACAATAGAAAGTGGGCGTGGCTTGGGTGTGTTATATGTGCTTCTATTGTTTTTCGTGTACCTTCCTCCGGTCAGTGGCCCTGCGACCGTAATGTTTTCCTGACTTTGCATTTATTTGGGAATTTTGTTCTCTTTTATCAAGATTTACTCGAAGACTTAGAGGAGTATGCATCCGCGTTCCATTTGTGGTCAAACTCAGAATCAAGACTGGGAACGCCTCTGACTGCGACAGCCTTCGCGTTAGACAAGAATGTCGAAGCTTTAAAATCGATCGTAAGTGAATCCTCAGAGCTTTTCAATCAGTGAATTGATATTCATAGATTTTGAATTGATATTCATAAAAGGTATGATTTACAGGCGCTTATCTGAACTTCAACGAGGAATCTAAAATGAAGAATCAAGTACTGTTATCCTGTCTGTAGCAGAGTGTTTGTAGCCGTATAGACAGAGCTGTGCACAGGATGATGTTTGGAAAAGGACCATTATATGTTGCTACTTAGGGTTTTATAATCAATGTGAAATTATCAATATATATTTGTCGTTCCCTTGTATTTTTTGTTTTGTCATACGTTCATTCGTTTTTATCATACGATATTTCAAGCTATTGGTCTTTCTTCCCACCCAAGTGTGGTAAAATCCCCCCCCCCCTCCCCACCCTTCATGGATCATAATCCAATTTTGATGTGCTGACATTTTATTGATAATGGCAACGAGAGAAAACATAATACAGCTGCTAATCAGTTGCTAAGTTTAATATCACTGAATATCTTTTTTTGATCAATGAAGCACTTTCTGATAGCAGTTTCTGATGACAAAAATCATTTTTATAAGATTTATGTGTCAGTTTTTCCAGTTATTTTTTGTGCCATTTGCCGAATTATATTGTTAATTTTGACTTTCTGTCAATTATTGATCGAAAATTTGAGTTGCTTACTCCAACTTCTTTAGGAAGCTTTATAGCTGCAAAATTATTTACCAAGGAATAAATATGACATCATCTTTTAATTTACCATACTGATGTTTGACTCGATTCTGTGTTCCATGTTATAGCTTCGTGTGCAAGACGGCAGATTTGCAGAACCACTTCGAGAATACAATCTATACTGCGACGCTGTTCGAGTGAGTTGCTTACTAGTCCTAATTGCTTTTCAACGCTAAGAGCATGCTATCCCTGTAAACAAAGCTTTGTCTAAGTCTACTGAAATGGAAACCTATTGAATACTTTGAACGACGCATTACCTGTTTTAAAGTGCCAATGTTTGTCACAGCATGTTTTTGTTATTTAAAATGATTTGTTATTGTTTTTACCAACAGGCTCCTATGCATTTATTAACACATTTTTCTATTCATAGAATGCGTTACGGAAAAGAGACCAGTTTCAGGTCGAATACGAGGTAACTATGGAAGATCTGGACAAAAGACGAAAAGAGAAAGAAGATGTTAGTATTTTTACATACAATTATCTTTCAACTGATTTTTTCTTGTGACGTCATACAAAGGCCACTCATTCCCTTACCAGCCTATTGGTAGAGCTAGGTTTCTAGGTGCAATTGAACATAAAAGCATCCATTGGCAATCCTTCTTCTTGCTTTAGGCAACCTTCACATTCAACTAAGAGTAAATCAGCAGCGGTAAAGCAAATCCCCACAACGAAGGTTTTTTAAAAGGGTATCGTCTCTTAACCCATTATTTTCACGAGACACCCTATTTCCAAGCATTGCGAACCAATTTCATCATGAAAATGCATCTGTAAGATATGAACTTCATTTAAGAACAATTTGCCCTTCGTCTTCACCTTAAAAGAAGGTTCTCGTTTACGGGAATTTGCTGGATTGTCATAAAATAATTTTGCTTGTTTGCTTCAAATTTGCTAAAAATTTATTTTCATATTTCTCTTTGTGATTAATAATACGAATCTGTAGTCCACGCGAACTAATTCCAGTGTTCATTTTGTAATAGCCCGAGCTGATGATGTCATTTGGTCTCGAGGCTGTATCCCGCTAATCTCAAATGAATTACAAAATTAGTGTCCTATAAATAAAAAACCTGTTTTTTTATAAAACCTTTCAGTTGAATCACAGTATCTAAACCCAGTTAATTGCTTCTAATTTTTGATTCCTCTGCTATTTTTTAGATCGAGTCCACTGGTGAAGTTAAGTCCATAGCAACATTTTTCGGTAAAGATCCCGAAAAAGCGAAAGAAGAAAAAATGGCGAAATTGAATGAGCAAATTCGAGATGTAGGTATCAGCTTTTTGTCGTATAATTTTTAAACATTTTTCATGTTCACATTTTTCATATACTCAAACTCCGTATCTTAAATGAATTTGTAAAGGGAAAAGTTGCCTTGATCATGTTACATTTGTTCCGTTTTTTTTACATTCAATTTACTTGTTCATTCTGTTCGTTATTTCGTCATTTGCATCATTCATCTTTCACGGTAAATTTCTGTACCTCGGCTATTGACATAATTTGAATTATATCATCTAGAATCTCTTATTGTCTTTACAAAACGTCCAGATATTTTTCTACAGTCTGCCTGTGATTCTATAACTCATAATAATTATAAAATCAATTTTGAAGGTATTTGTGTTTTGTGCAATGATCTACCTGTTTGCTTTCATTGTTTACGTCTCTTACGTCCTGAAAGCCCTTTTAATTAAATTCATTTACGCTGCTAACTTTGCTATCTATAAATGTTATCTCATCAGTTATATTGGATAAACTTTGTTAGATATTATTTATTGTTAGATATTGTTAGATATTTATTTGTTAGATATTGTTAGATACTCGAATACATTTCGTAAATACATTGGACTGATTTTTTCTAATAGCTGGTCGTTGAATCCGAAGCCCTTGCAGATCGAAAAGATCGCGCGGACCATGACATGAAAGCAGATATGGACCGGTGGCAAAGGTACAAGCGAAGGGACATGAAATACTTACTCCTCGAAATGTCAGAGAGACACGTTAAATTTTACGAATCAGTGAGTATTTGTCATTGTTACTACCTACATTCCGCGGATACTTGTTTAGGACACTGAAAAGCCATGCTTATGGGGGAGTTTCCTGGTCCTCCTATTAAAATGTGACACCTTCATGATTCCTACACCTTTATAGTATTACCGTTCGCATGAAAGACTTTTCAATAAATTTTCTCTCGTTGACTACCAATTTTTTGTACATGTAATATTTTAATAATGATAATAATAGTAATAATATCATATTTGTACAGGGTAAACTTGTCTAGCAACAATGTGCTGTTATCAGTAAAGGACCTGTCTAAAATATAAATAAGTTAAAAGAAACAAAAGGATAAAACAACAGAAACAATACGTGAAGAGGATAAAATATTAAAAGTAAATGTTTATATTTCAACAAAAAGTCTTAAATCTTAAAATTGAAGTTCCACCCTTCATTTCATCTGTTAATTAATTAAAGATATTTGCTCCTTGAAAGGAACAAGCCCTCTTTCTTGTTTCGGATTTCACTTTAGGTAAAACAATTGTATTAGCAAGAGTTTTGCCTGCGTGTTTCAATAATTGGAATTGCTCTGCTTTGCAAGCTATGAAGAATTCAATCTGCAGTTAGGAAATTTTACTGTAGAGAATTTCTCCATCAGCAAATCACGTTCGACTTTCCTTAAGGCCGCTTATAGTCGCTGTGAAACATGAATTCGCGTTTATATGAGGTCCATTAAGACTTAACATGACAATACCTTCAACTTTACAATTCTTATGTGACCTTTTTAGAGTCTGAATGCTTGGCAAGATGCTCTAGATGCGGTTGCAGGCCCAAGAGCAAGAGGTGACTCGGAAGAAGAGTAAAAAAGCAAGTTGTTTAAAAACCATACTAACAGTACTGTTTGTAGTCAATCACCGAATAACGGATTCTACATGTGGTCAGAAAATTTTTTGAAAACGACAATGACATGTACATCTTGAAATAAGTTAGTTTATATTTTCACACATTGAATTATTTTGTTCTAATGGAAGGAGTAAGGTTCAACCTGGATATAAGTCCAAAGTGGGTATGTTAGGTATGGTACCCCCATTTTAACTCAGAAATTGGAACGCCAGATGTTATTTTCATGGACACATACGTTGTAACTGACAAATCTAAGAAAGCTTCTGAAGTATTCTTTAAGCCTTTGGAAGACTTGAAATCATCACATCAATGACTGAGGATATGATTGGCTCCCTATTCAACCTGTTTTTTAGTAATTTCTGAGGCGACCTTCGTAAGCTAAAAATATTGGTTCATTAGTTTGAGTGGTTCCCCGAAATTAGTCGTTGAAATTATCTAGGAGTGCATAAGAGTTTGGTTTTTGTAAATAATCCTTGATGAGCCATTGGTTTTGTTTAGCAACTTCTATGTTAAGCCAAATCATAGCTTTCTAAGAAACTGCAGTAATCAAGGAGGCTGAATTTTTTAATTTGGAAAGTAAGTTTGATAAGTAGAGTTCTTTATTTCCTAGTACCACATCCCCGGTATTCTTGCTTTCCAGTCATGCCTGCTCAGTCTTACACTTACCGTACTGCCTCGCCAACAGTTTTCCACTCGTGACTTTCCCTGCTTTCAGAGCCTAACTTTGCAGAGGTTAAAAACCCGGAATAAATTGGGATTGACCCTGGTTCTTGTAAGATTTTCTTTTTCAGACACTTCACCATCGGTTCATTGCCAGTAAGAAATTTTAGGGGAAATAACTTATCATTTCTTCGTATATTATTGCGGTAGAGTTACCAATCGGAATTATATTTAAGTAATATGGAAACTATATTGATTTTTTGTGAACATTGAATTAGAATAATTAAAGTATTTTGTGTAGACTTTGTGCCAGTGGGAACTTGAAGTTGTTCATGTCAATGGCTCTTAGCAATCTTTAAGAAACGACACTAACAAAAATCGAATGCACCAAAATATTTGTACGTAGATTTCTCGACGTTATTGTGGATCGAATTTGTATTTGAATCACATAACATTGATTCTTTTCGCACTGTCCTTAGCTTAACGTTTTTTGTAGGGAATTTAAAAACCTGTTTTCAGTGAATTATTTTTGCGTCTATTGTTGATCGTTTGTAACGATTGAATAAGGGACGCCTGCCTAACATGAAGATGAAATTGTACTTGAAATGACGTAAACAGTGTCAATTCTATCATATGGCAACTTGAGATCCTTTTTGTGTTAGTAGCCTCTGGAGGAGGGGGCTCGTCCACAGTTGCCTCTCAACGCAGTGGGCAGAAAAGTACTTGAAAACCAAAGATATATTTTGGGCAGAAATGTACTGACTTGAGCTCTTATAGTAGAAAATAAAAGAAATGAAAATCAGGTTAGGGGCAACGAATGTACTTGAAAACCAAAGACATATTTGACAGCGTACATTGTACCATCCTACATATTTTCAAAAAATTGTATTTGTAGAGTGTATTGTGAATCAAATTTGCAAAATATTACAGCGTGGAATGTATAAGAATTTCTTCTAAAAGGCAAAAGTATAAAAAGATTATTTTTCTTCTGACTGCAAACCATGGAAATTATCAGTGGCCGAAATTAATTTTTCAGGTGGGGGCAATACCCACAAAAGCAAGCAATTTTGCCGACAAACGACATAATTTTACCGACAAAACCGACACAATTTAGCAAAACCGGTTGCCCACAACCCTGCAATTACCGCCACTGGAAATTATTCGAGAAGTTAAGTAGGATTGAGTGTCATCATCAAAACACTAGACCCAGTCCCAATTTGCGTTTGCGCGGGAAAGGGAAGCGATACTCACTGTGCATGGTCGGGAAAAAGCATTGAGGCAAAATACATTGAGACAAATGCACACGTAAGATTAATTATAGGGGATATAAATTTGTTCCTTAACATTCCCGTGCTGTGTTCCAATCTAGAGTTTCAAAGAGCTTACTAACTACACAATAGTGAAACTGGCCTAAATTTTGTCGACGAGACCTGAAAGTCCAGGGCTAAGCTGATTGCAAAAGCCCACAGAAAAAATGTCTGCTGACAAGAGAGGCAAACGTTCGTTTGGTGGTCCAGCTAGCAAGAAGGGTAGAGTTGAAGACTTTGATGATATACCAGGGAGTTTTGAAGAAGAACTCGCTTTATTTGAAGTGATAGAATCAGAATCAGAACCTAGTCAACAAAGTCAGAAGTATGACAGCCAAGAAAGTGTTGCTGGAATTAGTGACATTGTTGCAGAAAACAAAAACAGATGGTGTCGCCCTGCTCCCCCAACAATAGATCCATCGAAAGACAGTTTGGTTTTCCAGCAATTCGAGATAGACAACTATGTTGGTGAGAATTTTTTATGGTGTTTCAAAAAGTAATTTTTTTTGTAACCATCCAACAGAATTTTTTCCCATGTCCTGATACTGGGATGCTATGTCACCCTTTCTAACTTTTAAAAATACTGCTTGTGAATCCATCTGCTTTTCTTGGTTTAACGAGCTTTGAAGATTCAAAGAATGACATCTGGACCAAAAGTTTGACTTCAAGATGAAAGAGATGTACAAATTGTTAAGAATCGTTTTCAAAATTATGTTTTAATAGAATCATTGTTTATTTTATTTATACTATAACCATAATCCAATTTTAATGATGATAATAAAAAACTCAACCAGATACAATCCTACAAATCATATTAACAACAATACTAACATGAATTACAACAAAACAACAAACTGAAAGCAACAAAATAGAGTTTATGACAACATTTCCTATGAAATAAGTGTGCAGAGCATGGCTATGGCACAGTCAAGATGCAGACATGGTAGCGCCCAGGGTACACCTAAGCCTAGAGCTATGAAATTATATAATGGAAATTTTGAATGCGCTGACGCACCTAGCGATTTTGAATGGTTTTTGCGCACATATGCACCCCGATGCAGGCTGTTTGAGCACCTAAAAGTTTACCAGTGGTTAGTGATAATTCTCCTTCCATAGGTTCCCTTGCCCTCTTTTCATCTACATATAACAGTGTTTAAAATAATTTTACCCCTTGGAACCCTTTTTTAGTATGTTACTGATTCTTTTCACAATCATTGAAATACCAAGATAACTAAGTTTTAGATGTTAAATGTTTTTTAAAGTGTTGATAGTTTATGGGTAAAAATATTACAAAACCTTTTTACTGTTTGCGCCATTTTATATCTGCCTTCAGGACCAAGTACAGAGCAAAACTTTTTTATTTTATCTCATTCAGGTTCACATCTGAATGGGATGCCAGGCTTGAGAGATGGCCCAAAACCCATCATGCGAATGTATGGTGTTACCAACAATGGAAACAGTGTGCTATGCCATGTCCATGGATTTGTTCCATATTTCTTTATACCTGCTCCAAAAGGATTTGTCTCAGAACACTGTGGATTGTTCCAAAGTAATCTTAATAATATAGTTCTATCAGATATGAGGTCGAATAAGGACAATGTTTCCCAGGTATAATTCCCAATTCTTTCCTTTTCTGTAATACTTAATAAAATTACAACTGACAGAAATTGCTGCTTGGTAAAAATAGGAAAATTTCAATTATTCTATTTTATTGAATTTTTAGTCAACTCCTTTTCAATAAAGATACACAACTGTATTGGATTTTTTGTAATCTTTTCTTGCAGAAGACCATAATTCTGACATATGCTAGATACAACTGCTATATATTAATGCACATTTACTTTAACCATGAAGCTCAGTTCTCATTATTCACTTTTGTATTAATTTCAGCCTATACCGTTTTTCCTCTAATGAATGCCTCCCTCTTTTAAACCGCCCTGTATTGAATGCCCCACCTTCAGCCCCATGCCCCACCACCATTTGGAGAAAAAAATGCCCCCCTCTGATAAACGCTGCCCTCCATTGAGCGCTGCATCTTGAAAAGCGACGTTCATTAGAAAACACACCACTTTTGGAAAGCTATGAAAGTTTTTATGTCATAGTGACGACAACTTTGACGAAGACAAGGATATTGACATTCCTTGACATTTCCTTAACATGAACGCATCTTTTGTGAACTTTAGAAAATTTTTCTTACCATCTTTATTAGGTGTTTTTGGGAAATGAAAATATTGTTTAAAATCTGTTTTTATCTTTTTTCATTGCTCTTTTCTTGTCATTTTTCGCCGCCCTCTGATAAATGCCACCCTCTATTGAACACCACATCCAAAATTTTGAGTTTATCATGAATGCTGCGGCGTTCTTTAGAGGAAATATGGTATGCATTTCTAATTTAATTGTCTTGTCATGTCAAGGGACCTTCCAAACGTTTGGTGCTTTTCAACCTTGCCCTTGTTTTTAGCTAAGGTATATTGATTTTGCAAGGTTTTTAGCTAAGTACTCTTGGACTGACAGTAATTATGAATCTATACCTAAATGCAGCTCGCAATCTTAATGTTTTTTTTGCAGGAGATTACCCTGTTTCTCCCAGTGTTCCCATAAACTCATTTTCAATATTTACTGATCCCTCATAAAAATGTGTTTTGCCAACAAATGACACTACATTAAAGAGACAGCAAGTTTAGCATGACTGGGGCACTTCCCATAGGCCTAAGTATTTCTATTATTTCTTCATGAAAGGCCAGACAATCTTACATACTCAAAGCTCTGTTAACTGCATAGTTTGTTTTGTAAGCAACTAACGTCACAGTGAAATGCTTTTTTGATTGCAGCTTTCCAACTCTTTTTTCATAGCAGCAGCTTTTGTTATCAGTCTAATAGGCTCTTTTCTTTGGCTGATCCAACAGAAAGTGCTTGTAGACAAATCATCCTCTTTTATTGACTATCGTAAAAATGATTAATTTTTTCTTCTTTTTTGCTAGGCTATTGTTGCAGTTGAGCTAACAGAGAAAGAGAGCATTTATGGATTTCATAACAATACTAAAATCCCATACTTGAAAATCTATGTTTCTTTGCAAAAACTCATTTCACCAGCAAAGAGGATTCTTGAAGCTGGATTCAACTGTCCACCCTATGGACTTAGATCATATGCAACATTCGAAAGCAATATTGATTTTGAGGTATGTACAAAACTCTTGTGCAATTTATTTTGCTCTTGTATTTTTTCTTGATCCTTTTCACTTATTAGGGGGATACTCTTGAAAGGGAAAGCTGTATCAAGGGTAAGGCATTAGAAGAGTACAATCCCCTCACAAAAGTATCCAGAAAGTTCTAAGATCGATTACTTTCTCAAACCAATGCAAATTTTAGGAAGGTGGTAATGTCTCTTTAACAGAGTGGTGATAATTTTTTAGAACCCTCACAATGTGAACCAAGACATTAAAATGTTGCAAAAGTTCTGCGCTTTTTGTCTGTCGTTTTTTGTTAAAATAAGAAACCCCTGCGCTACAAGCATTACACAAATCAACTGATGTCAAACAAGCAAAGAACAGCAAGGTTGGGTGACTTTGGACTCAGTTCGAATGGGCCAATAGAACATGATTATTTTTTACAAACTGCTTCTTGAGACACAAATACTTTCAAATAAAGAGAAATACAACATGATTACTCTCAGTTTTGAAAAGTATTTTCATGGAGATGCCACTGATCAGTTATAAAACATCCCTCAAGTTTGCTAACTTTTAACTAATCTGAAACTTTTTTGCAAATCAGACATATCATTCAAGCCATGGCCATAAAGCCACTGCACTGTTTTTTTACTGCTGCAAGTCTTGCTGAAATAAATCGGCTCAAGGGTGCATTTACATTTCTTTATGATTTTTCTTGCAATATTTACAGACAGCTATTGAAAGTTCAATGCAATGTTGCATAATGGCGCAAACCAGTTTTGATGCAAATTAATTATGGTGGAAAGTTGGGCCGTTGGTATCACAAGGGCGCTTGCTTTTTTGACCATTAAAAATTGTTTATGCCTCTTGTTTTCAATTTTTTTTCATATGTTGAAAGTGATAGTCTTTGTGCATCGAATGATATTAGAAATTTAATGACAGCTTTTTTTCATGCTTGGTCAGAAATCAATTTTGTTTGCTCCCATCTTGAGGAAAAACGCTTATTAAGTTTACTTACATATCGATAAAAAAGCTTCAAGAAAAAATTCAAGGAAACTGATAAAAACGTTTTCATGAAAATTGCCTTTGAAATTTGTAAACAAATTTCTCTAACAACAGATTCACAATTAAATTCGAAAATTTTGTGTGGGGAGTGGAGAAAATAAAATCTCAATTTTCTTAGTAAATGAACTTTTTTTATTAGCCAAACTTTTTAAACTTATTTTGTTCAAGTTATTCCAGTTGTCGGGCAATTTTTTAGATTTGTGCCCTCTTCTTGCCAGTCAGTCAAAACTTCCAAGAGAAGTAAACTTCAAATAAACTTTACCTAGTGTTTTTCCTTACTTTATCTTGGATGCCCTACTGGGTATTTGCCGCAAGCACCACTACCCCCAATCCAATCCCGCATTTAATTAAGCTCACACATATGCACTTTTGCTCATTCAAAAAGGTTCGGTTCATGGTTGATTCAAATATTGTTGGATGCAATTGGATTGAATTGCCACCAAAGTCTTACAGGATAAGGGAGGCTTCAAAATCTACAAGCAGAGGTGGCCTGACCCCAACATCTCATTGTCAAATTGAAGTTGATGTTGCTGTAGATAAACTGATCAGTCATGAACCAGAAGGTAATTTAACACATGACTTTTTATTTAATTGATTACCAATTCCTGTTTTACTCTTTTTCATTTGAAATGTTGTTCTTTCTTTCTTGTGCATGTATTAACCTTTCTTTCGCCATATGTAGATTGTGAGTTTTGTTGAACTTTGAGTATCTATTGTTTCATGCCACATATAATTCTGCCACTTGCATCAAGGGTCTCTCCACAATGCTTCTTGTAAATATTTGTGGTAGAGTTTTATTCAGTGGGAAGCTTGGCTCAACCAATTTAGAGACAGCTGCCAATATTTGAGTGGGCATTGCACCCTGCTTCCATGCCTTGATTTCAGCAGAACAAGTCTTTCATATTTCCAGTGCTGCCTTTCCTGTCCTGCCAAGCATCAAAGTTATTGTGTCTGTGTCATTAAAAAAAATCTGCAGATATAAAAGTGGCTTAAGCCATCTGTCTTTCAATATTAACCAATTGATGAGCCTATGATTGGAACACACTTACTGATTGGTCAATTCTTGATTGAAAAATGGCTGAACTCTTGTTAATCTTTGTTGATTGCCTTTAAAGTAGAATAGAAGGTTTTGTTGCTGCTCTCTTTCCTTGATTCCTCACACCTTTTGATTGTGTTTGAATTTTCCCCTTCTCATTTGTCTAATGGTTCCATTTTTACTCACCAACTTTTATTTCAGGTGACTGGGACACAGTGGCACCTCTAAGGATACTCAGCTTTGATATTGAATGTGCAGGTCGAAAAGGAATTTTCCCCGAGCCAGAGAAAGATCCTGTTATCCAAATTGCAAATATGGTTATACGACAAGGGGACAAAGATCCCTTTATAAGAAATGTATTCACCCTCAATACTTGTGCCACTATAGTTGGATGTCAGATTTTGTCTTTTGATAACGAAAAAGATTTACTACAGGTAGGGAATTTTACTGGTTTTCTTATGAAATATGTTGATCAATCAATGTTTTACCAGAGTCTTATTTGGTAGACTAAACAGTCAGGCAGTCTCCACTGGGCATAAAGAATTGAAAGCTTTGTGAAAGACTGTGGGTTTAACTGTTTTATTAACCAGTCAAAACCCACATAGAACCAGTTTTGGTTAGTTTTTACCATAATACCATGGGAACTGAGGTAACAAAATAGATTTTTAACGTGTTGTTGATATGAACCATAAGAAAATTAAAGAAGTAGCAATTTACCCAAAATTTCATTAACAGGGAGTGTCTCAATGATGAGTCAGTAATAAATTACTGACATTCAGATTAAGGTTTTGCCAACGGTTGATCCATGTGTTTGTTATTTACAGTGGCTGTTTATAAATCGGCATAGAATCATTTCGTTCCTTTCGAAAAAAAGCTCGATATTAGATTTTAATGGTGATTCATTACATAATTCAGGTAATAGAGGATAAAAGACCAAATGATACTAGGATTAAGTCAGAGGCTATGGTAAAATGCTTGGTATAATCCTGATAATGTAATAAATAATCCAGAGGGTCGTTTTTATAGTGTGTTATTTTTGTTCTCATTTTGTATAAACCTATTCAACTTTTCCACATAACACGCATTTCACCCTCTTTAAACTATTTCAAGTATGAACTAACTCTGTAAACGAACCCTACTGTTCATTTCTTATATACCTTGATTAAGCATATATCAAATATTATTGTATACAATAAGATACGAATGATATATTTAATAGTAATGATTAATTTCTTCCCTTACTAGGCGTGGTCAGATTTCGTGACACAAGTCGATCCTGACATTATCACTGGCTACAATGTTGTCAATTTTGATATCCCTTACTTGATAAACAGAGCCATAACTCTCAAAGTTGGCAAATTTCCACTTCTAGGACGGACGATTAATGAAAGGAGTGTTGTATCAACAACAACTTTCCAGTCACGGGCATATGGTAAAAGAGAGAATAAGTCAATCAATGTATCTGGGAGAGTGCAATTTGATCTTTTGCATATTCTTCTAAGGGATTACAAACTTCGCTCGTACACTTTGAATTCAGTAAGTTATCATTTTTTGCAAGAACAGAAGGAAGATGTGCAGCATTCGATCATTACAGATTTACAGGTTCGTAAAAATCTTATTTTGTCTGAATTCATTTCTTTAGATTTCTTTGACACGATAATAGGTTCAAAATTGCAAATATGTTTCCAAAGATATTTGCAATCATTTTTTGGCATTCAAAAATTATAAATTATAAAACCCCCTTAAAATTATAAAAATAACCCTTGAAATTATAAAAAACCCTTAGAATTATAAAAAACCCTTTAAATTATAAAAAAAACCCTTAAAATTATAAAAAAAACCTTAGAATTATAAAAACCTCCTTAAAGTTTTAAAAAAAGCCCTTAAAATTATAAGATCCTTTGTTTCCAACGATCAATTCCTTTTGTTCTTTTTCACAAACAATGGTGCACCCCAATTAATTCTATTTTTAACTTACTTTGATGTATTTAACAATTAAGTCAATTAAACGAATAAATTCGTTTGGCTAGGCTTTAAAGTACAACGTAATAATCGTTTTTTCATAAATGTATGGTGATATGAATGCTTTTGCATTAAGACCGTTTTTGACACTCTGAATCATGGCCTTTTTTTACATATGTTCCGTAAAATTTTCTCTGCTTAGCATGGTAATTCGCAGACCAGAAGAAGACTGGCCATTTACTGCATGAAGGATGCTATTCTCCCGCTGAGACTGCTAGAGAAGCTCATGTGCATCATTAATTACATGGAGATGTCAAGGGTCACTGGTGTACCGCTCAGTTATCTGTTAACACGTGGGCAGCAGATCAAAGTTGTATCACAGCTTTTACGAAAGGTAATTTGCTTCTAATGAAGGAACCCAGTCTCTAATTGAAGGCTGAAATCTAGATAGAGGCTAATATCTAGATGAGGCTGATAGCAGATTCGGTGAATCCCCTGGAATTTATATACATCGAAATGTCGCCATATATGGAAGTCTGGAAGTCTAGTGAAACTAGCTGTCTTGTCTCAAAAATTGTGGACCCTACACTGCCCGATCGACCCACTGCTCTCTAACAGAAAACTTTAGTTTACTAAAGACTTTGCCCCCAAATCAATCACTGTTGCTAGAGTTTTGACAATATGAGCGGTCTCCCTGTAAACTAACACTTAAATGATTATGTAATCAAGATTTTTGTTTTTGACTAAATTTAGCTCTCAGTTGCAAAATTTTTGTTTTCATCTATTTCGATGGTAATTTTGTCCTGATCAAAGCGATGATCGTCTTCGTCCATTAACTTTTTCTAAGTATATATGCATACTCGTGCAAATTAAATTGTAAACGAGCTATTATTATTTTCCAACGACCAAGATAAAACATATGATTAGATTTGACTGCAAATGCAATTCATTGTATTTTTTGTGATATGGACGTTTTGTTCTGCAGACTAATAAACAAGATTTGCTTATCCCTGCGCAAAAGATTGAAGCTGGCGATGAGTACGAAGGAGCCACTGTTATCGAGCCAAGCAAAGGGTGAGTTTAGTGTAATCTTCTTCCTTTATAACCTCACAATACGTGGCTGTCTTAAAAAGATTAAGCTGAACGTGAAAAAAGTCTCCACTGCTCAATTTCCAGCCTTCAATCTCTAAATTATAATTTTGTTTGAAATACTGTCCCATGAATCCATAATTCTTTTCTAAACCCCAATCCAGCTCTCTGCCAAATTATAGTTCCCTTCTTCCTTGTTTGTGCTAGTCCTTCCCGTTTCTCTGCAATCCGCCTTCATTCCCTAATTCCCCCTTTCTTTCCCTCTCTTCCTTCCTTTTTACACAAGTTCGTCTTCACTTCATTTCTGCTTTCAACCCTCATTCATTCTCTCCTTTCTGTGTTCTTTTTTCTAGTGTTTCCCCCATCCTCTCCCCATCTCTCCTTTCAATTCCATATTCAGTCATCCAAGCCTTTACTTACCGCTACTCATTGATAATTTCATAATTTGCCTCACCTGCATTTAGCCCCTGCGTAGTGAATATTCTGTGCCAGCATTCTTAACTACATATATCTCCTAAGTAAGCATACACCAATGTTGCCATTTTGTGTATGTTACATTTATTCAATCAGTAAAATACAGCTCTGTTTATTTAGGTATTATGATGTCCCGATCGCAACCTTGGATTTCGCATCACTGTATCCCTCCATTATGATGGCTCATAACCTCTGCTACACCACACTCCTATCACCACAAGCAGCCAAAGAGTAAGCACTCTACTTCTAGCCTAATACTTACGTGATTTGCACAACATGTAGGAAGAGCACTTAAGGTTATGGTAAACGTTCTCTGGATGAAAACATCAATTTTTCGATTTTTTCAGATTCTAGTAGACGAACTTTCAAGGCGCACAATGATACCATGTTTGAAACTTACAGAAATCTTCAAAATGGAAAAAATCCCATGTAAATGAAGGTTTCCATAATTTCTTTATCAAACTGTTTCCACCCGAAGTACGGTTCCAAGCAAAGTTCCTTTCGGATCTTACCCAATAGGCACGGATTCTGAGGCCTGGATCCTGTCATATCCCTGTAAACGCAGCCAGTTTGGATAAGAACCATGTGGCTCTTCTTCTTGTAAACCGGACCTCAATTGCTGTTGTATCCTGGCAATTATAGTTTGTTCATCTATCCTCTTCTTGACATTATACAGATGTTAACACCCCTAGATCCAAGAAAAGAAAACTTAACAAAATACTGTAATACACCACTTTAATCAAGCAGTCTCGTATTGAAATCGGTTTTGACCCCCGTTGCAGACTTAGGACAGAAAATTCATCCTAGATACAAATTTTAACTTGTCAAACTCTGATCATGATGATTATCTAAGGAAAATAAGTTTTGAATTCTGTAAGAGTTTTGACCGTGAAAGTTGTATGAGTGTGAAATATCACACCCCAAGTGATTTTTGAGATCAAACCCCTTTGAATTTTTAAGTTTTTAAACCTTATATCGTCATAGAATTCGTATCGCAAATATAATATATATATGTATAAAAACTTTTTTCGGTCATGGATTGAAGACCATGGGTTGAAGGCCATGGATTGTTGAGAATGTTGTGGCCATGGACCGCAATCACCCACCACGGCAGTCGTCGTTTTAATGTATACATAAAATATTCAATGTTGAAGAATCAAATGATAATGTTTTGGCCATGGATTGAAAGGATGTATTGCTTGATTGTCCCCAATCACCAACCACGGCAATCATCGTTATCATATATATATGAATATTTAAATATAATATTGTTTTTTTCTAGGATGAATGCAGATGAATACATCATAACACCATGTGGAAATTATTTTGTTAAATCAAAAATGAGAAAAGGGCTTTTGCCGGAAATTTTAGAGAGTCTTCTTGGAGCAAGAAAGAAGTGAGTCATGATAGAAAGGGATTTGAAATTTTAAATCAGCTCGATTTATAGAACTAGAATTTTTTAGGCCTAGGAATATTGTACTCTGAGACCACAAGTCACGAAAATTTTTGTAACGCAAGCAAAAATATTTATTTCTGTTTGATCTCTTGAAATATCTCTTTCGCAAAAAAGTTTGAAGCGTAAAGACAGCAGCTACGTTATCCTGAAATCAAAATCGAGGAAAAGTGACTAAATTTTTTGCAAAAGGCTAAATATATCCTGACATAATTTTACCACGATTTTTCATCACCCTGTTAGTACTTTCCCCTAGTTTTTTACCTGGGTTGTACGAGTGGTAGTTATTTAGACAAAACGATTGTATTGTTATAGTTTTGGCTCAATTGAAAACTTGAATTATGTTGTTTATTAAAGTTTCTTTGTATGCCTGAAAGTTCGGTTTGGGAAAGGCGAAAAATTTGAAATTTATTCGGGAAAAAGTGACGAAGTTTTTAAAAGTCACTATATTTTAGCGAGTGAACAAATTTTTTCTGACATTTCTTTACCTCCAATTTTTTTATTCCGAAAAGGTTTTCGATTTTTGCATTAAACTTTGCTGAGTAACTTTATATGTACACCACTTTTAAATTGCTGTGATATTTTTTCACACCAATCTTTAAGTGTTTCTAAAAGGTATTCAAAAGTTTTATTGGTTTAGTGACCGGCTGTACCAATCTCAAATATAGCACCGGGTTAAGTTGATTAAAGGCAGAATTTCCCCTATTGTGCTCAACTTTATTTTCACGGGAGTGAAATTCACGCACCGTTGAGTTTGTTCATATTAGCCAATCGTTGAAGGGACAGACTGCCTTTAAAACGGTTCGAAGTGAGTCATGGTACCGTGTTTTATCACGTTCTTCATTTTCTACAGAGCCAAAGCTGACCTGAAGAAAGAAACCGACCCGTTCAAAAAGAAGGTTTGTCCGACTTTTTATTCAGGATCAGCTGGTCAAAGTTTTAGCAGCAGCATGTTTCTGTCAATTTAAAGACCGGATGCAACAACTCTGATTCTTGCACTTCACTTGATTTAAATGAGTTTTCTATTTGGTGACACACCTCTGTCAATGACCCTCAACGCAGTGCATAGATTTATGATAGCCATAGATATAACCAAATATTTCTGAGTATAGGTAGATGAACTCTCCTGTCCCTTGAAAAAGGAAAAGCCATGTTTTATTTTGAAGTCTCGTGTCTTTGAATTTTGAATTCTAGATCCCAAGAATGTTTAATTCCAGATTTTGAACCAACTTCAAAATCTTTTCACGTGTTAATGTCCCCTCTTTGCTAGAATGCCAGCCGAATGTGCATAATAGTTAAGGCCTTAAGATGTTTCTAATGCTTCGTCGTACTTACTCACGTCTATTTTCGTATACATTTACCATTCATCAGGTTTTGGATGGCAGGCAGTTAGCCTTAAAGATAAGTGCAAACTCGGTGTACGGTTTCACAGGGGCACAAGTGGGCAAACTTCCATGCCTTGAGATTTCGTCTGTGAGTATTCTAGTTATTCAACTGCGTAAGGTGTTATCGACCGCTGATTGATTAGAGCAAGGAACCAATCAGACGTGCCGTCCAACCTTTTATTTTTTCCTGATTCACACCTAGATATAGATTTTCCTTAAGTTCTGTTCATTTTCTGACTTGAAATCTGTTAAAAAATGCTGGGAAGTGAATTGCTGAATAGCAAATGCCCGGAAAGATTGCAAGAAACCTAGCAAAGGACTTGCATGCAAAAGGATATCAATTATTGCGTCAAAGGTATCAAGGGCGTTTACCTTTTTTGATACCCGCTCGGTTAATTTGCATAAAACGGCTGGGACGAAAAGTTGGTCTGAAAAAATTGCCAAGGCCCGCGTCTGCTTATGGATTCGTTTACTGGCGACTGATCACTGCTCGAATCAACATCAAAAGTATTCAAGTGTTAGTGGATTTCAATTCTTAACCATCGTCCGTGATCTGTTCTCGCAAACAGCTATTTTAAAAGCTTCTGTCAAGCATCGTGCTCTTGAAGGGTACGTAGGGTTAGGTCAGAGCTGCAAAAAATATTTTTCTTTCTGGGAAGCTGGGAAGCAGAACAAAAATTCTCTGTCAGCTCAAAGTATTGTGTACCAATAGTACGCGCATATGTTTACATAGGGCTTCTAATTTTTTGTCCCTTTATCTGAAGCTTTATCTGTTAAAAGGGTCCTGGACAAAGAAGCTGAAGGTTGCTTCCAAGTTATACAACTTTTGTGATATTTAAAAAATGAGTAATAGTTTTTATAATGGTTTCAAAAATGTGAAACTTTTTTATTTGATGCAATCTGCAACCTGCAAATGTCTGTTTTGAAAAAGTCAAGAGCAAAAAGAGCTGTTTTTTATCAAGTTTTGCTGAAAATTTTCTGCCAAGCAAAATATTTTTCTGGCATTCTAGTTCCGATGTTCCGATACTTTTTGCAGCTCTGGGTCAGGTTATGTCAAAATTACTCTCACTCAAAATGAAACACTCAAATTACACAATGAAATACTCGATAGCTGCCTTCGTGACACACAATTTGTGTGATATATTACTCAAAATTGATGGAACCGGTTTCCTAATTTTCTATTGTTTGCAATGACAAATATATTCAAAATGAATAGTTCCTTAATTATTCTGTCTTTATGAACTAACTGTTTTGTAATTTTTTCTGCCTTCTAAATGTATGTATTCTTCTATAAATGGTTCTTTTTAAAGAAGCGTGTAAATTTGGTCATATGCATTCGATGTTACTGCTATCGAAAAGGAACCAATTATTTCTGGTGACGTTATGGCTGCTTTTCCTCGATAAATATATATGCAAATATGTGAAGCCTTGAAAGGAATTTTGACAAGCACTTCCCAAAAGTCAATTAAAGACAGCCCTGAAATCTGCCCTGAGACTCTAACTCCAGAACCCCTTCTTCGTCATGGCATTTCAAAAGCAGACACCAGCGGGAGTGTAAACCCCACGTTTACAACGTGTCAAAAATTGTTATTATAAACTTGATCTGCAAGCTTCGTGGTTTGTTTATGGCTGACTAAGTTATCATGTTGTTGTCATCAAAGAAGTTTCCCAAATTCCAAACAAGGTTCTGAGGTTTGCTACGCATTGCAAGTCTTTTTAAGTAATTTTGCCTCTGTTTAATTACAATAAGTTTTAACCTCTCTGTTTTCAAGATTTTATTGTCATGTAACCAAAGCTGTGCTAACAGCCTATTTGTAAATATAAAGCTTGAAGTTACTGCTCGAGCTCGTTTAAGCAAGAAGGCCCCTTAACTGCGAACTCTCATCCTGTCCATCCCTGTAAAATGCTGATATTTCAATTAAAAACATTTTTACTCCCAACCAATTTTTTACCAGCAGCCATGTAACATTCAAGTTATTTGGTGTATAAAATAGGACGGTTCTACGTTGCTACTCCGACCGTTGCTACTACGTTGTTTCACATGTACAGCTGTGCCTACACGGCTTCGAGCACTTTGTGACAGACCAGCAAACAGTTATTTTCAATAATATTTCAGTTGAGCTATCTTTAATGGGAGTATAACTAAATAAAATCGATAATTTTCATCAAAGTTCAAACGTCGATTGTCTAGATAAAACGTCGAGTGTCGTCTTCCAGTTTTACTAAGTGCAATGTCATGTTTCTAAAGGCTGATGACGAGACTTTTAGACGTGTCACTTAATGTCAGATTCCTAGTTGTCCAGCCTTGTAGTCACAGAACTTCCTATTTGTTCCCAAATTCACTTTCATCAACAGTCTCAATAGACCTACCAACTATTCTTGAAGCCACAAGATAAGATGACAATTAAGTTTAATTTGGAAACTGGAATTTAAACTCGGCGTTTTTTCAATAAATTATTGTCACTTTGTGTAGTTCTTCTTTCATCTATCACAAAATTTTTTGATCAATTATCTGAAAGAGAATAGCACTGCTATATTTCTTTACACATCTGCCATTTTATGTAGTTATAACTTTGCTTATTTATCATTCCATTTGCCAGTTGTTTCTCAATTCCTTTACTGTTTCTTAGTTTTTCATTTATTGATTGTTATATTTCAATATGATTTTGTTGACCTTTTCATTTAACAACATAATTCTCTATATCTAATATATTATTATTTTCTATGGCAAAGCATCTATTTATTTTACAGAGTGTGACGGCTTTTGGTAGACAGATGATTGAGCGAACCAAACAGCTCGTTGAGGACCGGTATTGCATTGCCAATGGATATAAACACGATGCAAAGGTATATGACATTCAAATACATAACTACAGGCTCTATGCATATTTAATATCTAAGTACTTTGCATAGGTCACTTTGAACTTCACAACGTTTCCTTAAATCTGGAATACCCAATAAAAAAGTTCATATGACTCCAAGCGTGTATTTTTAGTTTGAAACAACCCTTTAAGTCTTTTTCTTAATTTAAAAAAATCTTGTTCATAATTTTTTCCCATTCCTTCTTTAATCGTTAAATATCAATTTATTTATTCCATTCTTTTTTCATTTGTTTATTTGTTCTTCCAACTCTCCCTTCAATCTTTACCCACATCTATCATTCCTTCGTTTCTTGGTTTTGATGCCAGTCACTGCCTCCCATGATCTTCCCCAAGATTTCGTCATCAAAATTTCTTCCTAACCACCCTTGATTTATCGAGTGCATCCTCAATCTCTGGTAGCCGTTTGTTCAGCCATGCCTATATAACTCAGAAATAACTCAGAATAAAGCACTATTGTCAACTCTCCTATTATTTTCTTTCAACCATAAGTTCTTCAGCTATCTAGATTGAAATACTTGTCTTCGCAAACTAGACTGAAATACTTGTTAGTTAAAAGAATACAACAGAAATCACTTAATCAACAACGTTTTTGTCTTTGTGTACATAATTAGGCCTAGGTATCATAAGTGGTAGGGATGAGTAAAAACCATCCCAATTGTGTATGATACTTACTTACAGACAGTGGCCATACTTACTTGACAGTGGCCATGTGTTTTAGGTTATTTATGGGGATACTGACTCAGTGATGGTTCGTTTCGGTCTTGACACCGTGGCAGAAAGCATGGAAATTGGAAGGGAGGCTGCCGAGTACATCTCTGGTCATTTTGTTCAGCCGATCAAACTTGAGTTCGAGAAGGTACAATTTTATGTTGGCCACATGAAATTCGTCAACATTCTTGAAAAATAATTGTCTTAAAACATTTTATTCGTGAATTGATTGATGAAATGTTTATAAAATACTAAAGGTAGCGTGCTAATTGGACTTGTAAATTCAAAAATTAAGTATTTATAGTAAGTTTTATGGAAATTAATGTTCATGAGTCTGATATATACTGCTCGATGCCGTGTAGCCAGAGCTATATACACTTTACATGTATAGAACAGGGCGGTTCTAAGTTTCTCCGCCGAGTTTAATGCTTAATGCTTACACACAAATGCGTAAATTTGTTTTCGTGTTGAGTTAATGTCTCTAATTTGTAGAATGTTTATTCCATACGCCATTCACTTGTAATCCATCATTAGTTTGTCAGGCTCTCTTTCTTATCGAAAAAGACTTTCGCAAAATTTTAATATTTATACACATTTTAGTAACAGTTCTTGTACACTTTAATTTCCATCAATTTTCTGCTTAGGTCTATTTCCCCTATTTGCTTATCAGCAAGAAGAGGTATGCGGGTCTTTACTTTACGCGTCCGGACAAGCATGACAAAATGGACTGCAAAGGAATCGAAACCGTAAGTAGCATTGTGAATCCGCTTGTAGTAGATGAATTATCAATGCGGTTTCCGCAGATTGGCGTTTATTCGCGGGTTTCTGCACTTCCTTTGTGCCAAACCGAATGTAGCCTTTCTTCACAGTAAAACGATTCTAAGACCCTGTTTGCACGAGAAAACTGGCATCCATATGTCGATTTTAGAGATTTGTTGACACAATTTGACAAAGACCAGTTTCATAAGCTTACATGCTGCTTATCTGCCAAAAACTCGAGTTCGTATCCGCTATTGCTTTTTAGGGTAACCTAAATGTCAGTTGTGAATTCAAGTTATCTAATGTTTTAACACTGTTAAAGAAGCTTTGTCATCGGACGCCAATGGAAGCGATGGAATAACCTCTTAGTTCCTGATAACAAATACCGAGCTGCTAGCTTCATCGCTTTCATCATTATACAAGAGCTACAATCATTGCCAAAATAACTTGGAACACCCAACACTTTGCGCTTCATTTGTTTCCCCGAATGCTACTACTTTTGTCCCCTTTCACCCAGAACAATGTTAAAAGTATAGAAAACATCAAACGAAAAAGCCACAAGAAAAAGCGTACGCCATAGCCTTTTCTTTTTTCTTTAGCAAATCAAAAATTGTTCTTAGTGGGAGAGGGACATCTCCAAGACCTTTGATGGTGTCTGGCACAAAGATCTCTTTTCTAACCTTTTTGAGAGCAAAGTGATTTCTCTCGACATCTCCAAGACCTTTGATCGTGTCTGGCACAAAGATCTCTTTTCTAACCTTTTTGAGAGCAAAGTGATATCTCTTGACATCTCCAAGACCTTTGATGGTGTCTGGCACAAAGATCTCTTTTCTAACCTTTTTGAGAGCAAAGTGATTTCTCTTGACATCTCCAAGACCTTTGATCATGTCTGGCACAAAGATCTCTTTTCTAACCTTTTTGAGAGCAAAGTGATTTCTCTCGACATCTCCAAGACCTTTGATCGTGTCTGGCACAACGATCTCTTTTCTAACCTTTTTGAGAGCAAAGTGATTTCTCTCGATATCTCCAAGACCTTTGATCGTGTCTGGCACAAAGATCTCTTTTCTAAACTTTTTGAGAGCAAAGTGATTTCTCTCGACATCTCCAAGACCTTTGATCGTGTCTGGCACAAAGATCTCTTTTCTAAACTTTTTGAGAGCAAAGTGATTTCTCTCGACATCTCCAAGACCTTTGATCGTGTCTGGCACAAAGATCTCTTTTCTAAACTTTTTGAGAGCAAAGTGATTTCTCTCGACATCTCCAAGTCCAAGACCTTTGATGGTGTCTGGGACAAAGTTCTCTTTTCTAACCTTTTTGAGAGCAAAGTGATTTCTCTCGACATCTCCAAGACCTTTGATCGTGTCTGGCACAACGATCTCTTTTCTAACCTTTTTGAGAGCAAAGTGATTTCTCTTGACATCTCCAAGACCTTTGATCGTGTCTGGCACAAAGATCTCTGTCTTAAGTGTCTGGCACAAAGATCTCTTTTCTAACCTTTTTGAGAGCAAAGTGATTTCTCTGAACATCTCCAAGACCTTTGATCGTGTCTGGCACAAAGATCTCTTTTCTAATCTTTTTGAGAGCAAAGTGATTTCTCTGAACATCTCCAAGACCTTTTATCGTGTCTGGCACAAAGATCTCTTTTCTAACCTTTTTGAGAGCAAAGTGATTTCTCTGAACATCTCCAAGACCTTTGATCGTGTCTGGCACAAAGATCTCTTTTCTAACCTTTTTGAGAGCAAAGTGATTTCTCTCGACATCTCCAAGACCTTTGATCGTGTCTGGCACAAAGATCTCTGTTCTTAAATTTTTGAGAGCAAAGTGATTTCTCTTGACATCTCCAAGACCTTTGATCGTGTCTGGCACAACGATCTCTTTTCTAACCTTTTTGAGAGCAAAGTGATTTCTCTCGACATCTCCAAGACCTTTGATCGTGTCTGGCACAACGATCTCTTTTCTAACCTTTTTGAGAGCAAAGTGATTTCTCTCGACATCTCCAAGACCTTTGATCGTGTCTGGCACAAAGATCTCTGTTCTTAAATTTTTGAGAGCAAAGTGATTTCTCTCGACATCTCCAAGACCTTTGATGGTGTCTGGCACAAAGATCTCTTTTCTAACCTTTTTGAGAGCAAAGTGATATCTCTTGACATCTCCAAGACCTTTGATCGTGTCTGGCACAAAGATCTCTTTTCTAACCTTTTTGAGAGCAAGGTGATTTCTCTTGACATCTCCAAGACCTTTGATCGTGTCTGGCACAAAGATCTCTTTTCTAACCTTTTTGAGAGCAAAGTGATTTCTCTTGACATCTCCAAGACCTTTGATGGTGTCTGGCACAAAGATCTCTTTTCTAACCTTTTTGAGAGCAAAGTGATTTCTCTCGACATCTCCAAGACCTTTGATCGTGTCTGGCACAAAGATCTCTTTTCTAACCTTTTTGAGAGCAAAGTGATATCTCTTGACATCTCCAAGACCTTTGATGGTGTCTGGCACAAAGATCTCTTTTCTAACCTTTTTGAGAGCAAAGTGATTTCTCTTGACATCTCCAAGACCTTTGATCATGTCTGGCACAAAGATCTCTTTTCTAACCTTTTTGAGAGCAAAGTGATTTCTCTCGACATCTCCAAGACCTTTGATCGTGTCTGGCACAAAGATCTCTTTTCTAACCTTTTTGAGAGCAAAGTGATTTCTCTCGACATCTCCAAGACCTTTGATCGTGTCTGGCACAAAGGTCTTATTTTTATCCTTTTTTGAGAGCAAAGTAATTTCTCTCGACATCTCCAAGACCTTTGATCGTGTCTGGCACAAAGATCTCTTTTCTAACCTTTTTGAGAGCAAAGTGATTTCTCTGAACATCTCCAAGACCTTTGATCGTGTCTGCCACAAAGATCTCTTTTCTAACCTTTTAGAGCAAAGTGATTTCTCTGAACATCTCCAAGACCTTTGATCGTGTCTGGCACAAAGATCTCTTTTCTAATCTTTTTGAGAGCAAATTGATTTCTCTCGACATCTCCAAGACCTTTGATCGTGTCTGGCACAAAGATCTCTTTTCTAACCTTTTTGAGAGCAAAGTGATATCTCTTGACACCTCCAAGACCTTTGATTGTATCTTGTACAAACGTCTCTTTTGTAAGCTCTTTCTGTTTGGCCTGCATCGAATTCATATCAAGTGGATTTGCAGATTTCTTTCTGATAGGTCCATTGCGACACCAAATATATATTGAAGAATAACAAACTCCTCATATATTCTCATTTTAATGTATCTTTTTCAGGTTAGGAGAGATAACAGCCCTTTGGTATCTAGTTTAATCAGCACCTGTCTACAAAAGTTGCTTATCGATAGGTATGCTTATTCTTCAGACAATTCCATGTTTAGTAATATAATTACATCTTGAATTCCTGTTAATCATTACCTAAACAACTATCCATTTATAATTGTTGTGTTTGCATCTTCAACTTTCTTTCGTAAAGCTATGTAGTAGAAAATCAGTTATGACTTTTGGGGCCCAGGTAAAAGGGTTTATTTTTCACGGGAGGTCTTACAGGTTTGCAGCTGTTTGTATACAATCAAATTTACTGTGGTACAGTTAAATATACTTCGTACGCATTTAAACACACTTTGTATGGCACCAATTGGCTTCCGTGGGCATTTCTTATTCGGCATAGTTTATCTATTGCATTAGGATCTTTTCAGTATTAGAGTTTGATGTAAGAGATCAGAAAGTTTACATGATATCAAATCATTTTGAAGAATTTTTATAAAATCCAGCAATATGATAATTCTCAGTAAACCTAGAGCTTTGTAGGCAGTTTATTGTACTTTATACAAAACAGCCTGAGAGATTTCATAGTAAAAAGTCCAAAGAATTAGTGAGGGATCCTTTATGATCCTTGCTTAAAGAGAAGAATTCTGTTGTATACAGAGGCATACACGTGACTGTTTTATTCACAGGGATCCAGATGGTGCAGTCAACTACACGAAGCAAGTTATATCGGACCTGCTTTGTAATAGAATTGACATTTCACAGCTAGTCATTACAAAGGAGCTGACGAAAACAGGCGAAGAGTATTCTGGAAAACAGGCACATTCGGAACTGGCAGAGCGGTAGAAGACCTTTTGATTTAGTACTCATCGCTATGCCAACACTACCTTAACCTTCGTCAATCATTTTTAGCCAATTAATGGCAGTGTAAGTGGAGTCGCGCTCACTGATTGGTCAATTTCTGATTGAAAGATGGCATAAGCTCCTTAAGTATCTGTCGATTATCTTTAATGATGCTAACCAAGTGGTAAGAAACTTCAAACGCTACCGATCTATTTTTACTTTAATGATATAGAGGTTTAAAGAAAAATTGTAAAACAAAGATTTAAGTTAAAATTAAGAGCAGATTCGCGTGAAAGCTCAAGAAAAGCTGCAATTTTTTCTTTATAGCAAAAAAAATTCTGCATACACGAATTACTTGAAATGATATCTAAATTCGAAACTTACTTAGATTAGATTTTATTGTTATATTATGGTTTACTCAGTCTAATGAATTTGTTTTAGGATGAGAAAGAGAGATGCTGGGTCTGCACCCAAGCTAGGTGACCGTGTTCCTTATGTCATCATTGCTGGAGCTAAGGGTGCCAAAGCATATGAAAAGGCTGAGGTTTGTATAATCACTCTGTCATTTCTACCAAGATTCTTTAATAACATTTATTGCAATTCGACATACACCATCCCGCTGACTTATCAATTCCTTAGATTGGCCGCAAGGGGTAATAATTTGTTTTAACACATCTATAATCGCGAAAGGGCAAACGCAGCTTCGAATTCTTTGTTTGCAATTGAATCACATGACTGTGCTTCACGTGCATGATTGACAGCTGTAATACATCATAACGAGACTAGTGGGCACTTACCCAAGAGCCATAGCCCGTTGTTAATAGTAGTTTCATGAGGTAGTGCTACTAGCCCTTATCAGTGATCTGTCTCGGGGTTTCGAACTTGAGAATAGGCTGTTTATGAAATGTTAGCCTAACAACAAAGGAATGGATGAAGACAAGAGAGCTCCATAGTTTTACTGACCAACTATTGTTAGTCCTCTGCGGTTCTTCCTTTACTTTCTTTCACCAAACTGCATTCTTTGTCAAGCGAGAGGAAGGCTTTTCGAAAAAAAACAACTCACAATCTAGTCTTTTATCTTTTTTTGGCGAACTTCCCAACACTTGCATTGCTCTCTAACAAAACGAGGTTAATTCCAAGCGAGGTTAATATAAAGCAAGGTTAATACAAAAACTAAGATTAATACATTATTTCAGTCTCTTACACTATCAGTCCAGCAAGCCACTATCAGATAAGCTGTAAGATAGTGTTTCATTTGGTTTTTTCTCAGCTTTGAGGAAAGCCTCAACTTTATTGATCCTCATAAAACAAGCCCTTTTCTTTTTCCAGGATCCAATCTATGTGCTTGAGCACAATATTCCAATCGATACAAAATATTACCTGGAAAACCAACTGCAGAATCCACTGATGAGAATATTTGAGCCGATTCTTGGTGAAAACAAAGCATGTGACATCTTAATGAGTAAGAATTTGTTTCTTCTGTCATATAAACACATGTGGCTGTGTTTAAGGGGCTGTGGAAAGTGATAAGCAATTTGCAAACTCTGAGACCACAAAGAAATTGGAAGAAGATTGCGGTGACGGATCCAGGTTTTTTCTGAGGGTTGCAAAATATCACGTGGGCTGCGAATTCTGCAATCATGTACAGACCACGTGTGCAAGGCCAGAATCCATTATAGTTTAGGCCAAATATCTGTTCTGCATTTTTGTCAAAGATTTTTAATGAAATAAATCACCGACCACAGGTGCAATGCAGATAAAGAGGAAACAGGGTTCCGTCACTTGCACTTAGACAAGATAAGACAGAGAATAAGATATTCGAGTTTGCTGATTTGCTGCGAAATAGACAAAAGAAAATATAATAAAAATAAAAAATACACTTAAAGAGCACTAAAGCCTTTATAAATAAATTCTAAAACGCTAGACAAATTAATTTTTAAAACCTTAAATTACAGCAAGAAATGCTAAAAATATAATTCATACCAATCTGGATCTGCCACTGGATGTCTCCACTTTAGAGAATTTCTCTTTCAGAAGTTCTCCTTCATACAATTTGTTATAGGTTTTGTTTTGAAACTGTGTTTATACTTAATTTATATTGTATGTTGTTTTGGAGTGGATTTTAAAAATATCTTAATGCTGAAACTGCAGCCTCTCAGGACCAATAAAGTATTTACTGGTTTGCCTTTAAAAGCTTCGTTTTTTATTTGCAATTGCATCAAATTGTAACTTTCTTAATGAACTTTTCATAAACTTAATGAACTTACTGAACCTATTTTCAACCGTTCAAGTGAACATTTTTTCAGAAAGTTACTAGATTGTAAGTATTTGATTAGATCTAAATGGAAAACGATACAGTACATTTGATCAGCTTTTACTCGCTTTGCTAAATTATGTCGCATTAAATTGAATGTTTTCATATTTCCATTAAACCATATTTTGAATATCGAAAATACAACAGATTATGTCCTTGTTTCATTTAGAGGGTGAACACACTCGCGTGAAGACGGTAATAACCTCCTCCATAGGGGGACTAACGAAATTCACTAAGAAAATGGCGACTTGCATTGGGTGTAAGTCAGTACTTCCTAAAGATGGTGAGTGCCCTTCTTTGGTTCTTCCTTTCGTTTTCACACTCTTTATACTTTGACGTAGGTAAACTTTTTAGTTTAGCTTAGTGTTCATCTTAGCTTTCATCTTAGGTTCGTATTTTGCTTAGTTTTAGCCTGGCTTTTAGCTTGGCTTTTAGCTTAGTGTTCATCTTAGCTTTCATCTTAGGTTCGTATTTTGCTTAGTTTTAGCTTGGCTTTTAGCTTAGCTTTTAGCTTAGTGTTCATCTTAGCTTTCATCTTAGGTTCGTATTTTGCTTAGTTTTAGTTTGGCTTTTAGCTTAGCTTTTAGCTTAGTGTTCATCTTAGCTTTCATCTTAGGTTCGTATTTTGCTTAGTTTTAGCTTGGCTTTTAGCTTAGCTTTTAGCTTGGCTTTTAGCTTGGCTTTTAGCTTAGTGTTCATCTTAGCTTTAATCTTAGCTTTCATCTTAGCTTCGTATTTAGCTTAGTTTTAGCTTAGTTTTTAGTTTAGCTTTTAGCTTAGCTTTATAAATACACATGGTTATAGTTACCTATGGTGATATTGGTCATAACATGTCACGTCTTTTTCCCATGTGGTTTTACCAGAGGCTTTTGAAGCCTTAAGGAATACTAGCAGCATCTTATTAACAGTCTTTTCCGCCTGAAAATATCGAAAGGCGCTTCGAGTTTTGATATCCAAGTAATAAATTATTATAAATCATATGCCGTATCATCAGATAATAATTTTCCTTTAAATTGAATCAACTTCTTGAATTAACGAATAAAGTTCTTTTCAATTTTTCACGTCTGTAATCACAACCCTATGCCGCAAAGTTTAATCCCAACTTCCTTGCTTATATTCCGTCGACAAACAAAGTGATATGAATCTTAAGCTTTTTTTGATAAAACAATATTTTCTTAGCCCAAGACTCTGCTGTTTGCAAACACTGTGCTTCGAGGGAATCGGAAATTTTTCAAAAGGAAATGTCACAGTTGAGTTCCCTGGAGGAGAAGTTCAATCGGCTCTGGACCCAGTGCCAGCGGTGCCAAGGAAGTTTACACGAGGACGTTCTCTGTACAAGGTACAACATAGTTCGTCTCAACTTCCAAATAATCTTGGGTCTGAACTCTTGAATAATAAATATAGTTTATTCACGTTTCTGATCTCCCAGTTTTTTCTAATACACCCATTTTTTTATAAGAAACTGACTAGAAGAAACGAGTACTGGACAGTCAGAAAAAATTAAGAAACTTCAGTACTCGAAGCAAAACAATTAAGAAACTATTACATCGTGATAAAACTGAGAACAACAAAATTTTGTAAAATCCAAGAACAAGATGCCCTGTTGGCCTAGAACTTAAGACACAAGAGATAAAAATATACTTCCCACATCTAAATACAGCATCAGAACGGGAGCGAATCTCTTGACGTGATAAAAAAGGTTACGAACATTTAATAACATCATTCATGACATCATGATTAAGAAACTCTTAAAAAACAATGAGTATTTAAATTTCCAGAAGATGAAGAAACTGGAGTACTCAACATCGACCTTTGTTTCTTATAAAAAAATAAGATATTATCCAATTTCCCTTAACTTTTTCTCTCACTTTCTGCATTAGACACTTTTTGGTAACGCATTTAGGGATCCCTCACTGAATTAACCAATCAGCCACACCTACATAGTCAGATCTTTGACCTTTTTTAATTCGTACAATCTTCCCACCGTGAAAGAAGTTTCCATTGACGGACACTCGAGAAAGAGTCAATATTTTTTGTCCATTTTCGAGACTATTTTTTAAATTTATCGTTAATTTCATGATTTGTTTTTTAAGTAGTCTATTTTATTTGTAAATCTTTGAAATTTTTGTTACTGGCATTCTTCTGGGTTGAATAATACGCATATATCGCAAAGGGTTGAGAATTAGGAAACAGAGTTGATAATATTTTTTTGCCTTTTACGGAGAATATCCTTGTCCAGAATATTCGTTTAAAGAATTATTCGTTAAAGAACTTCTACTGATACATTCTATAATACTTTTCAAATAGTTATTCAAGTGCTGATCTTACAACAAAACTTAGGGTTTTCTATAAAAATTTATTTTCTTCCTATTTATACTGAATTAAGTTTCTTGTGTACCAGTTAAGATATTTTTATCCTCAGATCATTTGAACAAATTGATCCGTCAAAGTTAAAAGCTGAAAAATAGTGACAGTGATTGCAAAGAATTTCAAAGAATTGCAAAGCATGAAGTTCTAAAACGTTAATATTTTGATTTGAATAGCAACTGACAACAAATAAATTTACGCACTTTATTAACGAAGGCATATAGATATTAACACAACATTGCTTTATCTAAGTTAACTCCTTTAGAATACAGCTTCATGGTCAATATGGACCGATATCTCTAGTTGGTCCAAGGTTTTGCACTGTATTTTCAAATGCTATTTTTTGATTTTACAGTCGAGATTGTCCAATCTTCTATATGAGAAAGAAAGTCCAAAAAGATCTTGCTCACCAAGACAACGTCATCAAGCGATTTGGAAGTTTTGATTGGTAGAAATTGATCGAGCAATTTGTCAACAAAGAAATGAGTAATATCATCCCAAACAGTTTACTTCTTTAGAATAGCATGCTCATGTCCTTGAATTATTATTGTGGGCAATGTCGTGTCTGAGAATGTTAATATTGCGGGTTTATTAGAATATTTTACGTGGTTACGTATTAGAATATTATACCGACAAGATCACATTTAGGGTGTTTTCATTTGATGGCTAGTCTCAATGTCAATTGATTGCCTCGAACGATAATTCTCAATATTAGGTACTAGGCGTACCGAGAAGAGTTTGAATTAGGCCAATAGCTCTGAACTTATTTAGGATCTTTAAACTTAAATATGATACATCTGCAAATGGTAGCTTTATTGTTTCTTTTTCAGAGGACGTAAATTTGTTATGAAACGTATAGCATTAGTAACTATACTCAGTTTTAGGCCAGACAGTTGTCTCATTTTAGGCCAGACAGTTCATCTTTTAAACATAGGTATTTTTAAACACACCTATTTCATAGAGATCTGCCTGCGTTTCAAATACAACCGTTGTTTTAAGTCTCTCTGGGCAAAGTTTGTAGAAGCAACTGAGCTCTATGTCTGCAAGATTTCTTTTACGTAAGGTTGGCATCAGTGCCTTTATTTAGCAGAAAAAGCAATAAAAGTTATTGCAGAGCCCATTTAGAGGATCCTTTGAAGCAAGAACGACCAAATGATGGAAAAGACGCAGCCTGATATGTATTTGTATGAGGATAAACCAGTATTCCCACTGTTCAAATTTCTACTGATTAGCAAAATTTCTATTTTAACATCTTGGCATAGATCATGTCATGATTGTAGCCAGGGCTATTTTGCAACCCTGATGTTAGCTATTATTGCTTTCGACAAGGCCCAACAAAAGAAAAACTAGGTCTAGAAAACTTAAAGAGACACGAGAGAAAATGATATTTTCACAGGGAGGAAACTTGGAGCTGCTTGTCGTGCGCTTCGCAGTTAGAAAATTATCTTCACCTCGCTGTTGTTTTCTTTGACCTCTGTAACACACCCAACAGTGTGGCAACCATTCTTTTTAAATGTCATGTCTTATATTGTGAATGAAAACTTGATTTGTAAAAATTTCATAACTTGAAAATTGTCATTTATGCGGCTTAATTATAATTTTCTTTCTGGTGTTACAATTATGTTTCATACACATATCAGATGATTTAAAACCCAATACAACCTTCATTAGAGTTTTATGAAGAAAAAATGTTTAAACATTTTTACATTGCAGGTTTTCAGAATCATTAAACTTTGTGGAATCTTTGTGAAACCGAAACAGTCTTTTCATTTTCAACTTTTTTGCTAACACTATACTTATGTGACAAGACATTTCCATAATCTATTCTTGAGCATTTAAGCCAGTGTTTTGCAGCCACTGTTCCGTTGCACACATGTGTGCCGTTAGATAGTGTCTGTTGTGACGTGGAATATTCTGTTACTCCACCTAATTGGTCTAAAACAGGCCCATATCTCACACAGAATGGGAAAAAATATTCTATTTTATTATAAAGTGCTTCTCTGTGTTTATTCTAGTCATATTCAAGACTAATTGATGGAAACAACTATATATTGCGAATTCACGTCACAGAGTTTCATTTGTAAACATTGTTTGTTGATGGGGTGCCTCGTGATTTTTTCTAAGAAAAATTGTGCCGTGGATACAAAAAGGTTGAAAAGCACTGATTTATGCTACAATATTAAAAAATGTTCTTCCTTTTATTTTGGTCGGTAATGGTTGTTTAATTATTTGGCTGATAATGGCTGTTTTTGAGTGCTAACATAACTTCTAAAGACATAGTACATTAACTTTCTATTTCCAATTTTTTTAAAAATATATCTAATTTTGATACAGATCAAACACATTTCACACCGCAACATAAGTTCAAATTTCCCTTCCCATGTTGCGCTCTACTTCTTTCAAAACACGTTATTTTCTTTCTTACAAATTTGTAGTATCTTCACGATCCCTTATTTATCAGAATCTTGTCATTTTGATTCATGCAGTTCCCAGTGCAAACTTATTTTCTCGCGGATAGACAAAAGAAGCACGTTGTAATAAACACAGTCATGTTAAGAGTATTTTCTGCAACTTTCATTGCTTGTCTGTTTTTTCATTCGCGTAGCAGCGATAAAGGAAATAATACCTGGCGTGACAGATATGAAATTTCAATACTCTTCTTTCATAATATAATTAAACATGTTGACGCGAAATTCTGATTAAACCACTCTCCATAGAAAGTTCTTTCAAATTGATTATTAAAGACAATCATTGCTTGCCATTCGTATCCCAGCATCATTGAGAAGGTAGGCAATGAAGGCCTACCAATAACCAGTGGCGGTTTTAGGGACTGCGGGGCCCGGGAACAAAAACATCTGCGGGGCCCTTTCTTTTTACAATTTTTGTTTTTTCTTAGGTGTGGGGCCCCTTTACGCTACCATTACGCTTATGATAAGTGCGGGGCCCTGGGCAGGGCCCATGCCACGAAGTCGAGAGTGGGGGGCAAGGCTTCTTCCCCCTTCTACCGCAGCTTTAAAGCTACTTGGTTCGCAAAAAATCAGGGAGCATGGCCAACACCCCCCCCCCCCCCCGGTGGCGTGGGGCCATTTCCTTTTATTCACTTTATTTAATGTTGGTTTACAAAATACTAGCTAATAAACAGCTAATTAACACCAACTTGTAACTATAACAAATATAACTAAGAAAAATCGTGATGTTTACAAGTATCCAATATTAGAAATATATGGTGTGCATAGTCTACACGAGCAAGTAAGATCCGTCTGTTAAATTTTAGCTTTGAATACTTAACAATTTTCTGTCGATCGAATATCTAATGATATAGAACTCTACAATTCATTACATCTATAGGATATTGCATCTAGCCCATAAGTAACAGTGTTCGGCTTTTTTTGTATAAAAGATTGATTTCGTATATTATATGCAAGTTCATTCAACTGTAAAATCTCTTTCATAAATACTGGGTTTAAGTTATTTACTGTTTTGCATATTTCTATGGCTAGTAGTTGGAGGTTCTTTTGATGTATCCTGACATCTTTTTTTTGTGAGAGAATATTTTCAAAACTTGATTCAAAATCATTGTAAGCCACTCTCAGTGCCCTTTTATGGATATTTTCAATAAGTTTTCCAGAATTTCGGCTATAATACATCCATAAAAGAGGGCAATAGTTAAAGTGATTAAGGTTTTCATCAATAGTGATCTTTTATATTCATTCATATAAGGGGCGATTCTGACTAGGGCATTTATCTTGTTACGTGCTTCTTTACATGCCCCCTGGACCCCCTTAAAACCGCCGCTGCAAATAGCAACTATTCATTAAATCTCGGCTTGCGTTAGACAGATGGTTTTCCAAGGACACTGCAACGCGGTTATTGAATTCACATGATAAGAAACATTTTAGATAAGAAACAAAAACTTTATGCTAGAAGAAAATACACTAATTTTTGAAAAGTTTAACTTAAAAATCGTAATTTTTTAGTAGAGTACTTTCTCGATTTTATTTTTGTATGCTATTTTTTCTACATGAACTATCCTGCTATCAGCATTCTGTTTTGTAAATTGGGAGAGAAGTCTAGCAATAGGTCAGAAATGCAGTTTGATTAAAATGAATGATGTAATATTCATTGCTTATCGCAAAAAATAGTAATGTAGCTTGATTTCATATAATATTATATATTAGATGTAAATAATGTAATATTAATATAAAATTAATTTAATGATAATTATATATTATATATTGTCATGTATATTTTAATTGTATTATAACAGATGTAATATTCTATCTTGCAATATGATGAAATGTTATATCATGTAATCATTACCTGCCATTTCTAAGTTTACTGGGCTATAGTACAGTGTAATATAGCATACTATAGGATAGTATAGTATAGTATAATATAATATAGTATACTATGGGATAGTATAGTATAGTATAGTATAGTATAGTATAATATAATATAGTATACTATGGGATAGTATAGTATAGTATAGTATAGTATAATATTCTGTGGTATGATATAGTTAAGTAAAATAATCCAGTTGATGATGAAATGTAACGTAATGTGCGGTATTCTGGATATGACGTAATATTACATAAAATGATGTTTTCAAACTTTTCTTATTTATTTGGTATTTTAGATAGAGACAGCCTAGTTGGGTTATCTAGTAAACATAATTATAGATCATGCACCAATTTTCCATTAATTTATCTTGAATGCTGACTAGAGACAATTGGTACTTTCACCGTTCTCACACCTTTCTACTTGTCACATTGACGCACTGCGCAGGAGCCAAAATCAAAAACAAATGTTGAAAGGTGGAAGAAGAGCCTGTTTGATCAATTGCCCCAGAAATACCTTGGTTGCTAATTGAGGAAACCCATTCGATTCTTAAATTATATCATTTTTGTTGAACTTATCAAGAACAGGTTTGCAAGAAGAAACCATCCATCAAATCACATGGTCTCCGTTCGCATTTCAAGTCAAAACCCCAAGCTCCAAAGTCGAGAATGGACAGAATCGATAAAAAGCAGTGCCCCGGAACTGAAGTGCCAGACCAAACGGAAGAAGACATCGTGTATAAAGATGAAACAATTTACCAGGATGTGCAAAATTTAGTGGATCAAAATGAGCTAGAAGGAACTGATGGGCTGGCACAGTCTCCTGGAAATGGACGTAATGAACTTTTAGACTCACTGGCGCTGGCTGCTAAAAAAATACAAGTTCAAGACCTCAAAAATCCAGTTGATGATGAAAGGTAAGATTTGAACAAAATCATGATTTTCAATCGTTGATATGTTTTGTGATATGCCTTAGCAGTGCCATAGCGTCCATTATATACCAAGCCCGCTCATCAAGTTGCACTTTACTTCCTGGAAGTGAATAATCGTGCGTAACGACTATCGGATTGTTCGTTGACGTGTTTACATTATCGATTTTATTATCCGAATGAAACTTCAGTGAATATGTAGATGAAGTGATTGAGAGTCAAGTAAAGATGGCTACATGATTCCAATCTGTGCGATATATGCGTAAGATTACGACAGTACACAGCATTTCAAGGTTTGAAGAATTTTAAGTGTGAAAAAATATCGGTTTATGCAATTTGCCAAGATGTCTGTGCGAAATTATGTTACATGAAGTTCATGGCATTTGCGAGGTAAAGCCTGCTATCAATACTTTTAAAATTTTTGCACTGTTCTAGATATTCAGGCCATATTCAAGAGGCAATACTAAATTCTACCAACCACTTGAAAATGTATAGCTTATTCGTTCATATTCTTATCTGTTACTTTTTGTGATGCAGGAATTACATTAAGGGTTTATTAGTGAATTCTTTACGCTCAAAATTGGTCAAAAATTAGGAACAACAGGCTAAGGCTAAGCAATTGTAAAATTTAATTTTGAACAATGTTGTGAAACCCCCTTAAAAATTTCATCTCAAAAAGAGTAGCTTTTTGCCATCTAGGAGTGCTTTTCCGGTGAATTTTCAAACATGTTGGAAAAAAATATCTCATTTACTAAAGGGGGCAAATGAGGCCTGAACAACCCTCTAGAGCATACTAGCTAGCAATTACACTGCCTACACCAAAATAATTTAAGAACAAATTTAGAACAATCCAGCCTCATGTTTTTTTAAAAATTAAGAATAGCCAGCCTGAAATCAAATTTACTGGTTCTTTTGAAAATAATGTATACATCTTTAGAACAAGATTTTAAATTTGCTTATCTACTCCTAAAAATTTTCTGGGAAATCAATTTGCTCTCGGTAAACAAAGTATGAACCAGTGATAACATCATATCTGACACAACATCAGTGGCTCTTTTGTTATTATTTTTAAATTTTTTGGAAGCAGTTCAGGTTGAATAAAAGAGGGTTATACACATTTGCCAACATTTTTTGGCACAATCTTTGCCTTGCAGTGATCCATGCAAACCCAGAATAGCCAGATTAATAAATTGATTTAATTCTATTTCATGTTGAGTATATAATCCTTCTTAATCCTTAGTTTATCCACCGATAATAACTATATGTAATATACCAACTCCCAACTTTAATTCCCCAACTTTTACTCTTTGCAACTAGACTTGATGCACAGGGAGCTAATTTGGCTCTTTGTGCATTGCACCAAAAGATCCCAGTGGCAGGAGGGACCCTGGCACTCTTTGTGCCTAGAGGCGTACCTAATAGTTTTGGGATTTGAGTAGATGAAGGTAAAAAAGCTTATGCCCTTTTTAAAGGTAAAAAAAGCTTTCTGTTGATTCAATTACTGTGAATCCTCTAGTAAGCATCTATATTGTGTGGCCTTGAGATAGTTTTAAGAGGGACTCAAATTTTTGAGGGGGGCTGCTCATCAAAGCAGGGCAACAGGTGTGCTGTCTAGTTTTTTATTAGTTCTCCAGGTCCCAAGCAACAGCTCATAAACTAGATTGTGGAAAATCAGTTCAACCTAAGCTGTATTAAATTTCAAATCATTTTTAGTTCTTTCCTCAAGCAAGGTCAATATGAATATTTACATCAGGCTTGGACAGAATTAGGTGTATCTAAACATTTCTACAGCATTTTTGGATGGGTGACCTTGTTTGAACTGTGAGTCTGATGCTCTTTACTCATCAACTGTCATGCTAGACATAGACGTAAACTCAGGAGGGGCTCTGGGGCTTCAGCCCCTCCTGACAAAAACCAAGGGGGGCTGAGCCCCCCCCCTGGAAAATAAGGAAGTGCTTTACCAATTTTTAGATTAGTTTGTTATATTATTGGTTCCATGCATAAACATTTTGGGTGCCTAAATAGAACTGATGATCTCAACTTAAAGAAACTGATTATGATAAAAATAAACTTTCAATCATTTCTTTTGTGTGTTTCTTCTTCCTCGATAATGAAAAATGCACGGAAAAATCACCTTTAAGCTCTTAGCTACTCCACTTTCTATCCTGTGACATCAGCAGCTGCCATTAGGAATTGTCATTAATTTTTTGAGCCCCCATTAATTTTGGGATGGTTTGGCAAAAATGTAAACAAAGCAGATAGCACTATTTTACATTCAGTGTTACTTGCAAAGGAGAATTGAGGAAATTGGACTCCCAGTCTTCAAAATATGGTCCCCAATGTTTTCCAATTATTTTTAAAAAAGGAGAAGTGATTAATGGGTGTGGAACAGGCGGATCCATTACACTTTGATGTCATTGAAAGCTATTTGACTTTGTTTTAATCAAATCAATATATTCAAATCAATGTTGCCTGCTTTTTACGTTTTTGGGGCATGGTTTCGCATAATTTTCCTGAATACTGTGCCCCAAGAGCCCCTCATTGTGGAGGATCTTTATACCCCCTGCATGGACAACATATGCCTAATTTAAAAATGAACAAGAAATTGTAAGGTATCAACAAGGTGCCAGGAACTGCAAAGTGGAAAGATAACAGGCATTACCAACAAGACCATGCTGTGTTCCTTTTTTACGGTGCTTCATACCGGGTGTATTTTTTCTCAAGGCAAATCTTAAAAACATGACCTACTTTATGTGAAGAATTATGCGATGTAGACCTTGCTTTGGTAAAAGTGGGAGGGTAATTCCTGATACAATACAGTAATGTTTACATTTAGTTTCTTTACTCATTAGGGTCATTCCATGTCAAAACAGCACATATTTTTCAAATTTGATAAGCACCATTGAATTATGATTTAACTTTATGTGTTTCCTGGAAAGCTAGTCTGCATTATTTCTTATCACTTAACCAGCTATACAGAAGCAAAAAACAATGTAAAGCATTATAGACAAGGTATTTCAAAATGTTAAAACCAGAAAAAAACAGCCCCTGGTGTGAAATTTCTTATAAAAGCAATTTGGTAATCATCATAATCATAACCAAAATTGCCAAAATGAACATTTGATTTCCAGTTATTATATTCTGGTACTCTTTCATATACAAACAAAGGGTTTAATCCTTTTTGATAGATTCAGGTGTGCTGAATTTTAAAATGAACTCCAAAGTTCCATATCACATCATCTACATCTCCATTTTTGGGGTTCTTTGAGCCCTGGTTCACAAATTTTGCAAAACAAATTTTCATGCTTCAAGGTCAAAATTTTTAGCTTTCTATAATCTACAGCTAATAACTGTTAGCATTTTTGAAATCAGCACATTTGATTACCCTTAGTTATCAATTTTCAAGGATATATGACAATTCTATCAAATTTTAGAGGCATTTATACATAAACCGGTACGGTTAAAAAGGACGTCGCTGAAAATTTAAAGCCTATCAAGGTGCGGATTTCAAAATGCTCTAGTTTAGGAACCAATCAAGATATAGAGCTGAAATTTGGGGTTCTTCTATATTTTGCTCATACCTTCATAGGTACCAAAAATGATCAAAATCTGAGATGGTGGGTTACATGACCATGCTGTTTTGACATGGAATGACCCATTAATAAGTTTCAGCTATTTTGCTTTGACATTGGTGAGGGCCTCCAAGCTTTAATCTTTTTCTCTCATTTTTTAGAACAAGTGTAGAAGTAGAAGAAGATGAGAAGCAAGGCAACAGCCTTTTTGACAGGTTGAAAAGGTAAGACTAGATTTTGTATGAAGTATATCTAATTTCTCCCTTAAGGAGTACATTAAGTACAAAGATTTTTGGCATGACAAACTTTGTCCAAAGATTTATTTGTACGAAATTTAGAGTCATCCAAAAGTTTGTCACGATGAATATTTTTGTATGAAACAGGCATGCGCAATGTTTATTGGCTGAAGTAAAGGCTACAATCTTTAAGCATGAGTGTCTGCAAGTGTTTGAAAACATTCGTTCTTTCAAGCTAATAGGGCCACCAGTTCAAATTGATGACATTAATATTCTCATCATTTATCAAAAAGTCACACTCTCTTTCTTATTCTTCTTTGAGAAAAGACTGACCATATCTTCAGCCAGCAGGGGGCTTGGGAGGGGAGGCTTAGCCCCCCAGATGGAGAAAAATACTGTTGTTGGGTTTTTGTATTATGTAACAGTTTATGGTTTTGCCTTAAGCATCCAAAAGACTGGTCAATATTTGTCCAACAATTTATTTGTCCGAAATTTCAAAATATGTCCGAAAATATCTTTGCTGAAGTTTTTTGTCCGAAATTTTATCTGCTGAAAATTTTTGTTCTTAATCTACTGGCAGGGACTTAACAGCATACACATAAGGTAAATATTGAAATATAGGTCTTTCAATAAAATACGACAAAGCAGGCCTGGCCATAAAACTTTTACCAGGGGAGAAGTAAACAGCTCTCCTAGTAGTATTCAGGTGAGCTATAAGAATAGAAACAAAGGAAAAGTTGATTTCAAAGTTTCGCTTTTTAGAACAATTTAGGAGAGCAATCCGTAGCTCCCCTCCAGCGTTTGAGGAGAGCTTGAACGGAGCAAGAGCTATGGCTCTCTTCAAATGGCCAGGCCTGGACAAAGAACTGACAGGCAGCAATCTTTGACTATATGGGTTAAACTACACGATTATGAAGACTTAACAGTGACTTAGTGTTAATTCTGAGATTTCCCTTGCAGGGGCCTGTTCAATACCCGAAACACGTCGATAAAATTTGGAAAGCATATAAGTGATGTTCCAAACAAAAAGATAAGCAAAATAGACACAAATGTTACATATGCATACGATGCTCCAGAGGACGCTCTATGGTACATTCACAAGCGAAGATTAAAGCGCGGTGGCAATGAGAAATCTGATAAAACCCCAGTTGCTAATATCGTTAACTGGAAAAGACGCGACGAAGATTGTTACGGTCTCGTAACTTCGCTTTACGATAAACTTATCGATGGTTCGGGAAATGTCGGCGATCCAGTTGCGGACAGTTTGGCAATAGTTGCCAGATCAAATAATTGCATACTTATTCTTGCGGATGGCGTGAACTGGGGCGAGCGCTCGATGCTTGCTTCCCGCTCTTCTGTTTACGGAGCAGTCACATATCTATTGAAAGAAGGGACGTTAGATAGTGCCCAAAGTACGAAAGATGTATTTCGATCTATACTGAGAGCATTTGAGACTGCCCAAAATGTGATAATGGAGGAAGAAGCCACACTGACAACTCTCTGCATTGGAGTTGTCGTTGAACTTGCAGATAAAGATAAATGGGGGTTTTGTGTTGTTAATGTCGGCGATAGTCTTGCTTTTGTTTACAACGAACAAGAAGGCGTGCGTGAAGTGACTATGGGTTCGCATTCAGTGGATGAGAAGCGAGACATGCGCTACTCTGGAGGAGCATTAGGCCCTGCAGATGGCTACAACCCTGATTTAACCAATCTGACTTGCGCATACACGTCGCTTGAGAGTGGTGATTTTGTTTACCTTACAAGTGATGGAATCAGTGATAATTTCGATCCGACGGTAGGCCGGTTCCCCTGTCGACGGAGGTCAAGTAAAGCAAGTCCGTTACTGCAGCGAAAAAACCCGGAAGAAATTCGTTATGATTCCGAGGAGTCAATTACGCGGCAGTTAAAGTCGTTGGGTACAATCGATGATATCGTCGAATGGAACATGTTATCTCCAAGAGAGAGGCATCAAGGCATGCTTAACAAAATGCGTGATGTATGTCTTATTTTTCTCTTAAGAATCATACAAATATCTTTGAAGATGGTACGAAAAATCGGTAACACAACTCATGATACTCAACTCTTCTCTTCTTGCCTTTCATTTTGTCTATGGTCCGACTTGTTGTACTCCTATTAGTGTCGGACTATAGGTCTTTCGGCAAAACTTACTCAAGTTCTTTTAGGTCAACACTCCAACACTAACGTTCCTCCATTCACTTTGGTCATCATTTGACTGGTTATACTTTTATGGGTCTCGGACTGTTTCAGGAAAATGCATTACACTCACGTTCTTTCTGTCCGACACTAAATATTTCCACTCGCTGTCGATATCGCTCGACTTGTTATAACCTGAGCAGTGTCACACTGACTGTATTCCAGTAAGATGCGATATACTTTCGCTTTTTGTGCCATTTCGAAAATTTACCATAATGAACACATATTAATTATATTTCGCTATCTGAAATGAAAGCCTGTTTCTTGCATGGGAACATTAATTCAAATACTAATTCTAGCTTTCCTTTAGGCTCAAAATTTATTCCCATGTCTAATTAATCAATGACTTATCTTGCCTCATCAAACATGGACGCCATCTTGCTTACTAGCCTGAAATATACAGTTGAATCCCGGTAGGTGGTACCCTGGAAGACTCGGACTAACCAATCAAATTGGACTGATTTTCGATTCCCATTGAATTTCCTTCTTTTTAACCAACGCGTTGTAGATCTACCGCCTCATTTGACTCTCTCCTACCTAGTAACATTCAATCTTTGTCTCTTCTCACCTCTGACGTTGAACCATCAACGCCACAAGGGTTGATGGAGTCTCTACGGTTGACGGGTGCTTTCGTTTGCTAAGACTGCTGTGTCCTTAATCAATTCAAGACTACGCTCTTCGTTTCGAAATTCACATGACATGCCTTTGTCTAAATGGTGAATTTTGATGGCAAACTTGATGGGTGATGTTGGGAATAAGGTTGCCTTAGGATAAACTTTTGTAAAAAAGAGACAGAAGGTGATATACGATCTTCTTTGGTTCGAAGAGAAAAGATTGTTGTTGGAATTGAACCTTCACAACCTTTGGTTTTTCAAATATTGTTTCAACAAATCCACGCAAGTAGCCAGTGAACCATAAAGACTGCTTTGCCAAAATATTACGTTTCCCCAAACATTTTCCTATCGAATTTAGACGAAAAACAAAATCGATCGTTCCAACAACTAATGGGGTGTGTCCCCCCAGTCAGTCCAACCCGTAGTGCTGCCATTGTCCTAAATGCAAAATGCTTGTTCAACGAAAGGTAGCCGGTAAATTCCCAAAACCCTGGATTCTTTCCTATGTGGATTTGCTGTAGCACATGAGAAAGCCTTTGATATTTTACCCATTGCATTTTTATCATGTTAGGTGATCGAAAAGGAAGAGGGGCCACCCGGTGCGCTGGGCGTCTGTGCAAAATTTATGAACTTCGTTGTTAGCAATACCCAAGGTAAGCGGTTGTTTCTGGAAAAAAACGGTATGGCGGAAGATGACTTGCACAAAATGACATCAAAAGAAAGAAAAGAACGATCTTTGTACATGAAAGGACAACTCGAGACGAAATCTGGAAAGCTAGATCATGCATCGATCGCCGCATTTCGTGTTGGGAGATTAAATCCACAGCCATTGAAAAGGGTTCTTAGTGCCGCAAGTAACGAGAGTTTTGAGATTCTAAATCATGGTAAGCTTTGCTTTTTCGAATCTTTCCCTAAAGAATTGACGGTGATCCACTGTTTGTATTACCACGTGTGTATTTTGAGACTCGATGGTAATTCACTGTGTGTACAGGCAAACTGGAGTACAATAGCTATGTACATTCATTTGTGAGTTTATGCAATGAAAGTAGCTTTTTGTGAAACTTTGGAACTGTAGTTATCCGTGAATCCAAAAGTATTTCTTGGAAACAGATCTATTTGTTGCTAAGCAAAACATCAAAGTCTTTACTAAAGTTGTCTTTAGGCCATTTCTTCGAAATCTAACGTGGTGAAATTTCTTGCTTGTTTTGATATAAAAATCCCACGAATTGCTTTCAGTCATTTAATGTACCACAATATCAAGCAAAAAACTGTTCATCAACTCAAAAACACAAAATCTCAGTTAGGTTCCATACTGGAGAGCCTTTCTTTCTATGAAAATTACATTTGTGTTCCTTTTAGGGACGATTTCCTTTGAGAATACGGGTCCTTGATAAAGAAAATAGACCGAGAGACTTTTGAAGAGGCTTTGGGTCCTATCCCAAATTTCCACGAATGTGATGATCATTATCGTTTTAATTGTTACGTTATCAATGTCCTTGACCGCCACTTCTTCAATGGATCCTTGCAATTAAATGGGAATATGCAATCGGACAAAGGAACTTGCGTGCAGAGATCAGTAAATTCGACTCTCATGCAAGGAAATAATATTCTTTTAAATACAACCTCTTTGTTGATATGGAAGCTCATTTAATCGGTGGAAGCCTTTACTTACTCGCTGCTATTTTTTATTCAATTTTCATGTCTGATATTGTTTATTCAATTCTTATTGTTTACTATTGCAGAACTGGATGGATATAGTAGCATTTACAGTGCAGTTAATCAGGAACCTTCCAGCAGCAATTATCAACCAGAACCTGACACATTGGAGCAAGTAAATAAACCTCGTGTTCGCCCAATTCTTTATAATTTGCACTACGAATCGTCAATTTAGCTAGCATTTTCATATTCTGATAAATTTTACATGCGTACTTTTACCGTGAGGTAATAGTACCTACGTCTTGTTGAAAAGCCTAGCAATAGTCCACTTCGCCCCACCCCAAACCGCAGAACTTTGAGGGGGGGAGGGGGGTAGTTTTAAGGGACTTGGAATCTGCTATCTCAGATTAAGCTGAATTTGACACAAATTGTTCTTTTTTGAAAAACAAAATTGCCATAACTTTTAGTCAATATCTCAAGCGGAAGCGGTTGCAGAATTATGGTAGGTAGAATTCAGCATCATTCGTAGGCATGGACTGTCTAAAAATTCCAATTTTCAAAGAAACTCCTCTTTTCAAAGACAGTCAAACAATTTCTATGTAACCTGTGGCTTTAAAAATTGCTGCCCTATGAATATTGATAGCCTGGAATTGAAACCATAAATATTTTACTAAATTGTTCTCCTGTAAAGTGACCAAAATAATTTTCCGAAACTTGAGTGATAAAAACGTTCGAGTAAGTATTTTTGAATTGAATTTATTTTTTAATTATGTAAGTATCTTCAAATAGATAGACAGTTTTCCTGCGTATAATTTTAAACAGATTTTTGGAACTACCAAAAATATCAAAAAAACATTTTGCCTCAAAGAGAGAAATCAGTGAAGAATTTTTCTTCCTAAAACAGTGTCTTCAAAGAATCATTGCTAACAATGGGCCTTTGCGAGCGTGGCGACGATCCAAACAATGGCAGTAAACTTCTACAGATTAACCAAAATTAATTTCAGACTGTCTAGAAATGCATTATGGGATGCTTGCGTGGCGCAATGGCTCATTGTTAGCAATGGGTCTTTTAAAGGCTCTTGTGCAACCGGCATGCTTTGCGACTATATTTTCAAAAGCCGCCTAAAATCATACTGTATGAACATACAACAACAGTCAAGACAGTAGAAAAGTCCCGTTGAACTTTTCCATGTCATTGAACTCCATGAAACAACAACGAATATTATCACGCCAGATTTTTATCACCGAGCAAGATGATCAAACGAATCGAAGTTTTTTTGGTACAACAATGTTGAATATTGTTCGATGAAATGTTTTGCAGAATTGCCTTGGCGTCAAAGAAAATTAACAAGTGTCTCCAAGAAGGGTCCGTTGATATAACGAAAAAATATATTAATTTTTATAATTTTTTAAAGGATATGTTTTTAGATTTTAAGATTAGAAGGCAGTATTTTGGTTTATAGTTCTAGTTTGATTTATTGTAGCTAGATAGCTACTGTTAATGTTATTTTGGTAATGTTAGAAGCCCTGAAGCGTCTTCAAGGTACCCCGAGGTGTTTTCTAGCGGCATTGATAAGAGCTCTCGCTTTCCAAATTGGCCTGTGAAACATTCAGCAACTATCGGCATAAAAATCTCGAGTTATTGTTAAAAAATTCTCTGCAGGGGGTAGAGCCAGCAACAATTCTGACAAAAGGGCCTATCAAGGTGGTAATAGTGGCCTTGTATACTTATCTGAATTAGGCCTTATAATTTTTTCATAATAAGTTTTTTGACTGAAAATACCAGAATTGAAAGCCGTCCTCCAACTTCTTTGTAAATCTTGAAAAGATGAATCAATACAATTTTGTCAATCTTACAAAGCGCGGAAATCAGGGACGAAAAAACACATTTTGGGGCGGGGGGGCTCTAAACAAATTTGCAAACCTTTGTCCACCATTATCCTTGATGCCACAACATTAATATCATACTTCAGCAAAAATGTCAGAGGGCTACAGCAACACCCCCTAGCCCGCCTTGCTCCGGCGTGCCTGGAAATTTCTGGCAGGACGATAATAAGTAGCACTTGCCCCCAACCCCTTTTCATAACGATCATGATGCACTCTCCAGTAGTTGTTAAGTCTCCTTTTTTTCATACTATAACTCTTAAAGATAAAATTTGCTGTTTCATATACGAGCTCTTGTAAAAGGTTGATGATTTCCCTCGAGTTGTTTAATGTTGCCCAGGCCAGCAGGTATTCACCAAAAGTCTTAGTTTCGATTCGAGGCCTCTTGGATGTCAGCGTTTGTTAATGGAAGCCAAAATCCAGATTTTCACAAAATGTAGACATTTCAAACACCTAAAATCTTGAGCTGCAAATTTGCAGTTTCTGTTATGCGGCAATATGACAACTATACAGGTGGCTTATGTTTTAATGTTCATTTTATAGAATACTTTCTCGTTGGCATATTCCATGTACAGATGAGAGTGGTCGTCAAAGTGAAAAACTCTACTAGTCACGAGGTCAGCTATCGTATCAACTATTGGGTAGTGATAACGCCTTTGATATTAGATCAATCACTCTAGAGGCGGAAACCGTGAGCGTGTGGTGGGTGTGTGGTGGGGCAAGAGTCCCCAGATTCAGAATTTTCGGAAAATTGAAGTTAAATGTGGGCTTCCGCTGTTACCAAAAAGAAAGGAAAGGGGGTTGAAGACGAAAAAAATTTTAGTCGTAGGTAAAACTTGTCTTGTTCGTTCTTTGACTTCTGGCAAAGTTATGAATGTTTTTACGAGATTTTGATTATGTTTATTAACGTCGTATTACTACTTATTTTGATCGAACAATTTTAGTCAGTTGAGTCGACGTTATTGCCCCCCCCCCACCCCCCTCACGAAAAATGATCAATTTCCGCCTCTAGTTCGCTGTCTATATTGTTTGTGTCTCGATACCTTAGTGACCTTTTTTATGCCTAAGTAGGATTTGTATGTGTCATAGGTGGGGTAAACTGCACTGTCTTTTGCCCTACATTAGAGATTCTGTAGTTTATATATAGATACTGTTATCAAAGTTGTAAGTATGCTGTATATGTATTTGGCTGTGACGTTTTATATCTGATCAACATAACGAAATTTATAATTTTGTATATATATTGAATAATATGAGAGTAGAATTTATATTGAAATAATTACCTTTGAATGGTGCAAGTTTTCTTCGGAAGTTGTAAAGCTGTTGTGTTGCGCGATAAAATGGGACACCTATTCAGATTTAAAATACTGAGAAGGGAATAATGAACTTTCATAAAGATACTCAACTATCAACGAAGTATGCTAAACATGTTCTGAGAATCAATGGACATAAAACTGGCAAACGCCACTTTGTAAATAGGGAACAAATCATAGTTCACTTTTGTCACTAAATAATTTTCATATATTTCGGGTAGTTGCCTCTATAATTTAAATTTTTGCAAATCAGATGCTCCCGAACAGTACTTTTTCCAATAAACTACCTGACGTGTCACCTATCTCTCAGCCAGGTACTTCTTTCTTTGGATGCACCTCAGACCAATATCGTAAATCCACGAATGAGCACCCCAACCAGCTGAGCGCCCTTCTAAAGCAATCAATCTTTTAAATTTCAAGAGCACCCCTACCCTCAAGTGTGAATCTGTGCCTTATTTATAAGGTGAATAGTGAGGAGGATAGGTAACAAAGAAATGGAAATTTTTAATGACCTTGACAAGGCAAATATGTCAATTTGCCAATTGTATCCTTTCAAATTTTCTGTGCGGCTGTCGTAATGAACATAGTGCCGAATACGTCCTATTCAGGCTCACAGAAATATATCGCAAGGCCCTTGCTAATGAGAAGGCAATGGAGGTTAACCTCTTGGACCTTTCAAATGCCAATTACTGCCTAACACACGACCTCTAGGCTCTAAATAGCTAGCTTTGCAGCTTGTGAAGGTTGTTATAAATTCAAACCTATTTCTCAAACAGAAAACAATGCATGAAAGTCGGATCTGAGTGTTTAGTGGATGGCTAGGTATCAAGTCTGGTGCTACACAAGGCTCAATTCCTGTTCTGCTATTTTCAATATCACTAATGATGTACTTTTTTAATTGAAAGACTTTGATTTTGATAAATTTGCAGATTAACCGACAACTTACGTGTTTGAATAAGATATTGAAAGAGTGGCTCTGAAGGTGAAGGAGGACTTAACTGGTTCAGAAATAACCATATTGCAATGAAGCCTGAAAAATTTCAGGTTATATTTAGGGCTCAATGAGGAGTCAAAATTCGTCTTGGAGAGCATCAACAAACCTTCCCATTTACCGATAAAGATAGGCTACTAGAACTCACGATCAACTCCAAGCTAAATTTGACGATGATTTCAAAGACCTCTTTAAAAAATTAAATTCTTGCACGTTTCCCCATATCCGAACCAAAATAAGGGTAAGACTCTCTATCACACGTTTTTGTGTCAAATTCAAATTATTTCCTCGTAATCTTGGTATGTTACGTAAAGACATCCAGCAAGCAGGTAGATTGTGTTCAGAAAACAGCATTAGAAATTTGGCATAATGACTTCAAAATGCCATTTTATGTACTTCTTGAACAACAGATGAACAAAAAATCTTAAAAAATTGAAGCTTCACATCTTTTAGTGCCATTCACAAGAAAATCCATCAATCATGTTGACATTTTTGGAAAGAAGGGATGTGCAATATTTAATGAAAACAATGAAAAAAATATCGGATTTTTTTCTTTTGCGTATTTTCTATACGAATGATAAGTAACATAAAAGAGAACAGAAAATAGTTGGCTATTCCATCTTTAAATGAAGGATTCTCGAAATATTTTTAAAGGTTTAGGGTGATTAGTACTATGGTTTTTTATTTGTTTGTATTCTAGGGGTCGGTTTTTATAGATTGTTTCTCAATAAGTGTTAGTAGATGACACAAAATAGCAGAACTGTAGCATACTCTTGCTTATAACAAAAGCGTGTGTTCACTCTGTGTTCCCTTCAACATTGCCTTTCCGTCCCATTGAGGCATCTTGTGGGTGCCAAGGGAGAATCTAATCCCTAATGGAATAGCCTTTTGCCCTTTTTTCAATGGAAAGTTTCTGATAGAGAAATAGTTACCAAGCAATCGTCCCCTGAGGAACAAGATGCTATGTTAGGAAAAAACGACCACGTTTCCACTTATTTTACGATTAGCTCAGAGGTATTGGCCTAAACTTCGAACGGGAGACTCAGCATGTTCTAGGTATGTCTTATCTTGTTTCTTAAGCGTCGCTTCTCAATGTTTGTGTACAGTTGTTCTGAATTTATCAAGGTGTTATGGTTTGAAAATATCATCTTGCTCGATTTTGTGGAGGCAGTGAGTTCTCTGTTTCTAAGTAAGATAATTGTGGCTAAATTTGTAATCCCAAATTGTCTCAAATTCTATGAAGTGTAATTTTTGAGAACCAGCAAAGGTTAATTTCGAGCGTTAATTCGATCTTGAGGCTTTGCGAGCGGCCCGAGCTGTTGGATTTTCAAAAGAAAAGCAAGCAGCCATCTTTACGACGAGTAAGTTTGTCATCAACCTATACTTTTCTTGGAAATTCAAATGACTTGGAACACGTCTTTGAGAATTTCGGAAGAATCACTGGTTTTACCCGAAAACTGGTTCGCCTCATTCATAGACTCATTCGTTCGCCAAACACCCCCCCCCCCAACAACCCTTGCATTTTGCTTTTATTCTGATGAAGCCCTATATTTTGAAATTTAATTTATTTCAACTTTCGATTTAATAAAGTACTAGATTCATATCGCCATTTTGCTTCGTTCCTGTCCATATCCTTGTATCCAAACTCGTTGCGAGATTCACAGGTTCGTGTAAACAGCCTATCCAGCATATCTTCCTTCTTATATATCTCGCATTATTCTCTTGTTGTAATCATAAGCTATCAACATTTATATAGGGGACTGGGAGCAAGCATGCCTTATTTTTTAATACTGCGTTAGATTGGCCCGCTGAAACTTGTACCATCATCTCCTGGGTGAATAAATCAAATTACTAATTAGCTAGTTGTAGTCAATTAATCACAGAGTGGTGCAATGTTCGTTCCTTTTAAATCTGTAAATGATAGAGTACTTTTGGTGAAATTCATCCCAATAGTTTATGTTGAGTATGTACATTCCTGAGTCTGTTTGCTTGATCATTCTCGATATAGTGTGGTGGAATTACGATTTTACCCGGACAAAAATAATAAAAAGCTGTAATTTGGCACATAGGTTCCATACGATACTGGGAATAACCAGAAAAAAAGCCCCATCAATTGGACATTGGGAATTCCTTATTTGGGTAAATCCCATATTGCGCACTGATCAGCAGGGTTTCAAATTTTGATGTCGCTAAAACCACATTATATGTACATATTCTGAAAGACAGTTTCATGCTGAACAACTTTTATTCAACATACACGCCCTGACAATGTGGAAGTAAGTACTTTCTGGTCAAAATAGCAGATAGGGGGCAACTGGGCAATACAGTGTATACAGTGGTGGCGCCAGGGGAGGGCTAGGGCGCTACAGTCCCTCCATCGGAATCATCTAGCCGGAGCAAACTTGACAAAATAACGTACGAAAACTGCATATTATAGTCAATTCAGCCCCCCTGTTGGAAGCTCCAACCCCTCTGTCGGAAGATTTCTGGCGCCACCTCTTAATGTATATAAATTTATTAATGAACAACTTATTTATTAACAAGATCAAAAAATGCGATGATGAAATCCTATCCAACAAGGAGCAGGTTAAGAATCCCGCTAAACATTTTGAAATTTCTGCAATCCGTGAATTATTTTGAGAAAATCTGCGTCCGGCAAGTGTGTAGAATTCCTTCGTTCCGTTGAGAAATTGCCAGATTTCCGCAATCTGCGACAAATTTCCCTAAAATTCTGTTCTTTCGCAAACACTGATGACATCTTCATTAGGAGAAAAAAGGCAAGGATCTACCCTGTTCTTTAAATGCAGAACACGGGAAAAGGTGAACCACGTTGAAGTATATGTATTTATCTCAGGATTTTCCAAGTCCGGGTTTTCTGTTTTTCATAACTATTTTCCGGGTTTTGGGTCCTAGGTACACTCAAAATACCCTCTTTTTCGTGTGCGCACTTGACTCATGATTCATGTGCGTCAAATGAAAGTTTGCAATTTTTGGGATTATACGTAATTTAGAAGTTATCTCTTTTTCTGGTAAAGAAGGGCATAAAGGGAATATTACTGGCCCAGCATCAAGCTGTAGTTTTGTGCAGCCTATTTGAATTTGCATTGAATTTGGCAGTGTTTTTCATGTTTTAGTAACAAAAATTACGTCAATGAAAAAAGTTGAAAAACTGTCAAAATTGAAATCTTCATCTTTAAATTGGTTTATAATGAAAAAATCATGTTGTTTGGACCGTTCGGTGGCGAGTTACTTTGTTTTGAATATTTAGATATTTCTTTGGATTTGACCAGAATTTGCTGCTGCAGTAAAAAAATTTCACTAGAGTCAGCCCGGGCTGAGTGGGCCTGGGTTGAGTCAGCCCGGGCTGAGTGGGCCAGGGTTGAGTCAGCCCGGGCTGAGTGGGCCCAGGTTGAGTCAGCCCGGGCTGAGTGGGCCTGGGTTGAGTCAGCCCGGGCTGAGTGGGCCTGGGCTGAGTCAGCCCGGGGTGAGTGGCCCCTGTTTAAGTCAGCCCGGGCTGAGTGGGTATTATAATACTTTATCTTATTCACACAATTAATGATTTTGCATCGATAGAATTTGCGATATAAAATGAAAATATTCAGCAAGAGGATCAGCCATTTTTTCCGCGCGCTTTTCAATATAAACTCGTCCCACTTTGTTTCTGCCCAATCACCACTAAATTTGCATATTCTAAGGATACGTATGTTCAATAAAAGTTATTCAGCATGAAATTATCTTTCAAAAGATGTACATACTATGTGGTTTTAGCAACATTAAAATTTTGAACCACTACTGATTAGTGCGCCATTATGGTATTTACCCAAGAAAGGAATTCCCAATGTCCAATTGATGGGGCTTTTTTCTGGTCATTTCCAACTTTGTATAGAACATCTGTGCCAAATTACAGCTTTATATTATTTTTATCCGGGTTAGACCGTTTTTATATCTAATTCCACTACACTAATACAGTTGGCCAGAAAATGGAACAAGCTATTAATATTCCAAGAATAGAACTGTAAAACAATTTTCAACGTTGGAGTGTTTTGCTACCAGCACAATTCGTGTTTTGACCAGCCCAGAATTTGATTAATTGTAATTGTTGTAATATACAATTAATTGTTGTAAGATAATTTAATGTTAGTTGTTACAGCAGTGAACGTAAACTAATAAAGACTCGCTTAAAACAGTTTCAAGGATTGCATAAGACAGGTTACTTACTGCAAAAAGAGCATGGGCACTTGTTTTTTAAGGAACCAAGTTTTGATCAAATTCTTGAATTGTCTAGTATTTTATGCTGTCTTTATTGATTCTGGGAGTGAATTCCAACTTTTATTACGCCCTTAAAACTTAATGATCTGATACCATTGTCGGCACTCGGTAGTTCATTGGTTTTGGAATGTCAGGAGGGTTTTTGAGTCGAAGGTTGTGACCTGTTGTTTAGGTAAACAGGATTTAGTTTGTTAAGTGTTTTATAAACCTCAAGTGCTAAAATTTCTACCTCCAGCTGGAACTCTAAGTTATCAAAGCTGTCTAAATTCTTCCCCCTCCCCCCGTACAATATTGATTTCTTCATTAGAAGTGTTTATGTGTCCCAGCCTTGCTAGATTATTACTGGGAAACAACTTTAAAAACTGTGAATATTTAATATAGATTTCCAACAAATTTGGTCCAAAGCCCCATCACCTTTATGCTGAACTATGTATGATATTTAGGTCTCAAATTATAATGAGGCAAAAACCAACCATAAAAGTTTGCCCATTTGTCTAGAGCCAGTTGTTCAAATACTTGAGGTATTGTTGCACGCTCATCTTATCCGATTCACTCGTCTTTTCGCGTGTGCAGGGACAGATAAAAACGGCAAGGATGGGGGGGGGGATGTTATATATCAGGTGACTGGAAAACAATGGAAAAGCCTCTTTTTAAAATCAGTTTTAGCTTTGGAGTTAAGCAGATCAATGTATTGCGGAGTTCTTACCGCTAGCAGTGCCGTAAAAAACAAATTTATTCTACACGTGTTGATCCTGAAACGGTAGCTTAGCAATCCAACCCCAGCTTAGAAACTTAATCAACATCTGACAAAGCAGATCTGCTCGATTTTTAAATTTGGCATCCTATGCCGAGGCAAATAAAAGAATTGATTCTGCTGAAGCCTTCTTTTTAAAACAGATATGTACCAAAATACATTCGGGGTTCCTCTAGGCTCCTGCTTTGAGCCATTGCTTATCTTGACTCCATCTGATGTTGCCGAAACTTATACCAGCTCAATTAGGGAAAAAGAAAAGTCGCCATTCTAATTGCAAAATCTATTTGACCGTCATCCAACGTTTCACATTAAAATGGATACTGGCCACAAATGTGCACATGCTTTTTTTTTATTTCATTTGAACCACGCACAACGATTTCTAAAAATTCACTTTGAGAGAACAGAGAATATAATGCAATAAAGGAATCTGTTAAAATGACAGGTAATATTGAAAACCATTTAGTACTCCATAATGTTCTATAAATTTGACCAATAAATTAAGATGCACCACTGTGCTTCCTTTACAATATGCATTCACTATGAGGGAGTCAGGCTTAAAATCGCCCGCTTTCGGTGAATACTTGTACAATATAGCCGCCGTACAATATTTTAAAGTACTATTGAAACAAATTACAAAAAATACACAGAATACATTTCTTACACCCCGCAACGGAGCAAAAGCATTTCCTAGCGATACATTTTCGAAAAGAAACACAATATAAGTTTATAATTATAAAGTACACATGCCTTTTACACGGGCCCGGCTCACAAAGAAGTAATTCTCTTTACTTTAGATGAGAGCATGACATTACCTTTTCCTTTAAAGTGGGGGAAGGGAGTAGGGGGGTTATATAACTATAATGACATAACTAGTTATTCAAAGCCTCCTAATAGGCTGGCAGAGTAGAAAAAGATGCCTGTCTCTAAAAAAGCATAGGAAGGAATGGACGTGGCGTAAAGGTTTAACGAACTTTTTGCATTGCATGTGTGGCTGGACGAATACGGGGTATAAGCCTATGCAAGGAAGACGCGGGCCTCTCTTCCAACAATAACCACGATAACTTTGTATTGAAAGATCCTGTCTGTCATGTCAAGTAGAATATTTGGGGATTTTCTGAAAGTTTGCGTGACCCGTCACCATCTTTTTTGAACCAATAAAAAGACATTAAATGTCTTGACAACTAAACTAGCCTTGAATGAAGTAAAACTAGTTTCTACACGATAGGTTCTTGATTAATGAAATAACAAAACAAAACTACACCGTGCTGTTTAATCTTGCACTCCATGTTACAAGATATTCATTCTATGGTCACGATAAAGCGTATCTAAGAAAAACTACTAGATTTACCTATAATGAGATTTAGTGGAGGTTCCAAGTATAACAGATGCTTACGAAAATATCTACAAAAGTCGATTATAGCCCAAAACTACAGTTATATCAAGTATATCGCCTTGCTAGAATGTGACTGGCTTACAACGTCTGCTTTTTGTAAATATTTGGAAGATAACAATTGATTTAAGGGAGAAGATTATATCATTTTCTAAATTGTCATAGTCGCTTTATTTGTGCATAGATTATGCACTCACTATTTCGGGGTTTGAGAGAGTTTTTTCAGATAAGGAGGTCTTCATAGTTTAGAGAGAAATAATAGATGAATAGAGTTTTTGCAGAACAGAATGCTGGCTTTAGCCATCAGTTGCATATCGAAAATGATATCGTAGAATTAATATGATATCTTAGATAAAGGAGAAAAAAGAGAAGTTATATTGTAAGAGGAGATAAATATTTTGAAGACGTTTTCATACTTTCTTTGGCTGTTAAGCGAATAATAACTCAGATTTGATCTCCATGTGGGTTATTGGCTAGATTCAAAATCTTTGTCAGTTTTCCATGACAAAGATAATTTTCTTGGGAGGGGGAGGGGAGGATAAGGGGGAATTGAGAAGGACAGTGCCAGGTTACTGCAACCTACGTTATTGCAAGTGACTCTACGAAAGCATAAACAGCGAGGTTATATAATACTATTTTCATCTTAAATTTACAATGGATTAACTGCTCTCTGAGTTAAAGCAGCAACGATATTTTTCGAAAGTAAATAAATAGAGTCGGCCATATTGACCAAGTTTATCTCGAGAATTGCCAATTGGATGACATTTTAAAAACAGACTACCTACTGATGTACTGGCAAAGTTTATTAAATTATGCACTCAAAGTTACATGTGAATACGAAGCTCCACCTCCAAAAAGGTGGTTTCAAGCACTTGGCTCAGAGTGCGTCGGTCTTATTTCAACTACCCCTGCAATACTGGGAAATTCTTTTGAGTATTTTACAAATTATGAGCAGAATGGGTGGACTCGCTCAATCTTAGAAAAGCTAAGTACATAATCTTCATAAATTTGTTGGCAAAAAATATGTTAATACTGATAATATTTCCTCTTAAACATGCAACATCAACACACGAGCAAGACAACTGGAAATCGTGCCTTAACATCGTTTCAACTCATTGCATCGTTCAAAAAAGGTGGGATAAAAAAGCCCCCTAATAAAAACCACTGGTATCCAGTAGTATATTTTACCAAACGAAACAAGACAAATGTACCCTGAGAAAGTATTAATCACCGTTTTCACCGAATTTCATTTGATGAGCCTAAGTTACAGAACTGATTGAGAGAAGATGTCAAAGATGTATCCTTTCTTCCATCCTTCAAATGAAGTTAAATATGTACGGGTTTTTCTATGACTTGCATTTTGGTTGAATTTGCTTACGACATTTCTTATATTCATTGTCGATTTTTTAGATTTATATGTGGCTATGCTAATGACCCCCTGGAATACAGTCTCGGCAGACTGACGACGTGGTTAAATAATATAAAGGGTCCACGCAACGAATTTTAAGGTTCTATAAATCGAACTTGAATTTAGTGCTTCAAAACAGGGCCTCTTTGCAAATATTTTTGCTAACCAAAAAAATGTTTGATACTATTAAGGGGCAAGGGCACTTTAAAATTATAGCTAGCAAGCGTGTTTTGTTACATGTGTTGAAGTTGCATCGATTCCATCTGCTGAAAATTCACTTACCTACACAAATTACTCGACTGGTTGCCCTATTGAACTTGCAGGGTAGCCTCCCCCGGCAAATGTCACAGTCCGCTGACCTACAGTATTGGCGCTACCTTTGTACACGCCATGGCGACTTGAACCGCCGAATAAATTCGAGTCTAGAATAGGCATACTGGTGTTATGACTCCAAGGGTTAGTCATGTGACTGAATGATTCTGCACCGCGCAAATTGGCCCCTTCGTTCGAGTGGATGCCATCAGCCGATATGCTTGTAGCTAAGTGACTTGGAATGTGAAAGACAGCAATGTTTGAGCTGGAGAAATTGGGTGCGGAAAAACCAGTGGTTACTGGGGAAAACGGGCTTGAATTGATATTATGTGCTGAGGATGGGGCGTTTGCAAAGGTTGATGGCACAAACGTGTGGGTGCCACTTATAACAGATCGTGAGTTCTGAGATTCAAGGGCTAATGCTGTGGAGGAGCTAGCAATTGCGCTCTGCCCATTAGCGTTTCGGTTGCTGAGATAATGATTTGTGCCGCGCGATGCATTAGCCAGTGGCTGGTCAACAACGTCATTTGTAGCGGGTTGATCTGTTGTTGGTTTAGACAGGGTTGCCTGGTTATTTGTGAGTGACACTGATGGTTGTTTGTCAACAGAAGCCATTTCTGCTGGTGAAGCATTTCCAGCCTGTAACTGTGAATATGGACTTGCCGATCCACTGGAGACAACACTGTCTGCCTCGTCCATAAATCGATCCATATAATCACTGAAAGGGAGATGGGGTTTTAGAATGATGTTACATGAAATAAAATAGGCTTCGTTTGCTACATTGGTGATAGTGGTGGTAGCGTTAGTGAACATAAGGGAACAGGTGTCACAAGTACCCAGTGCAACTCATGGAAAAAACAACATGTCATTCAGAAAATTTGGAAAACCCCTTTACAGATGCAAAGAATAAGGTTTGTTTCAAATCCAAGCTCAGATATGCCTGAAGTCTTTTGACACCTCTATGAAAGATAACATAGGTATTAAGATAAATGAACAGCTTCCAATATTGCAAGGAAATTCTTAAAGACCTTTAAGATGCAGGGTAGGCAAACTATAAGACCTTTAAGATGCAGGGTAGGCAAACTTTACATTCTGTGGTCATCAAAAATTCGCAAAGCTCATTGTCAAACTTTTAGGACCCTAGACAGTAATGGGATTTCAAAAAGAGAGGGGCCTTGGGAAACCTAATTAATTGCCCAACGGCGCCATTTCTGCGCTATGAAAACAAACCCTTCTATCACTCTCAAGCAGGGATATATCTAGCTTGCGCGTAGACATTTCTTTGTAGTATAGCAGAAGGGAAATTCAAGGGAATTGAGAGGAAAGATACATGCAGAAAATACTCACGCGATACCGGGAGCTCCGTATTTCTTCTTGCCAAACCTTGTTTGCGTACAAAACGCGTCATAACGCTCCGTCTTTTTCCATAAATAATAAAACTGGACAATTTCACCCACTGTTCTATGTGGAATCTTGTTTTTCTGAATTTGGCGAAAGTCTTTTCCATATATACGAAGACCTATGAATGGAGACCAGCTTGTAACATTATACGACTTTAAATTGAAAAACCTGTCTTTTTATTATCATTTATTAATGTAGAAGATCCCAAAGACTTAGAAGGTGTGAGGCTAAAAGACACTAAAAATAAACAAGCATAATTCATAACAAGACACATCATTGTAACTCTATTGGTAACATTGTCGAGAGGCAAGCGGCACTCATTTGGCAACCTCAAAAGTCATGTGCTCGCAATCAACAACCGGGTATATATGTTTCCTAGCGTAGAGATTTTGATCTATGTTCTGACTTTTTATACTCTTAAATAGTGTCAGAGGAAAAGATGTTTCAAAACGTTTGCATTTCTCAAAGCTAATTTCAAGACGTATTAATACAAAAAAGATTTCAATGAGGTCAAAAACGCATTTCAATACTAAAAACAAGAAAATATTTTTAAATGAAATCTTAAAATATATATACAAAAAAATTTTCACAAAAAAACCAATTTTCGCAGAATGAATCTAACAAAAAGATGTAAGTTATTTACCAAGTTCAAAATTGCGACATTCCTCTTCCATCCATAAACTGACGGCTGGGGGCAATTTTGACTGCTCTCCCCTCCTTTTTAGCGCGTCTTCAGCATTTCCACATTGCATCAACAGATAAAGAGCCTACAAATAAGATGAATTCTTTATATCTCTGGCTTTTTGACATGCGCTTTGCTGTAATGTTTTGTATTCTGCATGCAAATAATCCGTATGTTGCGGTAGATATCGGCTTGGCTTGTGCGGTTCAAAAGCTTGGCTATTGGCAACACAATCCACTTATAGCTGGATGAGCAAGTGATATTTCATTTGGTTTTGAAATATTGACTGGCACCATAAGGCTATTTAATCGTACGCTGTTTTATATACCAACACAGAAAATGTTACCAGCAAAAAAAGAATGACACTTCTTGGCAAGGAATGACATAAAAAACTTTAACTTAAAACCTAACAAGAAGTTGGCTATGTATATTGTGGTTCTAAATATCAATTTGGATTTAAAACTGCCAGGTACGATTTTGAATATATGTTAATATCAAGAAACGTTTGAATCAAAAAAGGTTTCAATTTTGATGAATGTTTGATATTATTGTTTTTCACGTTTTGGTGCAATTTTTACATTTAGCTGTACAAACGGGTTATAGCCTCATTTAATAAACTTTATACAAATTGATATTTTTACAGTTTATTGTCGAGTTTTTCAGGTTTAATTCAACAAAACATTCTACTGAAAATTTCGACACTCTTGGAATATCCGTTTGACACATTAGGAAAAATTAAAGGAAAATGCTTTATTCTGAAACTTATTAACGATTTAAAACCAGTTTCTTTTCAAAACTGGACCTTAAGCGTAGTTTCGGTTCAATAGTAGGTTATAACTAGCCTAAGCTTTGTGCTACTTACAAACTACCTTATGCAGAATCCTGTGGCGTTTTTCCATAATTTTTGAGGCATTGTCATACGAAATTTGAAAATAGAGTAAACTCCTGATAACTGAAACATTTGATAAACTGACATTGCATTTCCCTTCCACGATATATTCATATAAAAATTCCCCCGATAGCTTGATCATTCACTATCTCGAATAATTTCATTGGTTCCTTAGAGGCTTGAGTTTTTGGGAGTTCCCTGTTATCAGCCCTAGAGTGAAAAGACTCTGGTCAACTTACCTGCTCGTCATCTCTCAGCGAATTGCCAATTTCGCCTTCTGGTGAGCTGAATACACTGCTGAGGAACCTTTTCACTAAAATCGAAATATCAGCTGTTCAAATTTAAAGCAGAACGAAAATGATAAATAAACACAGAAAATTTCAAATCGCAAGTCGTTCACAACTCATGAACAGACCCCTTCAGAAAATGGAATGAAAACAAGCATTACAATGCATATAATTGATAAATTTAGCAAATAATACTCACATTGTTTGTTATCAACTACTTCAGGCTTCCAAAGAAGTTTATCTTCATTTTCATAAACTACAACAAAAGAAAAGTTAAGCCCCCTTGCATATAAGTATTCTTCAACAAAATATTTTAAAACAAAAAATTGAAATGGCACCAAACCAAAATGGTGGAAGCCATCATCATCCACAGGGACATTCGCTTCTAAATCAGTTAAAAATAAATGTGGATATACCGAGGTATTTTATGTACAGTTAGAATAGTAAGACTAACCATGAAATGAAAAATTAACTGATGGTAATTTACTAATGAATAAAGATAAGCAGCATTTCTATTTCATACCACCAAGTAGAAGAATATATGGATCCAGTATTGGTTAAACTGGGCACGTATATAAGGTACATCACTGCCAGTTAGCCAATAATTCACTATCACTGTTGTAGAATTGCAGTGCAACTTTTAGAGGAAATCAAAAATCCAAATTTTGGTATTTGAATCATTTGCTCATTCTATTGTTGTTATTTGAAGAAAGGACAAACACTATATTTGAAAAACACACAAATAAAATATCTTATATATAGGTTACTCAACAGAAGAATAAGCATATAATAAAGGATCTATCATTTAGGGCATTCATACTTTGTTCACCATCTTTGTAATGACCGTAACCATCAGGGATGCTTGCTTGGTATTCAGGACCTACATCCACTTCCTATAAGTGAACAAACACATGGCCTAATTTTGTTTTATCTACGCCCAGTTACAGAATCACTTAGATTCCACATTTGATCTTCAAACATTGTCTAAGTCTCAAATCAAAGCTCAAAATTGGAAAAATTCTAAATGTAAAGTTCTTCAAAACCCACAAAGGCTTCTTACAGTCACAATTCATTACATTGTACAACTATACTCATGAATTTCAAAAGGTATCTGTACTGAAAGTTCCTTAAATCATTTTCTCAGAATTAGTATTTCATTGCATAACTATTGTAACAGAAGAAATGACTTTGTACAATGTCATGCTCTGAAAACAATACAATACAAAACGATTGGCTTACCTTCCTCCAATCATCAGCCAAAGGTTGGTATTCATCATCAGTGGATTCATCTTGCTCAAAATATTGAGCATGCAATGAAGCAACTGAAAAGAAGATCACAGTGGAGTTACAATGGGTGGAATAAGGTTTCTTCTGGTACACCAATTACCAAATGACTGAGTTTCAAATATCAGAAACAAATTGGAGAGCTAAACGGACAGGGGTCTACAAATCTATAACTACATTGCTGGAAGATGTTCCAAGCATCTGGCAAAAACATATATGCAATCTCAAAACAAACATCAAGAAAGGTCTTCTCGTCGAATTTAGCAACACAATCCAACTTTAAAATCAAATATTGAATTCATTGTTGTATTCATTAAGTCAAATTTGAAATAACAATCCTTATAATAGAAATTTATTACTTGTTAGTATGAAAACTTAATCTAAATACAAAGTTTGAATGCTTGAGAAAATTTGAGAAAGTCTTGGACAAATACAACAGAACAGGAAGAATTTAGAAAAGCCAATATATCAAATATGTTTTCTTAAAAATAATATGCTTCTCAATTACATATTTAACTAGGTGTCATGTAACATTTATTGTTTGGGATGGAATGATAGGATCACATGGAATATACAATGTTCAATTTAGCATCTTTTATGAAAAACAGACAAAAGCTTGCAAATATGTGACACATACTTCCTCTGGTAATTCTTTGATTTTGAAATGGATCAAAGCCATTTTCATCCTGAGAATTTGTTGACTGGGTGGTACTGATTCTGGACCCTTCACTTGAGACACTTCTGGTGTCATCCTCTTTCTCATTTCCATCTGAACTCTTGATAGGCACACTGGCTCCCTTTTCAGATGGGAATGGATGAAGTGGTTCAGGTCGTATCTCTTCAAGTGGCACCTCACTATGATCACCATCACCACCATAGCCGTAAAGAGCAAGCAGGTCCTCTATTGGCATTTCCCCCTCCTAAAGAGTGATGTAAGAATATCAACAGGTTTGACAATGAATCAAGTCTCATATTCCCTCTTGCATATAAATACAAATATAATTTTGGTTTCACCACTTGCCAGCACTGTGGAAAACTACTAACCTAGCTGTCCCAGTTAACCTTGTCTGAGTTTAAAGTTCATGTACAGTTAGATGAAGAAATAGTCAGATGACAAAACTACCATTGAAATTGTACTTAGAAATTATACACTCAAAGAAACAAAATGCCTCCACCTCAATACATACAAAATACATATATTTCGCAAAAATGCACATAGATGATTTCAAATATTAAAATACAATTAAATCTGTAAAAATGATGTCTACATTTTTATAAAATCTCTGAGCGGAAGTGGCAACCTTGCCTTATCTACTAATCTCCCATTGTTTTCAAGGAAGAAACAAAAAACATTACAAATAATTGTTAAGAAACAAAAGCTTCAGCAAGTAGCTTCAAAAGCTTCCACGAATATATTGCATGGCAATCTTTGTCTTTGCACCCTGTAAAATTCTTCTTTAATCAGTACAACTAGAAAGTCAAATAAAGCTACCTTTTGAAGGCTGTTGACTTCTGCAGAAAAATCTTCTGTAGACTCAATCATTTCCTCCTCTTCAATGGTTCTTTCATCATCCATTTCATGCACCATCATGTCAGCTGTCATCTGATAATCTGTATCATTGCTGTCTGATTAAGGGGGGTGATGAAAACAGCATAAGTATGTTTGCAGAAAACTCAATTTGCCTTTTATAGTGTATGATTTTAAACACACACAAAACCGTGATATGTGATACTTAAGCATACATTTCAATTCACTATTTAGATGTTGCACTATGCACAATATTGGAACTATTTTCTTCACTTCATTTACTTATTGAAGTTTGGAGGTGAATCAAATAAAGAAAGAGCATTACATTGTTTTTGCCAGCACCATCATAACCTCTACTATCTAGCATGAATGCAAACATATGCCTAATATGTTTTTAACCCCTGGTTTTTAACCTCTGCAGTAAAAGAAGCATGGGAGATGAAAAGTTTTAATTTCAACACAGGGCTGTGAATACGCAACAAAATCATGGACACAGACAAAGTCTCTCATCTTGTGATACGTATTTTGGTGTTTTGTTTGATTATCATATACTACTTTGAATATGTGACTATTATTATATCATTGAAAGTCAATTATTCACATGAGTATCAATTATTCACTTTTTCATGAACTTCTCAATATATTCGATTCCCTGTTGTTGTTTGGCCTAAGTAAAAGTGTTTCAAGCATATTTAAATACCAGTTTTTTGTAATAAGTAATTTGTTAGGCTGGGTTGGATTGTGTTGACATAGGGAGTATCCAGAGTGTTCTTAGACCCTGCTTTAATGTCAAACTTCTCATGCACCGAAATAAATAAACTTACCAAGAACATGAAAAGTATAATGTTTGAATCAAATATGGAGGTTTTAGTATGGTAAAAGCAGTATGGTATGGCACTTCTTGCCGAACTTTATGATTGGGATTTGACTCCATTTCAAATGCAAAGTCCATTATGTGCCGAACTCAATGCCTGATATACTTTCCTTTCTAGAAACCCATGGTACCATTGATTTTAGGATAGCACACAAAGGAAGAGCGCAAATACATTAACAAAACAGACACTGCTGCCATGCAGCTTTGTTGTGTCTGCTGTTTGGGCATCAAATAGCATTGCAGCATTTGGTTGTTGTTGCAATAAATAAAGGACTAGAACTATTCCAAATCTTCCTGCAAGGGTAATAGCCATTCTTAATATGTATTTGGCTATTCTATATTTTATTCTACTGTCTGCCAACATCCTGGCCAATATATTTCTATCAATCAAGTTGTATGCAGCCATCTTAGATAATACAGCCACGTGTGCATGTTTGCTAAGTGACTCAAAGTTATGAAGCTCAATACCTTTTGGCTTAACATCTGAAATGACACTAACTCCAAGCTTGTTCCTGAGTCATACTTAATTGAACTTATCATAAACTTAGCCCCCCAGGGAGCTAATTGTTTTTCAGCACTTCAAAGGGGGATTTATAAGAGAGGGGGGCTAAATTGAGAGAGAGGGCTTAATAAATATTTTGTAATAAAAAACCATTTATAGTTGTGAACTAATTTTTTTTGTTACTTGCAAAATAAAAAACATCAACTCAGCTTTCTATATCAATAATATTGTCATTGTCATAGTCATCAATTATTAATTCAAAAATATCTTCTTGGGCCATGTCGCCTTTTGAAATTAAGCATTTGAAAAGGTTGACTTCATCCCTCAGAGTACCAATGGCCTGTAATTTTGGTAAAAGTCTAGCATGGCAGTGTTTAATGCACATTAAATCTTTGTCTTAGGATCTGTCTTGACTGGGATAGACATGGTGTGAATTTTGATTTGATGCAAATTATTGAACGGCAAATCAATAAAATGAATAAAATAAGAATCTTTTTTTGGTCAAGTTTACTTATTTTGGCATCAGTGAAAATTTTATGAAGGGGGGCTAAATTGAGAGGGGGGCTAATTAAATTATTCCTTCTGAAAAGGGGGCTTATAAGAGAGGGGGGCTCAAAAGAGAATTTACAGTAGTTTGACACATGATAAGTTCAGCCTTAGCTTTTGAAGATAAATCTAATATTCTAAAAATTTAGTTGTCAAGTTATTTAGAAAGGAGAAAGTGTAGTTTTCAAGTGTAAATTGATGTGTTAAATAGCATAAAAATATTTTTTCTGTAGACACCAACTATTACGTGATGAATATTCAAAATGTGTGTAATAGTGCGTAAAGGCAACCCTGAAATTCTAAATAAAAAAGAATGTAAGTGACTGCATGTTGAGTAAGCACTATCTTCATTAAATGCAGATACTATAACATGATTGTGTCTAATCTATTAAGAATAGATAAAACAATTTGCTTTAAAAATGCATATAAAAAAGCACTTTTTCACATATCATATTTTTCATACACTTGTTCTGAATGTAACATTGTAGAAAAATATCAGTCACTTCTCTCTATTGAAAAAGTCCTATATAGTCTCAAGTTCAGTTGCCTTCTATAAATGTGTGTTTCATATTGTATTTTTTGAAAAAGTGTCCATTTAAAAATTTGACAATATCTATTTTCAAGACTGTTACAATAAAATCTAATAGACCATATTTTCAAAACAAAGTTCTTCAAATCATTAAAAAGCTACTAGTTCTGATAAAATATCAATCCATCTTTGAATAGATTTCAATTCCTCTCTGACGATACAGGAAACATTGTGTTAGATTTTCAAACAAAATGTATTAAAGGACAATTTTGATGCAGAATTACATTAATCATGCTTAATTTCACAGGTTTATAGATATCTGTTTCAAAGTAGCAAAACAGATAACTTGGAACTGGAAGTAGCATGAAACAAATACAATTTTTCTTTAAACAAAACAAGGATAGAAAAAAAGTAAAAACACTTAACACAAAACTGAATAGGTTTAGAATATTCTTAGGCCTTGAGGGGAACAGATAAACTATTTCATAAAAATATGTACAAAAGCAAATTATTTCAAAAAATAAAAATCTTAGTAAACAGTAACTCTCTTGCTTAAATATTCACTATAAAACGGTTCGTAGTTTTTGGGGGCAGTCACGCCAATTGACTTATAAACTTTCTATGCACGCAAGATTCCGGTATCCCGTTCTTTAAGAGAACAAAGCCACTTTTCGGAGAATTCAGCTTCAAAACAATCAGTTTCTTGACAAATACTTCGACTTGATTGGTGTATAAGAAGAAAATAGCCAATCACAACAAGTAAATGCTAACTCGAACCTGTACCTAATAAGCGGTTATGGACGACAAAATGGCTCCCTATCTAGAACGCTCTATCAGTCAAAATATCGTTAAAATTATCTTGAAAACAAATTAAAGGCAAGAAAAATGTAGTACCTGAGTTCTGAGGACTCTGAGCACCTTCAGTCTAAAAATAATTAAAATTATGATTCGTATTAATGTGTGACAACAACTGATGGAATGTTTTGATTAAACAAAGAAAACGAAAATTGAATCCGGATTTCAAAGCTATCAGACTCTACAAAATTTTAAACTTCTCGACCTTCATTGGGTGATACATTAATAAAAGAAGAAATTGCATAACTTTAATATATTTTACACAATTCAAAACATTTTTTATATTTTTCTGAACTCCAATTGAGGTGTATGATTGAAAATAATATTGACAAACCACTCACCTTCGGATTTTCCGCCATCTTTGAGGGAAGCTGCCGTTGAACGCTGAGAAGGCAATTTATAAGTGTGAGTTGCGCATGCGTGTGGTTCATGTTGGCCTAGGCATCAATCAAACATGGTAAGTCTCCTTGCAAAAGTATCTCAACATTTTATTTTCCTGTGTTGTTTCTCAACGATACTTTCAAAATGCGAATTTGCATTCAAATAGAGCTATCTTATCTTGTAAGCTAGCTGTGGGGTTGAATGATTTAGAATAGGCCCGATATTTAATGTTCATTGTAGGGTTTATGATGATTGAGTAACATACGGTTAGATAAAATAAATTGAATATAAAATGGCAAGAATGGTTTTTCAAAAATGCTTTTTGTTAAAAATTTGAAATTTGGATGTGCTCAAAAATTGATGAGTGAAGACTGAAGGAGCATCGAAATATTTTGCTATGCTAATAAAGAAACAGGTAATTACTATGGAATTTTAGACACTTGAAAGCATTTTGGATACCAAATCTCTGCCTTAATCAAATATATGTGAACAGAGATAATATATATGAAAACAATTACAGATTCTAAGCTAAAAACAGAATAAACTATAATTATCAGCCTTTTGACAAATGAACAAATAATTAGTAGGCCTACAATATAATACTTTATTGTATGCCTTTGTGGAGTGGAGGGTGGGGAAATTGTGATGTTTGCTGATATACTGGGGTGTGTCCAGTTTAGGGGTAGGTTGCCCTGTTCCCGCAGGCCTATGTCACAGATGATTTCAGCCTAAGCTGTCAGCATTATGGTATGTCTACATATGAAATGTTAGTAAAATGAGATGTATGCAAATCAGTGACGGAAATTCAGATTTTCATTTGAGGGTGCTCAGATTCATGATTTTCCCAACAAGGTAACAGACTCAAAAGGATATGATGGGTCTGCAAGGTGGAATTTTCCATTAAAAACCCAATAGGAAGGCTTAACCACCACCACCCACCCCCCAAGCCCCCATGATTTCTCTTTTGTTGCCAGAATTATAGAATAACCATTGACTGGGTGTGTCTCTCTTTGGAGAAACTTTTGTCAAATTCCTGGTAGACCATATTAATCTCTCTGTATAAAAAATTATTTATCTTGGTCCTTGTTCCAAAACATTTCAATTGCAGCTCCTCAAACATTTTAACTTTTTTTGTTTTGATGGATTCCAATTCATATCCTTTGCATTCTTTGTCTTATTGCTTTGAGGAATAATTCTGTTTATTTTTCATCAAATTATCTTCTACATTTTTATTCTTCTGTGAGAATTTCGGGATTTCAACAACCCATGTCATATTTTTTCCTGTATCATAGCTCATCTCCAAATTTTTAGACCTTAGTTGACAGGCTTTGCAAGTTCTTGCTTTGTGCATTCTCTGTGATACATTAAAACATACTGTATAAACGAATACTGCAAGATTTCATACTGGCCTAGCCTAAATGGAGTCTTAGTTTAATTTAATCATATAATAAGTTTCTATTAACTCAAAAAAGTATTTTCCATGCATTTAAGTATCATATTTGATAAGAAAGCATTATCTAAGTATACTGATAGGAAAATGTCAGATAATTTTTTAAAAAAATGTTAATTAATCTGACCATATGTTATTTCTTGTAGAAGTGATCTCTTCATCTTTTGTACACAGAACTTGTATTGCAATGCAATTTATTTATCTAGTTCACCTAAACAGTCACTTTCACTTTATAATCCTCTTTTTGTTGTTCCAAAATTCAACGAAACTCATAAGTCTAATTTTTGCTCAGGGTGGTGGCAAAAGATTTGATTACCCAAAATATGTTTGGTCACCTACTGGTGGCTGGTGGTGTGAGCCAAGAAACTGGAAAAGAAACACAGCGTTTGCATTCATTGGACTTTTTGCTGCAATGATCCCCATTATTTATTATGATTACAATAATTTGGTATGTCTTAAAAATTTAAGTGGACAATCTCAGTTTGCAATTTTTTATACCCTTTCTTATTATGTACCTATTTGTTGCAAAGTGTTTGTTTTTGTAAACTTAATGCAGTAAAGTCTACAGAGTTTATTTTACTTCAGCATTTAAAATTTTTCTTCTATTTCTGCTTATTTCCAAAAATACAATTTTGTCTTCATTTCCTGTTGTTTTTTCTATACTTTTATCACATTTCAGCTGCATTTATATTATGGTAAATTTATGGTATCTTTTGATATCTTTAGTCCTTAATTGTTCATAAGGTTACCCCATTTATCATAAAATTGACAATCATTTTGTTTTTTCCTATAACAGAGGCGTCTGAAGCCACCACATACACCACTGCCTTGGCAAAAATTTGCAAAACATGCAGTGGTGAGTATGCTTTCTTTGCTGCAACATTTTGAGAAATTTTGAAATATTTTATTTTCACAGCAACAAGGTGGATGCAGCAGGAAAAATTGTAAATTTGATCCTTCTTAGTATTTAAAAGTTGTCACCTATAGGTGTGTATGATTTCCAGGTTTCCTGGAATGTACACAAGCTTAAAAGGTAAAGGTAAGGCTTCGCCTTAAGGTTAGTCCTGTATTCGATATCCTGGTAGGGCAGCCACAATCTTGGCAAAAAATAGCTGAGACATATGAACGAAAAGGGAATTCCTGTACCATATCTTCATATTATGTGCGCTGGTGACATAAACCCCCTTCCCCCCGTGGTCAATGTTGTTTAGGATGGTTACAGAATAAGTGGGGATTACAACATTAGTTACAATCCAATCACAACATTGATTCGGTGGGAAAGGGGGTTTGTAAGTAGCTTCTTTTTTGCAAGTGTTTCAGCATTTTTTGCCAAGATTGTCTATGATCAAACCTGTTCAAAATTTTGACATAGAGAGTCTCTGTGAATACGCTGTCTTGTGAAAGCTTCTGAGGTGTTACATTTTATCAATTCTATCCTGCATTGTACCGAAATTAGCATTTTTGATGGTGTAATGTCACCGGGTGTTTTCCAGGTGTTTTTCAGGGCCGGAGGCTACTTCTCTTCTGAAATTTATTGTTACGTTTATAAGAAATCGGTTATCTTTTCTTTTGAAGTGCACATTATGGGTGTTTCATATTTATCTGTGGATTTTTTTCCAAAATATAAGTTTTTATCTGTGTTCCTTTGAATAATTCAGTGTTAAAGATAAAAACCTATATCTGAAACTCTCCAACCGTCAATTTTGGAATCGGTCTCTATAGCTTTCCAATCATATCTGACTGTGATTGTTTGTCCGTGTGGCCAAGAAATGCCTATATTTGCCACTGTCAAGAAACCGATAAAATTTCCTGGCCTTTACAACAGACGAGGCAATCTGAAAAATTAATGATGATTGGCTTGAAAGCCTTAAAACTTGCATTAAGTTTGACATTACTTGATTTTTGGCTTAATTTTCATTATGATGTCATACATGACACTTTGTATGATAATACCATAACAGACCTGAAACAATATTTCCTAGGTTGCTGATAAAGTCTAAATCTGCAAAATTCCATTCAAATGTGCTCATCCTCACTAAACAGAAACGAGCGTGCCTTTACTCTTCGTTTCCGTTTCCGATTCCATTTAAGAATCTGTTTGTTTTATCTTAAAATCCCTGGGAATCCTTTTATTTTTGTGAAAATCTCGTTTTATATAAGCTAAAACATAACAACCACACTCAGAAATTTATTAAAACCATCAAAAATATCAATTCTAATGGTAAAAGTTAGGTTGTACTGTAAGGTGGTAAGAAATGCTTCAGTGAGTGCATTTTCCAGTCATCTGGAAACATAAAGAATCAAAGATTTCCCCACCCTTATCGATTGTTGTTTATTGCTCCTATCAAAAAAATCTGTAACCGGGCAAAGGCTAATGCCATCTAGGTAAAAACCAATCCTATTTTCTTTTAAAACTTAAATGATTGAATAGCCGTACACAGATATCTAAAGATTTTGTAAATGGGGCAGAGGGTCCCTTCAATTTTCTAGTATGCCTTTTCAAGGCTGCTTTTGCTTCCCTATCATGTTTCAACAAGGTACTCATTTTTAGCTGAGTGAACTGTTGGCCATCCACGAGCCAGGATAAAACCTGGTGCGCTGACATGACATTCCAGTACCTTAACCACTCAGCTACTACAGCACCTAATACTAGCTTAGGTATCATAAAATATATATAATGTGACTATATAACTTCAAATAAAGATAAATTTTAGCAGGAACATAATAGCAAATTTATTAGCGATACTTTGAGGAAACATTAAATTTGCTATTTTTCATCAAGTAAACTTTTACCCTAATTTCAAATTACAATCCTGGAATATAGCTGTATGATTGTGTCTTTTTCAAATTTTTTTTTCTTGAATATGATTCAATGCTAGACTTTGGATTTTCTTGTTATGCAGTTTATATGCACTGTGTGGCATTTAAATTTTGACACAATCAGCTGGTTCTCACTTACATTTTCCTATTCATTAACCTAAACATTTTGCCGTTGCCATTTCAATTTTCTGTAAGCTGAATAGAAACGAGAAACATGTTTTCCTAGAGTAAATAAGTATACAACAATTTTGCTAAATAATAACTGGAAACATATATACTAATCGTATGTTATGGAATCTTCTTTAAGTTTACTTTCAGCTAAAGCTATAAATTTCAAATTTGCAGATAAAAATACATGTTGTTTTGTCCACAGAAATCTGTTGTAGTAACAAGCACAGTTTGAATTTTGTTATATCAATATACACCCAATTGATGATTCTTGTACCAAGCTTTCATAAATTTTTGCAAATCAAGGGGGCCTAAAATTGGTTTGCGATTTCATTGCACAACCCTATTTCTACCTGCAACCTTAGAATTTGGCAATGGGGTTTTCCTTGAGTTGCCCCTTCACATAAGACATGTAAATTTGCTTAATTGCATCTTTTGGTATAAATTGTCTTTATTCACTCTAATAATGGCATTTGGCAGGTTTTTAGACAGTTTTGCAGCTTTTGGATCCCCATTCACTATTAGGCCCCCAATAAAAGCTATAAATTTTTAGTTATAAATAATCACAATAGTCTTTACAGTCATATATTTTTGTAAATGGTATCTTCAATCTATTTTCGTTTGTTTCAGTCAATGGTTGATATCTTAAACTTAATATCTCAGTTGAAAGAATACTAGTAACAGTTTCCTCATTTGACTGTGTATCAGATTTCATTTGTAAGATTGGGGTAAATTGAAATTAGTATGCTCTTCATTCTGAATCAAAAGGTCTTATCATTTCTTGTGTTCTGCTTTGTCACATTGCTGGACTGGATTTTGGTCTGCCTACTTTGCATTTCAGATATTGTGTTCTATTAACTCTTACAAAATGAATATGCTGCCCAATAGATCATAAATGTTTAGTTTGTTGCTCCTTGCTAATAAAATTAAACTTTATCAGAATTTTCTGACAAAATATTTCATTTCCACTATAGAAACCTTGTAGTTGTAGGCCTTGTCTGAATATTGTCATGCAAGTAGTCATCCATTTAAGTTCCGTAAAGGAAGATATATGATGTTTTCCTTGTCTTCTTTTTACAGGAAGATGATCCTCGACTAGCTGATTTGTAGCTGGTGCTTGTAAATTTAGTGAGTGAAAACAACAAAAAACTTTTTATTATCATAGAAATATGCCTGTAAACAAATGAATTTGACTTGTTCTAAGAAGATCAGTTGCTTGTTACAATAATTGTTTTATGTGGTTCGTGTGACTGAAAGAAACTTATCTGTTTACATTAATCATGATTATCTTGCTTTTCAACTGACCAGCTAATCAGATTAAAACAAAAAAAGCCTCCCTTGACATTGTTCCTTGATGAATGTTAATGAAGAATTGTAGGACAAGACAGCAGACTGAATATACATAGCTTAATAATCTTTTGATGCAGGATGAATCATATTTAGTGATGCTCCTACCAAAAATGAAGTATTTCCATGAAAAAAATAACAAGCTTTGCATAAACCCCTTTTTCCCAAATTTGGAAGCGAAATATGCTAACTCTTTCTAAAAATGCTCCCCTGTAGATTCTAACAGGTAACATTTTCAGATAAACTAACTGGCAGATAGCAATGACAATTGTCTCTTACTATTTTATCAATGTTTCGTTACAGAGACTTTCCTTTTAACATGAATTCTTGAAATTTGAGATATGTATTGCATAATTTTAAACCAACGTGACTTCCTTATGCAAGCTTGAAACACCCTGTAACAGCTTCTGTTTGAGCAGGACTGCGTCATAAACTATCCAAAAAGTCCGGATTTTGTGATCAGCAACATTCAAATACACATATCCTTTAGAAACTCCTCAAAGTATAAAATCCTCAGAAATGTTGAGCAGACTTTGATAATCAGGTGCTTTTAAACTAATTTGGATGAGAAATGTCGCATTTGATTGGCCCTTTGTTTTGACCAATAAGCGCCTGCTTTCTCTTTGAATAGTTGCAGAATCCAATTGAGAAATCAAACTCTTCTTGTTGCACAAACCTAAAAAAAACTTTTTGAATCAAGCAGATTCTTAGAGCTCGAAATGTACAGGTGATATTATGATTGTCGTCACCGTACTTTTTGGCGCACCTGTAAATGTTGTTTCATGAGAGAAAAGTATTGGAGATTCGTTTTCCTGTAGCCCAACCAACGTTTCCCATAAGACAACTAGCCCTGCAGATACGGTCAAAGTAAGGACGACTGTGTTAGTATTAGCTTCATTGTTATGAATTTCTTGCAATGGCCTAGTGACATTCTATGAAGACGTGTCAAAACTTATGTAAAGATACTACTGCCAGATGTTCTTGAGCTAGCATTTCCCAGTACCTTTTACTTCATGAAGACTTACTTCATTTGCTTGGGTGTTTAGCCAACGGTTGAAGCAAGCTTCGAAGCTGCAAGAGAAAAATTATCGTCTTTGTTGTGATGAGCAGTAATATTTCTTGTAAATCGTTATGAGTAGTAATATTTCTATATCTTCTCACACACGTCTGGATTTTATAAGCAGACCAAAGTTACTTCAGTTCTACGTCTGTTTGGATCGATCCTGGTACTATTGATAAGTGACCAAACTATTGCATGTTTACAAAAAAATGGGACCTAGACAGAGACAGAGTCAGTAAGGACGACTGTGAACCAGATACTGTTGTTAGTTGGAATTATGTATAGAGAACTCACTCTTTCTCTGTGCCGAATTTTCTAATGACGACCTTCTCAAGTTTCCATTGCTCCACTAATCCTGTATGCACGACTTTGATTCTTAGCGGGTTTCCAATGTCGTGCCTTGTAATGCCGACAAATGACTCAATGCTGCCCGGATCGAGGTCTCGTCTGCAAACAATAGATATTTTAATGAATTTGTGCATTAGGGTTCCAACACAGAATATTCTTATTCTTTGGTTCCAAGGTGGGGTTTTCAAAGTTTAGTCGAAAGAAAATTTTCCTCATAGGTCGACATAAAAGTGACATAATTTTCTCAATGAATTAAATTGAAAAATTACAAAAAGCCTTTTTTGCAAAGGAATCTTAACAGTCAATAATGAAATAATGATTTCTTCCCCGTCATTATTATGCTTTTATTTTTCAAGTGGGGGCTTATTCGAAGGGGGAGGCCTATTCTAGTGTGGGGATTATTCGAGGATTGACGGTATTTTCATAGGAATAAGCGTTTTGACTTCTGAGGATTGAAAACTTTTGTGGATTTTTTCACTGTTCTATTTCCGTGGTAAACTGCAAAGCTGGTGCAAGGGGAGGCCAATGGTAGGTCATCAGAAGGTCAAAAATTTTTATGTGTAAGAAGGACAAAGAGAAAAATGTTAATCATTGTTATAAGGATGAGGAAATATTTAAGCTTTCCTGTAAAAAGGCCAACCCCCGCTGGAAAATTTGTTAAATGCTAAAGAGTGCAGTGTGAGTAGACTGCCATCAAGATAACTGGCATTGATGAAACAATTTAATGTGAACTCTTACTGTGGCAATTTAATTTCTTCTGTTGTGGCATTGTCACCTGTGATTATTACTTTGACTGAGTCACCGCTGAGATCCGAGAAAAGGCCTGTGCCAGTATGAAACGTTATTTTGTAGTGATATGCTGTGAAAAGTGAGTGATATGCAAATTAGAAATGATATAAATGGGACAAAGTTGTACTTAAAACCTATCAGCGTGAGTGTTACTTCAAAATACTGTTCATCTGGTGTCATATAGCTGAATGGGCAAAACTCTATTGACAAGTAGCTATATTGCATTTTCTGTTATTTTAAGGGAGTTTGGCTGTCAGCTCTGTGGTTTTACTGCATCCTCAACCCCTTCCACTCTATGCTAATCGCAAGCTGTAACTATTGTCAGTGATATAAGGGGGAATTTCTATTTGAATTCTGAGTGTATCGTCTCACGTTAAAAATACAGCAAGAATAAGGTAGAAGAACGTGCGCTTTTGCTAGACGAGCGGCTGGACCAAGACTTTTGTCACAAATGCAGACCCATGCATGTGGTTGATAATATGCATTGACATACCTCCTGGACTTTAGCTATGCCATGTTATTCTGACACTGCAAAAAATAACAGTTCAACACTACTTTCAAAAAAGGAAAGGGGGTTGTCCAGGGCTCAGTACTGGATCCATTGTTGTTTACATTAAACATATCATGCTCTTCTTCTATTTTCTCAAGGCTTTTTTAGTATATAACAAATATTTTTGAATCGGCATTGAGGAACAAGATTACGTACAACAGAACGGCTTCTGTCCTCTAGTTAGCAAGAAGTATTTCCCGTCGAATCTGTTCCCCTTATTCTCTGCTTGGTAGCCCATCTTTGGACAGCCTCCTGATGGACACGAGGTGCATTTCCCTTTCTTGAAATCATCGTAGCTCTTGCAAGGATATGCTTCGAAGGGACAGTTGCTGTTAATGGACTCAGTGAAATAATGCACAGCTCTGTAATGGCTGCATGTGAAAAAGTCAGCCGCACCTAAAAGCAGGTAGAGAGTCTGCAATCAAGTGTTTGGTTACTGTTATTCAACCTTGTTGAGCCTGCAAACAATACATATACAATTTGGTTATCATTCATAAAGCCCATGCAACACGCTGAACCAAGTTTAACATCCTTAGTCAATGGAACGCATCTTAAACAGTCAAGTCCATCACTTTGTGCCATCAGGACAGATAAAGGTCCAAAAGATAAAGGACAGATAAAGGTCCAAAAGAAGGCGCGTGCAGTGCAGTCAATTGTATCACTATAACTGTTAACGTCGAAAAATGTTTTTTACGGTGGGATTCATGTCCTTTAAATAGAAGCTACCCAAATATGTGAAATTCATTTCCACTTTCTTTTTTTCCTGTATCCCGAGATAAAGTCATTATAATGGATTCAAATTCTGAAAATTATTAAAAGCTTTCGTGAAAAACATGGGAATTTTATCTTTACTTTCTGCAGGTTAGTTACTGCTTTAAGTTAGTTACTGCTCACCATTGTCAAGCGTTCGGCAGTTGGGTTGCTCGTAGCCTCCATTTGGGTATGTGTCCACTTGGCCAGACCTTTGTTCGATACCAAACCCTTTGACGTAGATTGTCTTTGTGTCTGTGTGCATTGCATCAACGAACTCAGCATCAGTCGCGTCCAAGCGTACAACCGGAGGTCTGAATTCGTAGTATGGAGATGCAGCATCGAGGCCTAGGGATATTAAAGTGAGGCAGTTATTCACCCTTCATTGATGTAAGGAATTGTCTAGTTTCCATACTGCTCGACCTGATAGTCATAAATAAGCATGTTTAATAGCCATAAATTAGCATGATTAATTATTTCAAGTAAATAGTTAGAGTTAGGGTTAGGGTTAGGGTTAGGTTTAGGTTTAGGTTTAGGGTAAACAAATTACGTCATCGGGTCGAGCAGTATGGAAACTAGACAGCTCCTTGATGTAATGGCTTTTATGAGATGGTTGTTGCAAACACGTTTGCAGTGTGGCGGGAAAGTAAAAATGATAGATATGATAAGCACAGCAAAGTTGTCATTAATCATTTGCTGGATGCTAGAATATTTGTTATTCGCTGAAAAACATCCGGGAGACTAAAATAAACCAAAACATAAGCGAAAACAGTTCATTTACATCCCTACAATCAACTAAATGTTGTAAAACGGCCTAAGAGTGACTATTTTTCTAACTGTAAATGAACTTTGATGAACCAATAAAAATGGAGGCGGGCCCGATAGGTTTTTTTGGAATATACTTTGCCATCTACCACGAGTTTTTCGTTTGTTCGCAATGGAATAGACATTCTTTAAACAATATATTGTATACGTGGAATTGTGTGTTTTTAAGGATCCGCAGATTTAAATAACAAGAGTAGATCAACTCGATCTGATCCGATCCAAAGATCACTGCTCGGCGTTGGATTTTTGGCTCTACTCGTTGACATCTAACAAAGTTATGTAAACCATACTTCCTCAGAAGAACACTAAAGCTGTTACTTATCCCCTCTTGCCCAACCCCAGCTCTCGCCCTCCTTCCCTGGCAAAGTACAATACCTGAGATTCTCCCAACTGTATGATTGTTTTGTCTAAGATATTTCCCAGCATGCCCCACAAGCTGAGCGCCAATGCTGAATCCAATGAGGTGAACGTTGGCGAAGCTCAGTCCAAACTGACTGTTCATCAACTCGACCAGTTTCGTTATCTGCATACCAATCAATCGAACATTTCCGAAGGCAAAGTGATATGGCAGCGCTCCTTGGCCCCAGTCTACTATGATCACATTCATGTCTTCCTTGCGTAGGAGCTCGTCGATCAATGCTCTGTGATAAAACATCTGGCCATATTCTAAACGAGGGTGAAAGTATACATGACAAGCTGCTACCGTTTCCCCGCAACAGCAAGGTTAAATTTCATTTTACTCATGGTATAATCTTTATATAGCAAAAGTGGGTTAAACGAGTGCTCTACTTGATAAAATCAACTAACGTCGCCTATGTTATCTACGGCTAAGCCCCCTCAGTTTTGATGCCTGAATATACCCTGAACATACTATGAAACCTGCGGTTCCTATGAAATTTTGCTCTTTATGGTATTATCCTGCCAACATTGCAACATCAAATTTAGTTCAGCCTATAACGCTAGGCACTTTTGAAGGGGGTCTGGAATCTAATGACGTCGTGACATTGGTCGATCTGCCAAAGTATTTTAAGTCTCACCTAAGTATCCATGACACATGATGATGGTCTTCTTGCGGCCATCGAAATTGGAGACACTGATTGTGTTTGCATCAAGGTCGCTCAGAATGTCGGGGTTGTACTTCTCTTTTCTTGTGTAAAGCATGAATTTTGTGTTAATATACTGTGGCGACTGTGGCAACTGGACCCAGTTGTTATCAAAAGGGTAGTTATCATTAAAACATCCATATGGAGGCCAGCACACTTCGGTTCCTACAATAAAGAATTTAATTATCACATAAGCTACCTCACGACTTTTAAATAACTTAATACTGCATTAGTTCAGTCAACCCTGATTTTTGTTAAGCTGCGCCGGTTTTAACTGTTACAGAAGTTTTAGTAATGCGATTACCTCCTACGAAACATCCGATAGGCATCCATCTGTGATTTCTCTGAGATCTACTATTTTATACCTTAGGCTATTTATGTTCAGGAAAGCAAGGAGAGGATTCTTGTGATATTTTTTCTTAGCTGTAAAAGCGTATCTATTTCTTTATCTGTTAAAAGGCCACTGCTTTTTAGTGAAAACATGCAATGTAAAAATATCAGTAACACGGAAACAAATAGTAACACGGATGTTAACTCTGCGTTGATTCTGTTGTCATATTGTTTAAGAATTATAAACAAACATTCTCCAAAGAGTATAATTCTGCCTATTTCATAAAATGGTGATTATTGCTCTAAAACACATCCTCATTCTACATGGTGTACTGCAGTCTTTGTTAAGAGTATATCAAGAAACATTCAAGGAAACATCAATAGTTTTGACTAATTTTGAAAAATCAAAATAGGAATTAAGATCAAAATTTCTTAAAAAAAAGCGAATAGGTTTTCTCAAAAGTCTTCTTACCCAACACGATGCTAGCAAGTGCCAATAACCCGAAACAGCTTCTCAACATTGTTCTTTTGTGGTTTGTTTCAACTCTCAAGTTTGCAGACGCAGTCTTACAACATGAAAGGCTAGCAACGAATGACTAGCAACAGATCGCTACAAGATTTCAAAATCCCTTTAACAGTCAAATCAAACCGTCTTGATATACTAAGGGATATTTAAATCGATTTTGACGTTTCTTCAGCTGAACACACAATTGATTCTACAGTTAGTACGACCATTAATCCATTGATTTTTGTAGAAGATGCAGACAATTTTGCACTTTCAAAGACAATCACCCTCTTTTTAGTTGCTGAGTTCATTAAACAAGGCAGTAAATTTTTTCAATTAAATTTCAAGTGTTATCTTTGCTGCAAATTATGATCTTGCCAATTTTTTGCGTGCTTTTAGTTTTGTTTGCCTTGCAAGTTGGTGATTAGCGTGTGCTTTCTACAAGGAAAATTTCTGTATTCAAGATTGAAGTTTTAAGTATTGCTGAAATTACAGTTATTGTTAAATGCTTTTATGTCATTGCTGAGAAGGCTTAATGTAATTCAGTCGTTTGGTCCTGATTTAAATGCTTTTAATGTGGCTAGTTTGTTATTTTGAGAATGATTTTGGTCCAAACAGAGACGAAACTTCGAATTGCTTTTAACGAACCAAAAGTCATTTATCGACTCCACTGATTTTCTCAAATAAGAAACATTGCTTTTAAACTTGTAGTCTGGTGTTATAAATTCTGATTCCATCAGGTGAGCATTTTGCTAAGGCTCTTAGCTTGTCAATAAATACCAAGAAAAGAAAAACAATATGAACATCAGCGAACCAAGGATAGAACCTTGTGGAACCCCACAGTATAATAGTCGCATTGTAGAGCTGTGTCCATGATGTACAACAAGTTGCCTTTTTTGTCAAACATATAACTGATAAACAAGAACAATTCTCTGCCTTTGATGCCATAAATCGATAGTTTGAACAGTCGTGCGTGATCCAAATTATCGAATGCCATTCGTGGGCAAAAATCATACAGGCACAGAAAAAAAACGCAAACGCGGAAAATCCTTACTTGACTTACCGATACCGAACAGAAATAAGTCGGTTATTCTCTCAATGCCTATTCGCAGAGCAGATACCAAATGAGCTAAAAATGCTATGCAGACGGTAATAGGAGGACGTTTGCTCTCGCCATTGTAATTGGCGTACCACAAGGATCATGCATAGGCCCATTATTTCTCATCTATGTCAATGACCTGTCACAATCTGACTCGCATTGCATGATGGTGATAGAAGCTTCTCTTTTCGACCCAAAACTATTGATTCGCTGAATGTGGCATCAACTTATCACCATCATAGTATTTTTTATTCCTAAAAAAATGTTCCTCATGTTGTAAAAGCTACAGCATGCTAATATCAGCGAAAAAAATAAGAATAAAGATCAATCTGAACTTCAAATTGCATAAGAAGACCTTGGACTAAAATGCCGATGATTTTTATAAACTGTCATTGTGGAAATCCACTTTAGATAGGGAAAATGCTTTCGTTTCAAAGACTCTATTTAATTTTGGAACATCGATCTGGTTTTCCTGAATACTTCTTTCAATATCATTGTTCTGTGATAGAGTCTATTGATAATTTTCTTGGTCTACATAATATAGGCCCAACTTAAATATTTCATATTATTGGCTGACTTAACATGTGTGTTTTGATGATACTTACGGCAATGTTAGACAGAATACTAATTTGACAGTAGAGAAGGATTTTTAAAACCCGGCTATAAAGGAAATTGTTAGATTCATTTGGAGTTAGGTTTTTGGTTTTGATGTTAAATTCATAGTTTTACAATAGAATTTCGATAACTGTGCTTAACTGAACAAATGTTGAAACACACATTGACTCAGTTGATAAGACAGTGATATTTCAATATGCCAACCAAACTTCTGTTTCAATTAAGTATCAGAATAGCCCTGCAAATATGTGCTGAAAAGGTTGATATTTGTGGCCTAATTTTGCCTTTGCTTGTGAACATTTCATAGCAATGTATGACGCAACATTAATAATTGACTCAATTGGGTACAGCTGAATTGTCTCAAAGCGTCTGTTTATTGCACCTAAGAAGGCTTCAGCTTATGTGCAAACATTGTTTCCTATCTTATAAAATGACCTCAAGTCGAAACCATTTCGAGAAGTACTTGATTCGTTAACGCGAAAATTAAGATGGCTGCAGCAAAGTCTATTTTTTTGGTTTTGCTAGTATCTTTTGTAGCAGGTGAGACAAATCGTTCTGGTTTTCTTTGTCAATTTTTTCATTCGCTCACGCCTATATATGTTAGTCAATAAAGTTTTGAAGTTTTTTTAAGAAAAAGTTATTTAACTGTGCAGAAAAATTCAACTCAACAAGTTCAAACGACATTTCATTCAATTCAGTACAATTCAGTGTCATTCAAATGTTTGATTCTGAAAGTTTCTGGTTATCATTAAAAACAAAAAAGAAATGTAGTGTATACTTGAATACGAGAGAGAAGAATGAGAAATTCTATTAATGTTGGAAGAAAACCAGTACACCCTCTTTAAAGAGTTTATGAGCCAAAAAAATTCTTCAATGATGTTTTTTAATTTACATTTTTATTCAGGTGAAGAGAAATGCTACCCTCCATACGGCTGCTTCAACAATGACCCCCCATTTAGTAGGTCCCTGGTCCAGTTGCCAGATTCGCCGCAAGTCGTCGGCACCAAATTCATGTTGTACACACGAGCGCAAAAAGCTAACCCGGATGTATTGAGTGATGCTGATCCGTCGTCTGTCAAGACATCTACCTTTGATGGAAAAAAATCGACAATTTTTGTTGTTCACGGGTATTTAGGTAAGGTATCTCTTCATCTCTCGCAAATTGCACTGCAAATTGATTTGTTTTAACTGTATACATTATTTTTATAAGAACCAGGTAATTTTTGCATAGTCTCGATTCTTAGTTTTTTTTTAATTTGTGGTTCAACTGTTCTTAGTGCTGTTCTTGTTTTAAATTTGATTCTCAGCAAACTTCATATTAAAAATTGTTCTTAGACCACTGAATAAAAACTTTTCACGAAATTTTTGTAGCAAGGCTGGCTTGTCTCGATTGTCGTATTGTCTGTACCCTGGGTACTAGACTCATACAAGTGACTCATTCAAGTGAGTCTAGTACCCAAGGTATATTGTCTGGTACGTTAGTAAATTTTTAAAAAAGCATTGATTATTTTTATTTGTCATCTGAAGCTAGTCAACTACTCTATATTTTTTTCTCTGGCAAATCAATTCTTAGTGTTAGCACAAAGTATATTCTTAAAAAAACGAGCGAAAATGGATTTGACATAATACAATATAGGTTTAATTCCGAAATGAAATACAAAACATTCGCTAGCAATAAGCTTCAAAAATTTCTGTTAAAATTCATCCTTGTAAATGGTTTAACATTTCACCACATTTTACGTCAAGCACAAGTGCTCTATTTTTTGGGAGACGAGCGAGCCAATAGATCCCAACACATCCCCCACCAATAGATCATTTCGTTTGAATTTCTTCACTGTAAAATAAGGCAACGTAAGTACAATGACATGCGTTAGAAGAAAGGAAGGTTCTGAGAACTAAGAGCTGCGAGCTACCAGTGCTTATGCTGGTGTAAGCCTGTCCTTATCTGTGTGTGCAGTTAATATATTGGAAATTATAGCTGCCTTGCATCTATCAAAGGAATTGTCACTTCTAAGGATATCACTAGGTTGTTTAGAATATGTTTGGTCACATTGCCCTCTATGGCTCTGCTACAGCACTCATAGCTCTCATGATCCGGAGACTTCTTTTTGGGAGAAGGAATTGTGAACCGCTTTGACTTGCAGAGATCTTTGGGTGAATCATACATAACAAGGCCTATTCTTATCAAGGCTTACTGATGCATGTTTCACTTTATACTTAAATTTAAATTAGACATTATTGTTAAAAAAGATATTTTGGTTCAAATTTAAGAGTAAATATATGCAGGGCCCCTTGTAAGTAATTTTTCTTCAATTAATCTTATGTCGCTATCAAAAGATTACCAAAGTGACGACGACACGAGACTCTATTTTGTAAATTTTTCAATTTTGACCATGTATCCGAAAAAATCATTATGAAATACCTTTAAATGTTCAAAAACAGGTGAATATGTTGCAAATTGGCTGAGATATGACAACATAAGCACAGACTTTAAATCAAACCTCTGTAATTTGGTGAACTATGTAATTTGGTCTTGGTCCATAACTTCTGAACCAGGCCAGAATAACAGTTATCCGTTAGCAAACTTGAACTCTTTTATTGACAACATCTCGCCCAATTTTGAGCATATCTAACTGCTTTTGCATGTTGGCTGAAATTTTATGCCGTTCTTTTGTTTTTCAGATTTATGTGGTCAAAATTAAGAAATTTTTATAATATATTTTTGATGACGTAACACTTCTGTGCTTTGTACTCATAATGTTTTGTCCAAATCTGCAGAAAAAGCAACGGTGTTTTACATGCGCCTTCTCATCGACAAACTACTGAAGGTCGAAGATGCAAATGTAATTGTGGTCCACTGGGAAAATGGTGCCAAGTTTCCATACCACAGGGCTGCAGGAAACGCCCGATTGGTGGGAGCACAGCTTAGTGCCTTGCTAAATTTATTGCAAAGCCAATTTGGAATGAGTTTATCACGTGTTTACATGATTGGTTCTGGTCTAGGGGCTCACGTGGCAGGGTACGCAGGGAGAAATATTAAAAAGGTCAATGGCACTATTGGGCGTATAACAGGTATTCTATTATGCTTTTGGAAGGCCTACCTACCAACGAAATATGTTTTCCTTGTGACAAGAGATTTTCCTACAGGAAGATCCTAATATCAATGCGTGTTAATTGCTATGTTAAGCAAAGTATTAAAGTTTGGGAGTTAGCTTTCTGACCTAGCCCTTTTGGTTCTTACAAGTTATTTTAGATCCACAGGTTACGAAGAGTGCCATACCCGTGTCAAGTTAATTCTAGGCCGCTTTTTAATGTCTATGGGTTACTGGGAAAATATATATGTTGCCCAGAATAACATTTGGTTCAGAAAGCTCTGCATTGCTTCTTTGTCCGTTAGCAAATGCCTTGGTAAAACCCTGAGCCATTCAGAAGAAGTAATCAAACGGGGTTTTTCTCGATTTTAACAGTGTTTTTCTGCTACTTTATCGTTGAAATACCTCTGAGAAACTGTCATGGTGAGCAGCTTTTGCTTTGCCTATCCAGGTCTTGATGTTGCAGCGCCTCACTTTGAGCAGGAGCACACTGATGTGAGGCTGGATTCTAGTGATGCTGATTTTGTTGATGTCATTCACACTGATTCTAAAACCTTCATTGTGAGGGGATATGGCATCCGAGAGCCTGTGGGCCACCTAGATTTTTATCCAAATGGTGGTTATGAACAGAAAGGTTGTCGTTCCCGCGATGATGGTATGTATGTATATCTATCCAACGACTGACACACTGCACACCACAAGTTTTTTATTAATGCATTCCCGTTATCTAGTCACACTGCGGTCAATTATAATGATAAAGTTTTTAATGAAAAATATGAATATTTATAGAAGGTCTTATAATGCTTATAAAAAAGTGTTCAAAAAATGTGACTTGACCATTGAAATAGTTAAAGTAAATTTTTAAAACCAATTTAAGTATCACTGCCTTTGAACTCACTATCAGTCAGTCAATGGCCGCTCTGCTTCTAGATTTAAAGTAGAAGTACTTTTTTCTGTATTTTTACTATTGTCATTGAACTACTAATCAATGTATGCTTATAATTTGATGTACAAAACATACAGGAGGGATATGTGCTTTCTAGTCCCCAATTACGATTTTGACAAAAAACCGTTAGCTGACTAAGGCGCTCTTATCAAGTCTTTCAGAATGTGTACGATGCTGGGGTTGTGATGTTAAGGAGGACTGGGTTACAGCCTATGCTGATGACGTCATTTTAAAACTTGTCGCTAAACCAAGTATGTTTTAATATGCAGCTGTCATGAAGTTAGGTTTCCTTACATGCAGGCGCAGTGTCATTCTTCACCTGCAGCCACTACCGAGCAGTTCATTACTTCATTGAGTCTATCGATGGTCACTGCCCTTTCTCTGCGTTTCCATGCGAAAGTTACAAAGGATTTAAAAATACGTCATGCGCGTCATGTCCTTTGGATGGATGTCCTATAATGGGCTACAACGCTGTGGAGCAGAAGAATAAGGCCATTGGGAAGTTTTACCTCAGGACCGCTGGAGGCAGCCCATTTTGCGGTTAGTTACCTTTTATTAACTGCCTGAAGCGTTTTTTAGAAAATGCTTCTGGTTTCGGTATCTTCGCAAAGAAGATTTTTAAGGTGCAAATATTGTCAACATAGTATAGTTGATAATCCAGTTAGTCAAGGGCCACCATAAAAAAGGCATAAACCTTATCATAAATTATAACAGAATCCCATTGAAGTTTCCAGCTTTCTTGTTGAGTCAATCTAAAAAGGAAGTTCCTATCAAGTGTATCAAGACTTTTAGGATCATTTTTTACATGCTGGCTAAAATGCTATTTGCAAAAATATTGCTTTCTGAAAAATTGATTTCTGTAATGTATGTATTCATCCAGAAGTTTTCCCTGCTTGGTTTTTGTTTCTATTTTGAAGTCTGACAGTTAAATTGCAAGAAACGATCGTTCAAGTAGCTTGCATATGAGAGAAACAGGGAGGAGGTTTCAAAGAACTATCTCAAAAAGATTCCACAATAGAATCGAGACACCATTCCAATTCTGGAGCCCCTAAAGCCGTAGTCCCTAGATTTGATCTGTTGGGGAAACTAGCAAGAAAGCCTTTTAATAAGTGAGACCAAATTCATTAAACGACTTCCTCTTGTTCGTCCTCGGTTCTTGTCAAGTCATGATATCATTAAATCATCAGGGTGTGGCGTAATAAACTATGTTTATACTATGTTTATTACGTCTAGTATGTTTACATTGAGCAGACCAATTTTAAACATCCCTCTCTTTGTAAACACATACAGCAAAGCAAAGGAATAAGGAGGATATGATCAGTTTTTGAAACAATTTCTTCTTTTGCCTACATTCTACGTACGAACTATTTGATACTTTCTTAATTCTCACCATAATAAACAAAGCCAATTTTCAGTTTATTTATCAATGATATGTCATACATTGCAACTTATTTTCCATTTGCAGTTCATCACTACAAAGTTACATTTCACACGGCCAAAGGCCCCTTTACTGATCTCACAGCAGGGGCAGCAAGAATGAAATTGATTGGCGATAATGGTGTTTCAGAAGAAATTGAATTGGAAGAGTAAGTAATAAAGAAAATGATCAGTTATCTTTGTTTGATGGTGCAAGGGGAGGATTTTTATCACAGTACAGCAATGAAACTGCTGGCTGCTGGTCGTGAAATGATATACATCCTATTTATAAAAAAAGTACGCGGACCTGAATATTGTCAAAAAGATAAGAAGAAGTTAGGAGCAAGCTGAGACCGAGGTGCTGTAAAATGCAACATTGATGATGTTAAACTTGACCTTATTTGAAACTATTAGGAGTAATATAAATCTAAAAAAACTTTCGCAGCCTTTATCTTTTTCTAATTTTATTTCGAAACAATACCTGCATTTTGCATTTCCAACGTGACTAATTTTATTAAACTTTCACCCTAATGATTAAAGAACAAATCTAGAACAATCTTGCTTCAAAGTTTTTGAGAAACGAAAGTCAGTCAGTTTGAAAGAACGGAAAAAAGGCAATTGAAACATTTTGGTGCCATTTAATGCAAAACGTATTGAAATTAGATGGCCTTGTCCAACTTAAAAGTATATATAATATAATTGAAAATTTTGCTATTTCATGGCTCTCTGATGTTGACGTGCAAGGTGCTTCCACTGTCAATTACAGATTGTCATTAAGAAAAATATCATTTTCCTTTATTTGCGAACTGGTGTAGTATTCTTCAGTATATGGTGTTAAATGATCAAAAAATGTATAAACTCCTCTAGAAATTGTTTTACAGTTGTCTGATGATAGCATTATGTGTGAAACTCGGAGTAGCAACTTAGAACCGTCCTGTTCTACACACCAAATGGGGTAGAAATTTTTCTCATTTGATTTGTTGTTGCACATGATTTTTGCGATCCTAAAACTAACCCGGTCGCATAAATGTCACATATTTCCGGTTTCTTTTTTAAGCCGATACATTGCAAGTGGAAGTGTGGAAGATTTTCTTGCTGTCACTTCAAGAAATGTGGGCCAGTTGCAACGGATCAAAGTTTGGCACAAAGGTTTACTTGATTATTGGAAGCTCCACATGGTTGAAGTGACACGGTTTGGCTCCACTAAAAAGTATGTAAATTTTTAATCTGCTTTGAATGTTACAATGTCAACATTTGGTAGAAAAATTAGCCAAAACACTATTTTACCATAAAATTTATCAAATATAGAAGTCTTGATAATGGAAAGTTTAACAGTCACACTTTCAGAATCTTATTTCAAATAACACAATCGACATCAAATCTTTCCCTGTTAGAAGAACTGTAGATCTCTTTGGCGCCACTAATGATTTCAGATACAAAGAGATAACTCTTTGAATATTCTTTAATGTACTGTTTCATTTATTCCAAGGAAAATATGCCATTTGAGCTCATGGCGACGTAATAATTACTTTTAATTGCTCGTTTCAATATTTTCAGTATATCTTTCCTTGGACAAAATTCTTTAGCTCTGAAACTTTTCTCTGAAAAACAATGAATTAAGGTGGGGTGTAAGTAGGGGAATTGGTTTTATTATTTTTTTATAGAATTTGATACTCGTGGTCGTGGGCAATGTGACCGCTATGTTTCTGGACTCTGGATTTTTCTGTCTTCATTTTGAGCAGTTAGTCACGAGTCTTGACCTTACTGGTCAAAAGTTGCAAGGTGATTGAAAAATAATAAACAGATAAGGCCTATGTTTAAAGGCAATCAACCGATATAGAAGTGGCTTAAGCCATCTGTCGATCAATGTTAGCCAATCAATGAGCGTGTAAGTGGAAAGCCTCTTTAGCATCTTTCGATTGCCGTCAATACTTAGATGATGTCACTAGTTCCTAGGCTACTTCTAGTTAGCCTTTTTAGTTTCAAGCTAGAAAGCAATTACTCTTCTAAAAAAACTTTTTGGCTTACGTTACTAAACATGTTTCTTGAATACGAAATCAAGCATGATTTCATTGGCCTGATTGAAAAAATCTGAAAATAGAGATTGCAAACAAAACATTGAAATTAGGGTTTTTGAAGTTCTTAACAATTTTACTGTCAGGATGCCACGGTTACAGATCTTTTTATTTCTATGAAGAACGTTAAAGATTTCGAGAGACAGAAACCAATTTTGACTGGTTTAATTGTCACCAATACAATAGAGTCGTTTACAGGCCTTGTACTCACACCGAGTATCTTTTTTCGGGTTTAGTGCTCAATTTGTTGCCACAGATATTATAAAACAGCCATTTCCTGCCCCATTCATTCCGGGTTGATATCTGACCAAAGTGGGTCGGTTTATATCAATCCACTTGGAAACAAAAAATTATAACTTTGAATGTTTTGAAGACGAATAAATTCTTTTGGCGTTAGTAACTAAAAAGCTCGAAATATTTCAGGATTGCAACAATAAGAACTAAAAATAGTTATGTAAGATCTCGTTTTTGAATATTCTCAATCAGACAGAGCAATGGGACTGAGCCGATTCCGTTGTGGTTTATACTCTACTTGGTTTTTGATTGATGTTTTCCAGGTTCAGAGATTCGATGCTTAGTTCAACTCATTCTAGTTCATTTATGATTTACATTTTACTTCACACAATTCATCAAAATAAGCATAATATAATAGTGAAGGTACAACATTACATAACATAAAGATAAATTCCACAAAAAAGCATAATCAGGACATTATACTTTAAGAGAGTATTTTTAGAAAAAGATAACTTGAAATAAGAGCACCCAAAGTGCTTAAAGTGGAAAACCTTGGCATAGTGGCCCTCGGGGCTGAACCCCCCTCCCCCCTCCCCCGATCAGGCAAAATTTGTCAAATTTCTGGGCCATTTGGGAAATTTGATCTAAATGAAGCAATAATATTTGGGCAAGACCTATACTATGCTCCCCCCCCCGCCCCCTAAACGTTAAGCCTCCGCTGACATTTCAAAATTGATAGCTTTCTAAAAAAGAGAATCCAAGTTTTTATAGAAAGTTTTCCAAGTGAATTTTGTAATTGCAGTGATTTAAATATTCATACCAAGAGTCTCAAATTGTAACAAATTATATCAAATAATCAAATTAAACCTATAACAAGTTATGATTCTCAAATTGGTTACCTCAATTGTGAATTTTTTGCCTTAGGTACGTCGGGTGCTTCAATCGTTGGCTTAACTCAGCGGACAACGAAGTGCCATTGCAAGAGTACAAGGGAAAACATCTTTGCTAGCAAGCCAAGTTTTTACAATACTTTAACAAATTTTCACTGCAATTTTCAGTGATATCAGTAATGCATTGTGCACAGTGAATTTTAAAGAATGGTCTCTTTATTTGTTGGTTTCTATTGAACTGTTGATGTATGCACCTGAGAAACAAAAAATGGCTTATGTATGTATGAATAACGTTGGCAGAGGTTACCAGAAAAGGTTATTATCGGGAGGAAATAGGTTTGTAAGAGAGATCTTTTAACAAAAAGCGGGTGAGCGCCTGTGAGTAGAAACGAGGCCTACTCTCAAACGCGTGCGAGCGAACTTGAAACTGATCACAGCGACCATGATCATTCTCTGTGTACGCGTGCATAAGTTTGAGCGCTCGCTCCAAAATGTCTCTAACGAGATTAGGCTCAAGTACATTGCTAACAATCGATTACAAAGTTTTCTGCATTTATGCCCCTCTGACCCCGCCCCTCCCCCATATCAGCAGATCTCCCCCCTCCATAACAGCAGATTTGTTTTTAGGATCGAAAGCAATGAAAATCAACCTGCAGCCTTAGCATGTCTCGAATTCAAGCTACGCGAACGAGGTAAAATAAATAAACAAGACGGTAAACAAAAACAGGCCAGCTTTATCATGATATTTATTTTTAACCAAAAACGGGACATTTACCACTTTCTGTCGTCATTGGACTCAGTCATAATCACATTGAGTGACCCTGATGTAACTTACAAAGAGGAATCCAGACCAGGCACTCGAGAATACGAGGTCAGGTCGTATACGAGTTTATCTTTGAATAAAACTGTTGGAAATCAACGACTTTTTATCAGAAACGGACATTGAGAACATGACACTATATACACCAACCAAGTAGCTGCAGATTTCTGCTGGGGTGGGAAAACTCGAGCAAGAGCCATGCCTGAGGGGGTAGGGGGCAAGCTTTTAACAAAAAAAACAAATAAATACCAAATAGAAATATTTGGACTAAATCAAGCCACTATGAATATAGTGGTTATAGTGGTTACAAAGCCACTACAAGTCAAAAATAGAACAATGAATCAATTACAAAATGTCAAAAAAAAGGAAACTGCAAATTTTTCGTAGCCACTCAGCTGGAAATTCCTCAAAAGATAAAGCTCGAGTTAGGTTTTTTTGAAAGAGTCAAGGCACTCTGATGAAAAGGTGTGCTGCACTCTTTTATATAAAAACCAGTAAATTAAGGCTCAGGCTGACTGTTCTTCATTTTTTTCGAAAATCTGAGGCTGGATTGTTCTTAATTTGTTCTCAAACTAACAGGCTGTAAGCAGTGTGAGAGCTTACTTTTTCGCTCTAGGGAGGTAGTCAGGTCTCATTTGCAAACAAAGTGAGTGAGACAACCTTCATTTGCCGACAAGTTTGAAAATTCACCGAACAAGCACCTACACATTGCTAAAAGTCTTCGTTTTTAGATAATATGCTTCTAAAAATTGCATTTTTCAGTAGCTCAGCCTCAGCTTGTTCTTAATTTGTTTTTAACTTTTGACCAATTTTGAGGCTTGTGTTCTTATAAAATTATTCTTATAGAAAAAGAGTGCACATCGCCTCGGTCTTTGGTCTGCTTGCACCTGCCTTGCAGTGGCTCTACATGCCACCACTCTCTCTATTCTGTAACGCCACAGCTGCACATGTCACATTTGAATGTTTCAAGACATGAAATATTTTGAAATTAAACAGGTTTATTGTTGCTTACCTTCCAGAAATGGTAAAATATTACCATTCGGAAAAATTGTAGCCAGAGGGGGCAAGTTGTTGTCAAAATATTCATTTGGGGGGCACAGCCCCCCGTGCCCCCCCCCCCCTGCGGCTACGTGACTGATATACACTGGTAACCAAAAACACAGATTTCAAGAAATTTCAAGCATTATTGCATCCCACACAAGCTGATTCGCATCCTCGCCGGTTTTATTAATGAGGATTCTCATGTCAACAAGAGAACCTGTATATTAAAGCTAAAGGCAAACGAATTTTCTTTTACTGAAAGACCACGGATTTGCCTGTTTGTTCATAGGTGCCTGTTGCCACGGAATTCCTATGCGGAATGGCCGCTGTCAACATCACTGGCGCCGCTATCTGGATAATCACGACAGCAGCAACAACAACGATCATCATAATCAATTATAATAATCATAATCATCATTATTGTCATGGTAACAAAATTATCATCTTTTTCGATTAACATCAGGATCATAATCACCAATTATCTTTGTCGTCATTATCATAAGAATAATCTGTAAATAGTAAGAACTTTCGAGAAAGTAAGTATAAATAGTTACATTGAAGTTTGGCATGTCAGTGAAGTTTGGCAAAGCAAGGGGGTATGGGGGCGTAGGCACAAAATGATATTTTTGGGGGTAAACGAAGAAATTTCTTTTCCAACCCTTAAGTGTAATTGTAACCTTTTTGTTAGAGACCAGAAGAATTTCCATGTTGGACAAGCACAGGTAGTAGGTGGGTCTTTTTCTTAAAAAAGGGACACTTTTCCAAGGATTCTGAAGAAGACATTTCTAAGAAAAAGGGATGCCAGTCGATGGTGACATCTTTTTTTTCCAAAGTGGTAATAATTGCTTTTCAGAAGTTCAAGTAAAATTGCCTGTATGCCTACATTTTCCATATTGCCATATATTGTTAAGTTAGCAGATTCATAAGAATTTAGTCACTCAAAGTTTCGTAAAAGCATCTGAAATTGTTATCTGATTGAGGCACAAAAATAGAAAATTTCCATTTCTCTGCCAAAATTGAGATATTTCAACTGCATTCCCAGTACTGAATTTCTTATGAAAATTGTCTTGTAATACAATTTTTATTGTAAACATTTTTTCGTTTTTTCTGGAAAGTCCCAGGCTGGATATGTATCATTTTTTGCTTCCAGAATGATTATACTCCGAGAATACAGGGGCTCAATATCAGGTTTGCAACTAAAGGTTCGAGCTACAAGATTTTGCAAAAAACCTTTTTGTTCTTCACCAATGTGGGACCATTGCCCGGCCCCTGCTTCAGGGGCCTGAAATAACGAGTTAGCCCACTTCCTTGGAAATTTTTCAATCAAAACTTTTGGCCTGAAATTGCTTGCATTGTGTTATGTTTCGTGGCGTTTCATGGAACATACCATGTTTTCATGGCCTGCCTTTCTTCAAGTGTAAACCAGTTCAAAACATTTTCTTTACCAAAATGAAATGAGCAATGTCCAGAATTATTACATTATTCTTGTTACGGAGCACAGGTGATAAATCTTAACGAGGCTTTAAATGCTTTTATAACTGTTTGAATAACGCAGTGTTTCTGCACAATCACGTCCCGCGTATTTTGTTGTTCTCTCGTGAACCAATATTGATTTTCTTCCACATGCGTACAAAGCTTTTTCAATTCAAGGGTTTTACCTCACAGAGGACAGGAATACCGCATAGCAATTTTCATCTATACTTAAAATGTTGTTTATAAAATTGATGTAAAAGAGGTATACCCAATTCATTTCACGTGCCAAGTTGAACAGTTTGTGTCAATTTTGCTTATTGAAGATTGTCACCACACACAGCAAGATATCAAGAAAGTGAACTTGGCTTGGCTTCAGTGCGTTTTGACTCGAGAGTACAAGCACCATGATCCGCGGCTTAGACGGGTTTTAAAGGTGATTTTGTTCCGATACAAGGGTATTTATTTCGGGGCCTATTAGGGAAATTAGCTCGCTTCTAAAGTTCCAAAGGGCCGTTGGATTAATAGAGGTTGTCGTGAATCGAAGGTTTGTTGTTGTGCCTTGGAGATGCTGCAACGTTTCCCTGGGTCATCTGGTGGATCGTTGTGAAACAGTTCAAGTTCTTCGACTAAACAGGGTGCTAGTGTATCTTCTGTCCGGTAAACATGTCAAGTAAAATGTTACGAACATGAGTCTACCACGAAACAAGATACAGCGTGGTTGGACAGACGGAGATCAGCTTTCTGCTGGTCGGAAATATCACTCCTACACCGACATCAACAACCAGATATCAGGGTACAACCCAACACAGAGATGGAAGGACCAAAAATATTCCCAAACAGTTGATCGCCAAATGCTGAAACCAAAGCCAACCAGAGCAATCGTGGACTATGGTTTCCTGAGAGAAATACTGGGTATTCAGATGCCAATGGGCTCGAGGAAACGATCTGCAAACGAGTGTTTCTTGAGCGAGGAGCTGAAGCAGGCTGTCGTTAAACTACGTAAGGAAGCCAAGGATCTGAAGCTTGAAATAAAGGATAAGAATTGGCTCAAAACACTTGAGGATTTGGGGGATTTGAATGATATGGAAACAGATTTCCTCGAAGCCTTGTATATGCTACGTAATGCCTACAAAAATGGTGCATTTTCGAGTACACAATCAATCAAGGTAGGTCAACTGCCCATTTTGAATTCCCTGTCTTTCGTCACCTGCTTTCAGCAGTCACAGTTGAGCCCGATCATCAAATTCTCTTCCTTTTCCCGCTATCTAAACATCAGCCAACGCTCTTCTTGTTTTGTCATCTCTATAAGGCCTTACTTTTCAATTGAACTTTTAATGTTAAATACAAATACCTTTGACAGGCTCATTATTTTTATTTGCTGAGTGACTGAATGTAAACGTCCCTAAACTAAACATAAGCAAGTCATTTTAAAATTTGATTTATAACAAGAACGGAAAAACACATCCAATGTTTCTTAAACAGTTTCATGTTTTTCACATTTTTTGGCCTGGCTCAACAAAATTTAACATTTTAGTTCGTTTTTTAATATATATATACTTGATCGTGTTCTAGTTCTCCTGGTTTCATTTTGGCCTCGAAGAGCCTATGTTTTCCAAATCGGAAACTGAAACAAACGAAATTAAAATAAAATGCAATTAAGTTCTTATATTTGCCTTCAAAAAACATTTTCTGTTGCACTTTCTAGTTCACTGTACGGTTGGTTGACCCAGAAGTGAATAATTTTAATCTCCTTTATGCGTTGACTAGGAGCAGTTTCAAGGGATAAAGGAACACGATAATCACTATTATCAACAATTGTTCGAGGAAACGTGAAAGGAGATAATAATCCATTGTTTTGAAACCTTCAATTTCAA